ATGACCTCCAAGGTCCCATCCAACTCTGGGATGGTTACTGTTAGGCTTTCCTGAAATAAGGTATTAATATTTCACTTCCTTGCTCCTTGAATCATCTTGTGCCTTCAGTCAAGCTTCCTCCAACTTATCTATATTGCAGATTTTGAAATAAATATGATTGTGAACAGGTTTTCTTTTTGAAAGAACTCTTCTTCCTGGTAGATTTAATTTTACATGGCATCATTTTAAAAAGCATTATGTTGTATAAGTACTTTAGTTTAACTTAAGTATGTAATGTTATGAAGTTAAAATATGTAATGTTATGAAGTTAAACGTTATTTTTATGACTTCAGTGGGACATGTGAACTTAGATGGACACTAACCTGCTGGCAGATTTTAAATTCTTTCAATTTAATAGTGTTTACTACTTCTTAAAATAATTTTCTATCTGATTACAAATAGGAAAATTGGTGTCTTTCTGTTGATGCAATGATATCCGTTGCAAAGGTCTTTTCTATTTAATTTTGATAACATACAAATAACATTAGGCCAGTAATAAGTAACCTGATAATATATAAATGCTATTGTACAGTTAATAATGTATTTGCATTTTGAGAGAGTCTCCTTAAGACCTAAAGATCACCTACTAAATAGCTTTGTGTAAATCTGAACTTTACGTACAATCCTCATTTTTTTTTCTTGCTTATGTCTTGCTGAAGAAAATGCAAGAATTTTGAGAGAATTGTTTCTTATAAACTAGTAAACATTGCGGTTTGGGCAGTTTGGAATACATGATTTTTGATGTTTTGGCTTCGTTAATATCTTTTTCCTGGTTATACTAGAGGATATAAAATCTGTTTGAAGTGCCAACATGCCTTTTGAAATTTCTTCTCATGCCTACATTTATAACAATAATAACTTGAACAAGTTTTCATTTTTTAAAAATTCTTTTTCCTCAGATGTTTCTCCCTCTCCTAAATGGTTATCATTTGACTAGCAAAATGTGCTACTCTTAATTCTGAAAAAATAAGAACTGCAGTAGACCAACTAAATACAACGGATTAAATAATCCTTGAGTTTACTCAAAATGATATTGAGCTGAGTATGGATGCAAATGTTGTCTTGGAATATTGGTTATTGAGGACAGCTCCAACTAAAGTAGCAGGATTATATGGTAGGTGTTCCTAATTTATTATTTTGAAAAGTACTTACTTACTGTTGACAATATGCAACTTTGCAATATGCAATATTAATCTGCAGTTGAAAACTGTCAGATAAAACACTGTTTAGTTGTAATTCCTACATAAGTGGTTCTGAGTTTTATTTTTTTTTAATGGGGCTTATTCTAAAGCAAAGGCAAAAAACATTGCAATACGTCACAACACAGCCCATGATGTGAGCGGGTTTGACATCTCTGTTCTAAAGAGTCTGGATGTAGCTTCTGTTTTCTCTCACTGTTAACCAAGCTCCCTTGGGTTTGGGGGTCTGAAATACAAAACCTTTAGGGAAGTCACGGATTTCTCACTTGCAGATGGTTTATAGGTAGTCCTTGTTTAACAACTCTTATTGAGATCGGAATGTACATCCCTAAGCAAAACAGTTGTTTGGTGAAACATCATGTTATTACACTGCTTAGCAGCAACATTTCCAATACTCCTGATTGCAATTGTTAGGTGAGGACCTCATGTTAATCCTGTCATTCCATGATGACCTCTTCTTCAACTCTCCCCAACCACTACCTCCCCCACTTCTGCCTTTTTGGCTGCATTGCCTGCTGACCTTTGCCATCTTCCTCCTGCTATTGATGAGGTGCACCTGGCTGAGGTAGCTGCTAGTCCTTGGGAGACATTGTAAAAGACCAGCAGCTGCTTTGATCAGGCATACCTCTTCAGTAGCAGGAAGAAAAAGATGGCAAAGTCAGTTGGGACAGCTTGGTAGTTGATGATGGCAGGGTACAGGGTGGCCAAAAGGTCAAAGGTAAGGGGAGACAGGCCGAGTGGAGAAGATTGATGTGCACACTGCAGCCATAAATGCGGGTGGACTGCCAAACACACAAATTTAGATCATGAGACCACGAGTCAGTCATGAGTCAGTTACAAATGCTATATTTTCAGCAGCCAGTTATTACTATCATTTATTCAGCACTCTTGTAACTTCAAATGGTTGCTGAATGAATGGCTGTTAAGTGAAGACTAACATCATAGCACTTTTGTCTATCTGTTCAGAAAGCGGGGGTGTGGATGGGACGACAGTCATTGATAGCAAACTTTCAGTTTAAAAGACACCATAGAGAATGAAAAAAGATTAATTAACAAATTTAGACATAATTTCTTAAGGTTTCATATTGTAACTTATTAGCAGGGTATAGTTTAAAGAGAGAACAAAAGGATAATGGTTTATCTGCAGGGCTGATGAAATGGCTTATCACCTTACTGCTGATGCTTTTTCTGATATAGTTAGTATTTAATCATTATTTTTGTAGCAATCTTTTTAGATAATGGAATTGGAATTGTTGATAATAGTGGAACTGTTTTCATAGTACAGATGTAAAGCTGAAGTAGAGAGATTAAAACTTACACAAAGGCACCAACTAGTTCATCGCTGAATGGATATTTGTACCATGGATTTCCAATTCATGATTATATTGCTATCGTATACAATTATAGTTTGGAAAGTTACTAGATTTTTGTTCTTATATTGCCTGTATTCTCAGCAGTCATTTTACAGGGTTTCAATAATAATGGTCTAAATTATATAACACATTCCAAATTAATACTGTAGTTTATAAAAAATAAACAATTTTGACACAAGTTTTTTGATAAAAAATTTCAGGAAACAAATGGAAAAATTAGACAAAATAGTCTCCCCCGAAGACCAAGCATGCTGTGAAGATGTTTTGCAAAACAACTTACCTTGAAGATACTGTGACTTCACACTTACTACCTTCTACTGACATATTTAGCCTGCTCAGAAATGGTTTTTGCATTTTCTAGAAAAAATGTGTCCCAAAAATTGAGTTTATTGTTGCTAGTTTTTGGTTTTATCTGGGGCATAATGTTACTGCGCTACACCTTTCAGCATCCAAGACAACAGAGCAGTGCTGAATTGCGTGAACAAATTCTTGATTTAAGTAAAAGATACGTTAGAGCCCTAGCAGAAGAAAACAAGAATGTAATAAATGGTGATAATGGAGTTGCAATGGCGGGATATGGTAAGCCTACATAATCTCTGTAAATTCATCCTCACTTTAGTTTTTCAAACTATATAAAGCAATATTATGTAAAAGTAGCATAAGAAGTTTTTATATTTATAAAATGGTACTAATGTTTGCTACATATTCAATATTCTACTGAAGTTGAACATACTGTATAATAGTTTTCATTTGTAAGAAATATTAGACTGTTCTTAATATTAAAGAGCTGATATATTGGCATTGGATATGGTATATCTAGAAACATTTTGCTTTGAATAATGTAGGTTTTTGTCTAATACTAGAAATGTAAAATTTCCAGAACTTTTGAAACAATAGAGGATTTGAAGAAATTCAAATATGATTTTTTTTTTACTGATTACATATAAAGAATGACTTGTCTATTGTGTATGAAGGTTTACAGAGGTATATTAGATAAATAAATTGCTTATTTAGACAACTAAATTTATATGGTATATTTAGTGTTTTTGCTACAAATGGAAGTTTAGAGCAGTGATGGATAACCTTTTTGCCATCGCGTGCCAAGTGAGGGGAGCACGCGGGGTGTGTGTATGTGTGTCACACGCATGTGTGCCCACATCCATAATTCTATTTGCCCCCCCCCCCATGCTCCCCCTGTTTTTGGCACGTGATGGCACGGCAGGCTTGGTAGACCCATTTTTCGCTCTCCCCAGGCTCCAGAGCCTTTCTAGGAGCCTGGGGAGGGCAAAAACAGCCTTCCCCACCCTTCCTAGAGGCCCTCCAGAGGCTGGAAACAGTGTGTTTCCTGACTTCTGGTGGGCCCAGAAGGCCCGAAAATCAACTGGCCAGCGTACACATGTGTGCCAGAGCTGAGCTTGTGTGCCCACCAATATGGCTCCACGTGCCACCTGTGGCACCTGTGCCATAGGTACGCCATCATGGGTTTAGAGTGTTGTGCTTTAAGGAATACATCATTTATTTAATCTGTTTAAGAAAAGCAAAAAAAAAAAAAAATTAAAACTGAAAATAGAACAAACAGTACATTTAAAAAGTTTGCATATGTTGTATTTTTTCCATTACATTAAACAGATACAGAAAAAGTTATACCCAGAAAAACAATGAGAAAACAACTATTTTCTCACATGAGATTTTGCCTGTGCAGTGTCACTTTCTGAATATACTTTTTTTCCCTTCTAGCTGATCTGAAAAGAACAATTGCAGTTCTTCTAGACGACATCTTGCAACGCTTGGTCAAACTGGAAAACAAGGTTGATTATATGGTTGTAAATGGTTCAGCAACAAATATTACAAATGGGAACTTAATGCCATCAACTACAAGCAAACGAGTAAATGCAGCACACAATATAAGATAATAGTCAAAATACTTTGCACAGGTGGAACAGCTTTAGATCTAATTCTTCTTCAGGAGAGAAGCAAACAGTTGGCTAAAGGCAATCTATATTCAGTTACAGCAGAAAAAAATGAACATATAGAGGCCCAATTTCTTTATCTAAAAATCTTTGTGTTAAGAAAGTTGCATCATAAAGCAACATTGTACTGTAACTTTACTGTACTGTACTACCAAGGTGTATTGGTAATAAAACTATTGTAGGAAGGTAAGTAGGTAACACACACACACACACACAAGATCAAAGATCAAGCTAACCAGAAAATTCCCTCAAAACAAAACAAAAAAAAGATCTAACAATAGGAATGATAGAATTGAAAAAGAAATGATAGAATTGATGGAATGAATTGCAAAAAACAATTGCAAACAACAACAAGCAACAGGCCAACTAGCAGAAATTTCTATATGAAAACCAAATCTTAGAGCAATCAGAAACCAAACAAAGAAAACGTTTTCATCTGAGGTTGCCATTTGATAGTAACAAGGAATTTTGCTTTTTGCCTCATGGAGATGTTGCTCTTACAAACTGAGCAGCTGCCTTGCCTTTTGGCAGCTTCCCGCTCACGAATGGTACAAAGTTGGGATCCCACAACTCTAACACGAGCTCTAAATTGGGGGCACTTCTTTCGGCAACTTCACAGCCGTCTTCGGGCTCAACCAACCCTCCGGGAAGCTTTGAAGCAACAGCTGAAAAAAAGAGGTTTAGTCAGGTTAAGTCACTTGAAGTGCTGCCCAGAGCTTCTGGGTTTGGCACTGCTGGAAAATCCGGCATTATCTTCTACAACCCGCCATAGCCTTTTCTGCAGCTTCTTGATCCCCGCAACTGGTGGAGCAGAGCCCTTCATCAATCTACTGGCAAGACGTAGAGCTGCCTATCAACTTCTTGGTCTCTTGGAATCTCCTACAAAAGGAGCAGCTGGTATTGAACAATGGGAAGGACTGCCAGTGAGAGTCCAGGCTCAGATGCTGCTTTCACAGCTACAAGGTGACAGAGATGGTGATGGGAACCAAGGTCGATCTTCCTCGGCCTTATTAGACTGTTTGCCCTGCGGTTCCATGCTGTACAGAGTTGTGGCTGCGGCATTGATGGAGCCTGGTTGGGAAATGGAGGCCAAGGTGTTGCTCGTCCCTTGGTTGCTGTTCGGAGACCCAGCTCGTCTCTTGTCCTTCTGCCGCTTTTTGCCTCCCCGATGTTTGGCTTCACTTTGTGCCCATTACTCTGAATTACTTGCTTCCTATTTGAGTTTCCTATCAGCCTGGGGAAACTGCCTCAGTTATAATCCTCTGCATGGGAAATGGCAAACTAGTGGTCTAAAAGAAAATGAAGTACCTTGGGAGGAGATGCAGGACCGTGTCAGTTGCCTTTACCAAGAGCCAGAGCCTCTGGGCAGTGCAGTCCAGACTTGGCTAAGACAGCTCAAGGCACAGGATGGAAACTTTGAAGTCCGAGGTCTGAGCATTTGGACTGATCTTTTGCTGGATATGGAGATGCCTCATTTTGAAAGGAAACTTGATTCACGCTAATTAAAGATGTTGAGTAGAAAAGTGTAGGTATTATACAAAGCAAGTAGAAAATTATATAATAGTTACAGAAAAGGTATAGATTTAATATCTAAATAAATTTAAATAGGAAATTGGCTTGATCTTATGAACTGGTTTACTAATCCATAGTGAAGAAGGAATGCCTTTAAAGTGAGTGGTGTTAAGTATAGATAGGTTAAATATTTAAAATTAGTAGGCAGTTTTTTGTTCCAATTGAAATTTGTTCCATTTCAAAGATGGTGGTCCAAAGAATGTCTTTTTGCACTGTGAAATAGCTTGAGAAAGAATGTTTTAAAAATAGTTACACTTGAGAAAATCTAAAGTAGCAATGTGCCAAAGTGTAATCTTGCTACAGAACTAGAACAGTTGATTAAAAAATAGTAATGTATATAGCTATTCCAGAAACATTTAATACATGTATTTAGTAATTGAAGATATAACCTGTGATGGAGTCACATTAATTGGATGTTGAACACTATTAGCTTCTTATTCATTGCTTTCCTATTCAATATATTTTACAGCCGATGATACATGGGGCATACTGTATCTCAAGTTATTCCTGAAATAAAAACGAGGAGTGGGTTGAACTTTGTTTATGGGAAGTGAGGCATTTTGATGTTTACTGAAAATCTATGCTAAAGCAGTACAGTCTGTTATGCACACAATTCTTGTGAAACAGTAATAATTGGGTTTATAACCAGGATCTTTTCAAATGAACTTGAAATGGGAACAGAGAGGTCAGCATTGCCTTATATTCATGTTAGCCTTATAGTGGAGAATTGTGGTGAAGGTGCTCTATAGTACAGTCTATGTTCTGCATCATAAATTATAAAATGAAGTGCCAGTTTGGGTTTTGCACCTATATAGAATGATTTGTAAAAAGATTGTTCTGCTATTTTTGCTTAGAATATGTTATGTGGTTTAAAAAAATATTTAGAAAAAGAACAAGATTTGTAGTTCTAGATAATACAGTTTCAAATGATTTCCTTTTCACATGACTGTAATATCTGGAAAGGTTAAATAAAATATATGTCCATACTATGAGTCCCTATTGATCTTTTCATTTACTTTTTCAAAAGTTTTTATTAGTTTTTTTATTGTAATCCTGTAAAATAATATATATCCAGTTGTTAGTATTGCTTTAATATCTATCTGATAAATATAACAGAGCAAGTTTGATTTAGGATTAAAGCATCAAGTAAAAAAGCAGGGATCTCTGAGTTCTAGTCCTAAATAGCGGGGCAATCTTGTGCTAATTTATTTCTTTCAGCTTCGCAGGGATGTAGCCAAGCAGTCAACACTGACTCAAAGAAAAAAAATAACAATAGAACGAAGGGAAATCCTATGCCTACTTAGTTCTAAGTATATCTCATTACAACCTGTCCATTTATAGGTAATCCCCAATTTATGACCACAATTGAGCCCAAAATTTACATTGTTAAGCTAGAGGGGTCTTCAACTTTAACACTCAAAGAGCCATTTGCCATTTGGTTTCCCACAGAAAACACAACACTAGGAGCCAAAAATCTGGGTGGGTATGGCCAACTCAATGTCACTCCCACCCAGTCACATGCCCCCCCCCCCAGCCACGGCTACCCAGGTTTTCTGGCTCCCTGTTTTGTGGGAATCTCTCCCTCCTCCCTCCCTCCCATTTGTTTTTCCCTCTCCCCCCTCTTTTTCTTTCATTCATTCATTCTCTCCTTTTTGTTTCCCTCTTTTCCCTATCATTTTCTCCCTCCAGTGCTCTCTCATTTCTCTTTTTTCTCCCCCATTTCTGTTTTTTCCTTCCTTCCTTCCTCTTCCATTTTCTCTATTTGTTTCCCTCTCTTTTCCCTCTCTCATTCTCTCCCTCCAGCTCTCTCTCATTTCCCTCTCTCCCATTTGTTTCTCACTCTTTCTCTCATTCTCTCCTTCCATCATTTTCTTATTTCTCTTTTTCTCTCCTTTTTTCTCTTGTGTGCGCCCTCCTGGCCCCGCAACAGCTGGCCAGGGAGTCGTGTGAGAAGGAGGTTGTCTTCAGGGAAGACAACCCTCCTCCTCTTGCTCCCTCCTCAACTTCTGGCCTGTATATAATGTAAATATACATGTATAAATAAAACTCAATATATATGTACATACACACACAGTTTTGTAGGTCTTTGGTTATTCGGGTTTTCTCCCGCGTAAAATTGGAAGTATCTTGGCGACGTTTCGATGAAGTCTCATTTGTCATCTTCAGGCTGGTGTTTTCGGCTTCATGCTTCTAGGAGCAATGTGTGATCGCAGCTGTTTCTTCCTTTTAACTGCCAGTGGGGGTGTGAACTGATTGGGTGGGGTATATATATAAAACACATAGTTTTATACATATACCGGTAATAAATAAACTCAAGGCAGGGAATTAAACTCAAGGCAGGGAACATACCTAATGGTCCTGTTTCCTACTGTACTTTCCCCATAATTGTGAGGTGGATTGGGCTGGGCTGAGAGAAAGGGACTGGTTTAAAATCATTCAGGCAGCTTTCATGGCTATAGCAGAATTTAGAACTCAATCTCCTGATTTATATGCCAGCATTTTATGTTGTTTGTTAGCCTTGGCAACTTGAAGACATGTGGACTTCAACCCAAGAATTCTCCAGAGAGTGTGTTTCCTGGGGAATTCTGGGAGTTGAAGTCCAAATACCTTCAAGCTGCCAACTTGTGAAATACTGCCTTCCAACTGCATTAAACTGGCTAATTTATATAAAATATAGGTACGTAGTGAATCGCCATTCCGGCGTGTAGTTCAGATGACTCACTGAAGCTAGACAGGCAAAGTGTGTGGCTCTGGCAACTATGCAAACTCAATTTCAGGATGGAGGGCGGCCTAGCTAGTATTTCTTTACTAGCTGCCCTTATCGCAAAATCATTAAAACTGTAATTTTGTCGCTGAAAAGGTGCACGTAGCAACGGAAGAGCGGCAGTTTCAACGAACTTTATTCAAAACCAAGGCGCGCGTCGAAAGGTTCAAAAACCGCTGCCTCCAAAGCAGCGGCAACTCCTCCCAAGCGACACCGCGGCCCAGCCGCTCCTCCTGACAGGGAGCCTCCTCCCTTCTCCCCCGAAGCCATCGCTCCGTGCCGCGTGTCTCTAATTCCTCTTGGAAAGGCTTCGCGGGATCTCCGAAAGGGCATCTGTGCTACGGGATAGCCCGTAGGTTGCTCACGAAGTAATGGAGCGTCTGACATTTGACTCCGGGGCTGCCGCGGCCATAGACGACTACTTGGAATATAGGCGGTAAGAAAGCCAATTGAAGGAGCACTTCTCCACCGAAAAGGGACTGGGAAAGTCGTTGCTAAGGCGCTCGTACGAAAGAGGAAATCCTCGCGGAGTCCTCGTGTCTCAAAGACTCGCGTTTATTTAGAATATGTTTGAAGAATATGTTTGCGTTGTAGTCTGGTGGCGGTTCAGATTTCTGAATGCCAGATCTCGTAGCCTAGCTATAGTGTAAACTCTACCACAAACTTAGGGTTGCTCACCTGAATCAGGAACACATTTTAGGGATTGGATAAAATGGAATTGACGGATTTATTCCACTCAACCTAATTGATTCAGCAAACTATGGGGCAGCTCCCTAAGAGTTAGATGTCTTGGACATATAAATTAATGTGTTCTGGGCATGTATAAGAATTTTTTCACTTTCTGAAGATGCTGTTCTTTAACGGCCAAGACTCAGATAAAGATCTGGATATAAGGCTCATTTTCCAATAGGGAATTTTCATTCCACTTTTGGCCTCAGCATTTTGGCTGTGTTGTTTTGCAACACTAACCTCTAAAGGGTGGTTCACCGAATCCACTAATTTTGTCTATGTATTGCATACAAACTGTTATGAATTGGGTTTGCACAAACGCTGGAGCCACCAAATAGCTGATTACATCAAAACCAATCATATGAGATCATATGGTGCTTAATTAGAACAATTCTAAGACTCATTTTCTGCTCCAAACAGGCTCCAAAGAACTGTTACCTATCCTATGTCAAGCTGCTTGATCTAAATTGAGTAGTCTTAACAGTAAAATTCAGTCTAGAGTAGTCTCCACAAAACGCTCCCTTCTCAGGCTTTAAGGTTTACTGGAGTTAGTGGGTGAATTGGAAGCAGAAAAGGAATGAGGTGTCCCAATTTAACTAATCACAATCAGTTTATTGCAGGATGAAAGCCTCTTCCATTTGCTTTAACACACTAAGTTTTTTTCTTCATTAACTCCTTTGAATTGAGTTATGTCATCTATACAGTACTGCAATTGATATCCAACTGAGGTTGTTATCCAGCATTGATTTATTTGTGGTGCAGTATAGCCTGCTCTTCACCATTTTGATGATGCTATCCAAAGCAGTTTGGCAATTTCTTTGTGGCTGCTACAAACATATATACAAATATTACAATATTTTTTCATCATCACATGCCACTCATCTTCATTAGCAAATACTACCCTATGAAGAACAATAAGCAGATTATTATCCCAATCAAAATATTTGCTTCTTATTTAGCTGGACTAATTATACAATTTTGGCTGTTTGCAGTGTTCAATGTGATTCTGGATTAATAATAAATAATGGATTAATAAAAGCCGCTCCGAATCCGACCGAACACTGGTGAGGTCTCATATTAAGACCTACCTAGTGGCAATAAAAGCGGCAAAATCTAGCTATTTTGCCGCTCTTATCGCGTCATCAGATAATCGCCCGGCCGCCCTGTTTAGGGTGACCCGCTCCCTCCTCCATCTGGAAGCGCGGGATGACCCCTTGCAGGGCCGAGCTGAGGACTTTGTGCAGTATCTGTATGACAAAATCGCTCAGATTCGGGAAGGGCTGGCCTCTGACTGGGTATGTCCGGATGGGATGACTGAGGCAGGTCTTGAGAGTGTTATCTGGGGGAAGTTCGATCCTGTGGCTCCCGAGGACATGGACAGGGTCCTGGGACGGCTGAATGCGACCACATGTTTATTGGACCCGTGTCCCTCCTGGTTGGTACTGGCTTCCCGGGAGGTGACACGAGGCTGGCTCCAGAAGATTGTTAACGCTTCTTTGAGTGAGGGGGTCCTGCCGGCCGCTTTGAAAGAAGCGGTTGTGAGGCCCCTCCTCAAGAAGCCCTCTCTGGATCCGGTTGTTTTGGCTAACTATCGTCCAGTCTCCAACCTTCGCTTTGTTGCGAAGGTTGTTGAGAGTGTGGTAGCACAACAGCTTCCCCGGTACCTGGATGAAACTGTCTATCTAGACCCGCTCCAGTCCGGCTTCCGACCTGGGCACAGCACGGAAACGGCATTGGTCGCGTTGGTGGATGATCTCTGGAGGGCTCGGGATAGGGGTTGCTCCTCTATCCTGGTCCTGTTAGACCTCTCAGCGGCTTTTGATACCATCGACCATGGTATCATGTTGCACCGGTTGGCGGGGTTGGGGGTGGGGGGCACCGTTCTGCGGTGGTTCTCCTCCTACCTCTCTGACCGGTCGCAATCTGTGTTGACGGGGGGGCAGCGGTCGACCCCGAGGCACCTTGCTTGTGGGGTGCCACAAGGGTCGGTCCTCTCGCCCCTTCTGTTCAACATTTATGTAAAGCCACTGGGTGAGATCATCCGTGGCTTCGGGGTGGAGTTCCATCAGTACGCTGATGACACCCAGCTGTACATCTCCACCCCAGGCCACCCCAACGATGCCCTTGAAGTGATGTCCCAGTGCCTGGAGGCCGTGCGGGCCTGGATGGGGAGAAACAGGCTCCGACTCAACCCCTCCAAGACCGAGTGGCTGTGGCTTCCAGCGTCCCGATATAGCCAGCTGACGCCATCGCTGGCTATTGGGGGCGAATCACTCGCCCCCACGGAGAGGGCTCGCAACTTGGGCGTCCTCCTGGACGCACGGCTGTCTTTAGAAGACCATTTGACGGCCGTGGCCAGGGGGGCTTTTTATCAGGTTCGCCTGATACGCCAGTTGCGCCCCTTTCTAGATCGGGACTCTCTACGCACAGTCACTCAGGCACTAGTCACTTCCCGCCTGGACTACTGCAACGCTCTCTACATGGGGCTCCCCCCTGGGGTGCACCCGGAGGCTCCAGCTGGTCCAGAATGCGGCCGCGCGGGGGATTATGGGGGCGACGAGGCGCTCCCATGTGACACCTCTCCTGCGCGAGTTGCACTGGCTCCCGGTAGTCTTCCGGGTGCGCTTCAAGGTGTTGGTGACCACCTTTAAAGCGCTCCATGGCTTAGGGCCGGGGTACTTACGAGACCGCCTACTGCCACCAATAGCCTCCCACCGGCCAGTATGCTCGCACAGAGTGGGCCTCCTCAGGGTGCCGTCCGCCAGACAATGTCGGCTGGCAACCCCCAGGGGGAGAGCCTTCTCTGTGACGGCGCCCACCCTCTGGAATAACCTTCCCCCGGAGTTACGTATAATAACAGACCTCCGGATTTTTCGTCGGGCCCTGAAAACTTATTTATTTCAACTAGCTGGGCTGGCTTGAGCTAAATTTTAAATTGGTTTTAAATTGGGTTGTTTTAATTTACGGCCAGAATATCTAATTATTTTAATACTGTTTTTTAAATTTTGTATGCTTTGTTTTTACTTAGGCTGTGCACCGCCCTGAGTCCTATTTGGAGAAGGGCGGTATAGAAATTTAAACAAATAAATAAATAAAATAAATAAATAAATAAATAATTTACCATATATTTGGTACTTCATCCTGATGATTAAAACAGAAAAGTATTGTCATTTTTACAAAACATCTAAAAAGATAGTTTCATTTTGATAAGGACTAATAAATTGCAGATAACTAATCTGCAGTTTATTCTGCATTATTGTCCAAAATTGTACATATTGCCTAATCATATTTATTTATATTTATTTATAATTTATATTTATAAATTGCTGAGAAAACAGAGAAATTTTGGAGGAAGGCGAATCTACAGTATTCCCAATGTTCCCATCCACACTGGAGCTCTTCTCACATTATGCATGATCATTTAAATATGATTTCAAAGTGTGTTCTGCTGTATATTATGCATTTAGAATGTTCTTCTCTTGATTCCTATTTAGTATGTGCTTTCATTCATTGACTAAATATACACTCGATGCTAAAGCCATAGAAGCTATACCTTAAAGTGACCTAGAGCTATATTAAGATTGGGGATATGAAATTTGAAAGGTGATATTGGTTGATGTTATTAATCTTCGTATTTATTTTTAAGATATTTTAAAATCTTTATATAATAGGTGCATGCTGCTTTTATTTTTGTCTATTTGGATTTTATTTATTTGCTTTTTCCATTTTGCTGTTATATACATTGACATTGAATTTTGGAGGGCAACTCAAACTCAATGATTGCAGTATTCCAATGCTACTATTCTAGACTTCTTATCTGAGAACATGTCAAGCTAAAATATAGTTGGCTAATTGTGGCCTACTGTGTTATGAGAATCCAGCCAATATGGTTAATTTATGATTCAGAGTATTGTACACATATGGTTGTCTGAATTAATTTAATAAACCATGGGTTAGAAATGTATATGAATACTACTATGGTTTATAGCCTATCCTTTCTCCAGGGATCACTCAGTGTTGTTGCATACCATTTTCTTCCCTACTGCCCAGACAACTATTCCAGTAATTTCTATTTCTTAGCTTTTTCTGTACAGATAGGAAGTGAGAAAATAATATGCCTGACTTAAGGAAAATTAAAACTTAAGGAAATATATGGAGCTGATGATCATGGCACAGCGAAAAGCTGTGTAGACAGACTCTTCCTTTCCAGACAAGGCGAGGACTTGAGATCACCTACAAGTGCTCCTGATAGCTATTCTTCATGAGGAAATAATGCGATATCGTTCTCTGGCAAGTTTAGAGCTCAGAGAGATTAGGAAATAGTCATCTTGCTAATAGTGTGACTTTGAAAGAACACTAGGTTTGCATACTGCTTTTTCTAACTTTTGGAAATTGTTTATCAAGTGCTTTTCAGTTATTAAGAACTTTTGGATTGACAAGTTTTTATAGTACCTGTCAGTTTTCTTCAATCCTTAGTGAAAAAACGTTTTAACTAAATAATTAAAGAACCCTTTTTTAAAAAAAACAGAAAAGCAAAATTAAAACTTTGATTTTAGAAAATACAAATTGATTAAGGCTCCAGATAATTTGGAATTAATTATAAAAAATTCTTCCCATGGGAAAACTCTTTTGTTTTGAAACTTAATAAAATAAGATTTCAAAAATTGATTACTAGAGAGAATGTGTCTAAAATCTGTTATTGAAGAGGAACAAATTTTCTATCTGATAAGACTGAGACTGAACATGGATTTTTATACAAATGACATAGAAAAAGATGTTACATTAGACATATAAAATATTTGCTGACATCTTAATAATTAAAAGGGATATATAAAGAACAAATCAAGAGAGTAACCTGGATAATTTTGCTATATTGAATCTGCAAATGGGTCTTGTTAAAATTTTGAAAAGTTTTGTGGGAAGAAATAAAAGAAAAAAAAAGAAATCAAGTTCAACATTATTTAAAGAAACTAAAGATTAAGATTGTTTAAAAAAAGGAAGCAATATAAAGTTGATTAATTTGATCCATATTAAAATAGATGTGTTATTAATCCTTAATGCTTTTTGCTAACATCAGGCTTAAGAATATGAACAATATAAGAAACAATATATGAATCTGTATATATGCGTATATACTCACCCACACCACTTATATACACACACACACACACACACACACACACACACACACACACATATTTCAGAAAAGGGCTCTTTTATATATAGATGGGATGGGATGTGAAAAAGAAGAGCTCATTTGTTCATTTGCATTTTAAGAGGTGATATGTTACTAAATTGTTCATGCTTGTGATGAAAATGGGAAGTCATTTTATATATTTCTTTTCCTTTTCTTTGTTATATTTTCATTTTTTTCTTTTCTAGTTCTCTTCTTTTCTTTTTTCTTTTTTCCTTACATGTTCCATTCTTTCTATTTTTTTTAATATTATTACTGTTGTAATTATAACAAAATTACTATAAAAAAGAAAATTTTATGTTTGTCCCTGTGCCCCTTGTACAAAGGACAGCATATATAAAAATTTAAACATTTCTTCCTTGCCAAAACAACAGTAAATTAAAAAAGTATTGAACAGGGATAATCCTGTATAATACCTAGTTTGGAAATTTCTCCATGCATCTAAGTGAGTCACAATGTAACCATAAACTCCAAGTTCATTCTGTAAATCCATCCTTGTCACTTTTTTCAAATAACTTTTTAAAAAAAAATAAAAGAGAAAAAGAAAAAAAGATTTTATAAAAGAAAAAGGAAAGAAAAAAAAGTAAAAGTGAGAGAAAAAGAAAAATAGAAAAGAATAATTTCTGATTTCCTTTCATAAAGACATAAGTAAAAAATTCATCACATCTTATAATTATACAAATCCTGAAAATTTGTTTGAGAACACTATTGAAAAATTAACAAAGTATATTAAGCAATTATTGCCAATTATATTTAGGATAATAAGTCTTTAGATATTCACTTACTTCTTTTCAGACTTAGAATTCCTGGATATTCATATTTTCTGTTTCATTCACCCATGATATGACAAGTTCTCCCTGTGTTCCATGTATGTATTATTAAAAAGGTTGTTGTTACAATTTTAATTAAATATGTAATGTAAAGCATTACAGAAATCAACACTTTTGCAGAATTGTAGGAGAAGATGATGGTGGGAAACTGTTTACCCCGGAAGAATATGAACAATATAAGAAACAAGTATTACCAATTCGGTTGCAAAATAGATTATATGTGAGCTGGAGATCACCAACCGGCATTGACTGTAAACTCGTGGGTCCAGAAACACCATGCTTTTGTTCTCATAGGTGAGGCATTCTATATTTGTGCCAATGGATGATGCACTAAAATTTATCTTAGATTAAGAAGACGATTATAAAATATGTGTCTTTAATAGTCATATATATTGTATCTTTATAATATAATATTTGTTCAAAAGGAAGACTAATACTCCCACAAATGATTTTTATCTTTAAAACAGAAGAGTTGTTTTGCATTTGTTGCCTCATCTTATTAGGGAAAAATGAGTATTGTCTTAAAATCTTGGTTATCTTACTTTTGGTTTAACACAGTAAACCTATTTTAGTTAGCTTATGGACTGAAACACTTTTGAACTATCTTTTTCTTGGGGTAGTACATTTAGGCTGATTTCTATCCTTTTCTTTGTTTCCAATGTGGTTTTCGTTGTGTGAGAAGTAAAACAGAATTATTATTGTGCTTTGTTTTATTTTTCTCTGAATGGTAATGGCCCAATAACTGTACTCTGTTGGTCTGTACTATCAGACAATAACAACTCTTTCGAGCACAGAATATTGTTTCTCTGCTATTGATTGAATTCATAAATATAAGCCAAGAGAAAATAAAGCTTTAATAGCTTGTATTGCTTTTATTAGGGATGTGGTGGCTCAGTGGCTAAGATGCTGAGCTTGTCAATCAAAAGGCCGACAGTTCAGCGGTTCGAATCCCTAGTGCCGCATAATGGGTGAGCTCCCGTTACTTGTCCCAGTTTCTGCCAACCTAGCAGTTCGAAAGCATGTAAAAAATGTGTGGCCTGTTTGGAACCTGGCTGTGGAAGCAGTGGTGAGAGCACGAGTGCAGAGCCCTACTTGCAGAAACAACAGGAACCTGTGCCTGCCGCTCATGTGGAACCATCCCCTCTTTCCTCCCCTACTGGTCCGCAAAGCCAGAAAGGTTGGGGACCATTGAATTAAAAGATTGATGCATATTTTCTCCAAATCTGGGATTAAAGTTGAGATTTTGAAGATTCTGCCAAATTGTATTGGCCTCACCCCTTTTATAAAGTTATTGACTATCTTTGAATAAGAGGATTCTTAAATATCCTAATAAGAGAATAGTAACTAAACAGTGCATCTGCATTTTTAAATTTTTTTCTAGATATAAACAACACAGAACAGATTTTGAAGTGATTCCAAAAGAACGTCCTATTTCTCTACCTTGTAGAGTGAACCGGTGCGCATGCAAATCTTATAATTTTGTTCCTCTTAATGGTACTCAGCCCATCCGCTGTAGATGTAAGCACTTTGCAGATCAGCATAGTCCAGCAACTGGATTTCTATGCAATATGTGTAAGTGTTCTTTGATTAAATGAGTAATTTATATTTAAAAGTAACTGCTATCTACTGATACCTTTCTTTAAATACTATCTCAGTATCATAACAATGTATATCTATTGCTTTGGAAGTAACTAATACATTTCAAATTCTGCAGTCAGAAAACTAATTCAAGATTCACCATAAATATTTCTTTATTCAGCTTTGGCCTGCCTGATTAGATCTAGTCAGGAGAAACTGCTGCAAATTCCATACTTTTGGGAGGTTCAGGGAGTTTACGTAAGGAGGTGCTGCTTTGCTGTTGCAGCTCCAATATTGTGGAATAGTCTCCCTGAGAAGATTTGGCTGGCTTTTCTTTGTTCATTTCTATAAGCTTCTAAAGACTGACTTTTCTGGAAAATCTCTGATTTGTATTGTCACTATCCTTTATTCTCTATTTTTGTCTTGATATTTTATTTTTAATTAAAATTGTGTTTCTTTTATATTATATTTTTATGTGACCTGCCGAGTGTAAATTTTGATTGAAGTGGCAAGCAAATAGTCTAAATAAATAAATAATTTAAATCTGGTTAATTTGCATAATGATACATAATATTCAAATATATGCTGCTTCCAAATAGGAGATTCACAATGTGGTCTTTTTCAAGCATGCACACAATAAGACTTTTCTCAGACAACTCCTTGCAAAATTAGAATTTACCTGCAAATTATTATCTAAGCAAAGAGTAGTATTTATGATCCCATATGTAGAAATAATTCTTATACTTATTACTCTTTTTGTCATGTCTGTCCTATTTAAATAATACATATATGAATATTAAAAGGTTTCAGTTGTAGCAATTGTTTATATCACCAAGGCTATGGCAAGCAAAATTGACATTGAATGGAAACCTTTCAAACAAATTCTGATTTTTTCAAAATATGTTTTGCATTAGGTTCCAAATGTGCAGGGTTTCACAGTTGCTTTACTTGTGGATGTGGCCACCCAGCATATTCTCATGAAACTATAGTGGAAACAAAAGAGGAACGTTTAGCCCAAGGAAAGCCAGTTGGGCATGATGTCCCTTATGCTGCAATGGGGGGACTAACAGGTTTTAGTTCCTTAGCAGAAGGCTACATGAGACTTGATGATAGTGGAATAGGTAAGGATGAAATTAATTTTTTTTTAAATTTATGCCTGATTGCCTTTGTATTTCTCAGCCAATTATCCTAGGGAGTTTGGAGGAAGACAAGCATTCACGTACTACCGGTATATATTTTACATAGAAGTCCTGGAAGAAACTAGGGTGGCGTGGTAGAGATATGGAACATGCATTGCACAAGTAACATAACCTAAAAAGGAAATAATAGTTTAGTAAAACAATTGGGATAGTTTAATTGCATGTCTAACAAAATCAGTGGTGTTTCAAGTAATTATGTCTGATTATGAAATTTATTTTAGTACTATCAAGACTTATAGTTTAGTACAAATATGCTTGAATTTTTTTTAAATAAATGAGTATTGCCATATTTTGATTTATACAGAATTACCTTGAAGATCACCTGAAACCTAATAGGTTTTAAATTCTTCTTCCTGATTAATTTGAAGTTATAATTCTGCATTCCAACATGGGCTTGATTTAGATTGTTGTCTCCTTCAGCTTTATAAATCTATGAACCCTGATTTTGAATCACCATTCTGGCTTTTAATGCTTGTCTAGGCTTAATTTCAACATAAAGTGACTAACACTTTACAGCCTGTGTTTAATGCAAGCAGTCTTTCAACCTGATAGTTGATTAGGCTGGTTTGTTTAGGCTAATCTGTATATTAAGGAGTGTCATTTACAGTTGGCAACAGGCCTTTACTGGAATACTTCCTATGAAGTATTCATATTTACTTTACTTCATATCCTATGAAGATCAATCATATCTTTTTTTGTCCGAAAACGTGTGTGTGTGTGTGTGTGTGTGTGTGTGTGTGTGTGTGTGTGTGTGATATATATATATATATATATATATATATATATATATATATATATATAAAATAGAGCTTTCAGGTTTACATTTTAAAATTGCTGTCTTAAATAGCTTTCTTGAAGGTAACGTTATCATATATTATCATATGTTTATTTTTTAATTAAATATAATTAAATGTATTTTAAGTAAACTTTTGAATTATAAAACAATAAAACCATGGTTTAGTGGATTTTGGCTGAGAGCACAGGAGACACGAGATCGAAAATAAGCAACAATAGGTATTCCTTTCCCTCATGCTGGTTGTTTCCCCCATGCAAGCACTTTTTTGTTGGATGAAGCTTCATTTGAGTTCAGGATGAGGGAAGGTAAGGGCAAGGAGGATGATATTATCAAACCATCAATTGGGTAAGCCAGTTAGTGGGATTTATTATGTTGAAACAGTAGTTTAGGACAGGAGAGAGGAAAGATTAAATATTCTAGTAGAATATGCTAGCCTGGGAAATAAGCAGCAATTCCTTTTTACCATCATGACTTGTGGTCTGAGTTCTTATTTAACTTTGTGCCCTCATCTGAATAACCTCTTTTTTCATTCTGCAATATGTATGAGGAAGCTATCCTAACTTCTTCTTCTTGTGCCATGTCCGTCATCGGACGTTGACTATCATGTTGGCAATCCTATTTTTGTCAACAGCTGTATGAAAAAGTGCTGCTGAGTTTTGTCCAAACCAGTCTCCTAGGTTTTGAAGCCATGATGTTCTTCTTCTGCCTGGGCCTTATTTGCCTTCAATTTTTTCCTGGAGGATTAAGTGAAGGATGCTGTATTTTTCTGGGTGTCGCATCACATGTCCAAAATACTCTAACTTTCGCTTTTTTAATGGCTTTGATTATTTCCCTTTGCTTTCCCAGGCGGCTTATCACCTCATTTGTGATTTTGTTAACCCAGTTTATACGTAACAGCCGTCTGTAAATCCACATTTCAAATGCTTCTAGTTTCTTCAAGTGGTTTTCTGTCAGAGGCTAACTCTCTACTCTGTAGAGCAGGATAGAAAAGATGTATCATCTGACAAGCCTGATTTTCAGTTTTAGGCTTATGTCATGACTGCAGAAGACCTTTTTCATTTTGAAGAATGCTGTTCGAGCTTTCTCTATCCTTGTCTTTACTTCACTGATCATGTCCCAGCTTTCAGGTAAATTAAAACTGAGGTACGTGATCCTTTCAACTTTTTCTAATGGTATTCCTTCCAAATTTCTCAATGGTAAATTAATGGATTGTTTGCTGATGACCATGATCTTGGTTTTTGAGGTGTTAAGCTTCAAGTCATATTTTTCAGATATTTCTGAGACTCCGTTGATGAGGAGCTGAAGGTCTTCATATTTACTGGCAAGCAGAATTGTATCATCAGCATATTTTAAATTGTTGATCTGAACACCATTTACTTTGAGGCCATTTACAGTAAACACCATTTACTTCTACTGGGATCATCAATCCTGTGGCTTTTCTTATTTTTGCTTTTTTTTATTGCGTGTTCAATCTCCGCCATAGTGATGTTTGGTCCAGTTGTTATACTTCCCATATCAATATCATCCCTAGTGTCCTCAAAAAGTTCTTCAATATATTCCTTCCATCTTTTAGTTTTTCATCCTCATCCAAGATGATTTTCCCCTTCTTGTCAACTAAGTTGTTGGTTTTCTTTTTGAAGACACCTGCTGCTTCTTTACTTTTTTGTGTAAATTGAAATGATCATGAATACGTTCTGTCTCTTCTATTTCTTTGCATCTCTTTGTAAACCACTTTAATTTTGCCAGTCAAATTTTTCTGCAATTCATTGTATTTTTCTTTGTTTTTATTTTTATAAGAGCGTCTTTCATCTATGAGATGAAGAATTTCATCCATCATCCACTGTTGTTTCTTGTGGTACCTCTTTCTTTGTTTTGAGTTTGTTACCTCTACTATTGCACTTCTACATCTTCATTATTTAGGTTGTTTGTTTCTCTTAAATGAATTTCTAGATCTTCTTTTATCTTAACTCCATGTTTAATGATGAAATCACTGTCAATTCTTGGTTTAGGAGGATTTGGCTTTTTCATCTTTTTTAGTTTCAGCTGGACTTTGGCAAGTAATAAATTATGATCAGATGGTACATCTGCGCTTGGGTATGTCTTTGCTGATTTTACTGAGTTTCTAAACCTTTTGTTTATCCTAATTATCCTGAGTTTTCTTTTTTTTTTCTATCATTGGATTTGTTGGACTCTCCTTCTGCTGGAATTTCTCTAAATTGAGCTTTATCTGTAACTTATCAATACATTTCAAATAAATTTTGACCCAGAAAAAATATTATCCTTCTTATACTTCATCCCTTTTACAGAGATTAAGAAAGCTATATTAGGATACATTTTAATTGTTGCTTCTGTCAATATATTTGATTGTTTTTTATTTTAATAATAGCTTAATCATTGGTCTTATTAAAATCTATTTCATAGTTACTCCCAAATGAGTACCAGTGCTTATTTTGCAACAAAAATGTAGTACTTTAAAGATTAAGAAATATGTTATACAGTGGTGGGATTCAATTTTTTTTACTATCGGTTCTGTGGGCATGGCTTAGTGGGCATGGTAGGGGAAGGATACTGTAAAATCTAATTCCCACCCCACTCCAGGGAAAGGTTACTGCAAAATTCCCAATTTCCTCCCGATCAGCTGGGACTCAGGAGGCAGAGAATAGATGGGGGCGGGGCCAATCAGAGGTGGTATTTACCGGTTCTCCGAACTACTAAAAATTTCCACTACCAGTTCTCCAGAACTGGTCTGAACCTGTTGAATACCACCTCTGGTGTTATAGTATATTACGTTATATTTTATAAATTTATTTTTTATTTTATTTATTAAATTTTTGCCATTCATCTACCTGCTAGGTGACTGTAAATAAATATAAAATAAATATTTATAAAATAATAAATTTTACTTTATGTTCAAATGTTCTCTGAATTGGACTCCATCAGATATGTGGGGTATTATCTTAAGCTGGAGGTTTATATTGATATTTGGGTCAGGGCAAGCAAACAAAATGAAATGAACTGCAGCAGTTTGCTGTTATCCTTGCTAACAGTGGCTGTTTTCAAGCTTTTCTTGATGACAATTTAACCAATGACTGAATGTTTAGGTTGATACGTACAGTATGATTTACATTTTTAATTTCGATGTGACCTGTAGAAAATAGAATTAACCCTTCTGATGAGTGTTGATTCATCTTGATTATCCTATTTTATCCACACTATCAACTTATTCCTTTTATACTACTCCATCATCTAGTAGAAATGCTGTTCAATATCTTTGGTGGTCTTAATCGAACAAATATTTAACCTAGACTTTATTCATCAGCAGTAGTAGTTTAATTTTAATTGTTAATGTTTGTTTACTTTTAAGGAGCACCTTCTTCTCAATTCTTAGAAGCTCCTGTAACCAACATGGATAATCCATTTTTAAAAGCATTCCAAGGTCCATCCAGTTCTATGCAATTAACAGATGGTAATGATTTTTACATTTTTTTATAGTTGATTAAATAGATTTTAAATGCATTTTAAAATCTAATCAAATTATTGTCTTTAAGGAAGTACAAGTACAACAATGCAAGTTTCCAGTTTAAGGAGATCTGAAGAAGATGATATGGCCTATTTTGAAAGACAATATCAGGCACGGGTAAGTCCACAGCATACATTATTTAAAGCAGAAGCATTTCTTTCTGTTTAAAAATAATTTGTTCAAATGGCACTTAGCACACATAATAATGTGTTGACAATTTTAAATAGTACATTGGGAAACTGTAGTGATATCTGAAAATCGAATGTACTTAGATGGGGATAGCAGGACTATCGTGACATGCAAAAACAAAGAAGAGTGTTTGTATAATTTATATTGAAGACCAGTGACTTTTTTCAAAAGCAAAAAAGTTTTACAGGCAGCACATCTGCCTATTTATTCAGTAATGCAATTGCACAAATAATATTTACATTATTGGCTAAACATTGTATAAATCTTGCTACATCAAGTTTTAAATTCTATGCATGATAGTCAATCGTATCAACTAATTCATGTGTTTCTCTACCTCCGCCTTAGATCATAGCTTATGAGATTTCCAACAATGGCATAACTCATAGATTTCAATTTGTGAGTTTGTGTCAATTCATATGGGTGCTTGGATGTAGATGCATTCTGCAAAGGAAATTTCTTATTCTGTAGGATAAGAAAATGTAGCAATAATGGGATTAGATCAGGGGTATCAAACTTGAGGTGCCATGTTGTTGTCACGTGATGTATCGCAACTTTTCCCACCTTTGCTAAACTGAGGGTGGGAGTGGCCAGCACTTGACACACCCACCCCACAGGCTGAAAGTTTGACACCCTTGGACTAGATGAAAGTTGTTTTCTAGAGTTTGCAGAAAACAAGGAGAGCTTATGTTTCAAGTAATTTTATGATTTTTTTTCATTACAGTTGAAGCAAGAGAAGGCGAGGGATCAGAAAGGCAAAAGTCCTATGCCAACAAAGACCCAACATCATCAATAATATATTTGGGTTTCATTGTAATTTATCAGCATCTCTGTCCCTATCTATCTGTCTGTTTATCTATTTGCAGTGATTATAGTACAATATGTTTATTTTTCTATGCCAATTTTGTTGTTTGATAATACAGGCATTGTATGATACAGGCATTCAGGCATTGAAGCAAAATAATGCTATCCATTTAATTCTGCATACTTGAAAATCAGTAATGGAAAAAATTCAGGTTTCGTGACAGAAAACTATTATATGAACATTGAGAATTACTTTTTCAGATTATTTTATTATTGTTAAAGATTTGCATTTTATTTGTTTTCTGTATTTCCAGATTTGAAAATGTTGATAATAAAGAAAAACAAATAATCATTATAGGTGGTAATTGAGCCAAAAATTTCTGTTGCTAAGCAAGACAGTTGTTGTGAATTTTGCCCCATTTTAAGATCTTTCTTGCCATAGTTGTTAAGTGAATCACTGCAGTTGTTAAGTTAATAACATGGTTGTTAAGTGAATCTGACTTCCCCATTTATTTTGCTTGTCAGAAGGTTACAAAGATAATCACATGGTCCTGGGACATTGCCACTGTCATAAATATGAGTCAGTTGGCAAGTGTCTATATTTTGATCACATGACTATGAAGTTGCTGCAATGATGTGACAAACGGTCATAAGTCACTTTTTTTCAATGATGTTATAACTTTGGTCACTAAATGAACTGTTGCAAGTCAATGACTACCTGTATAGTTGAATTGATTTATCTAAAAATAATGCAGTAAAAATGTGGTTGACTGATTATTAGATGATTTGGATTGGATGACATACATCTTATGCCTTGTTTTTTTAATAGGATATCCCTTATTAAGCCAGCCTTATAGATGATAGCTGAAATTTCATTGCATGCAGCTCTCAAAGGATTGCCACCTCCGATATACACTATATAAACATGATAAACAAATATGCATGTACCCACATATATTATATGACGCAGAGAAACAACACAATCTAATTCAGATATATACATGTACATGGTGAGAAAAACGAATCTTGCGAGTTTACCAGATGGATGGCATAGAGAACAAAGCTGTTACAGAATCTGATAGTCCTGCTAGAAATACTTCAAAACCACCCCCCAAAGCGTAGCAACAGAAACAGACTGTAAAGTGGGTGGGTGGCAGGGGTGGGTTCTAATTTTTTTTACTACCGGTTCTGTGGGCGTGGCTTATTTTGTGGGTGTGGCTTGGAGGTAATGTGACTAGGTGGGCGTGGCTAGCTGGTCAGAGTCATTTCTGGAAGGTCCTCGCACTTACGACCAGTCCTCGCACTTACGACCCGACTAATTTGTTTGCTTTTAACACTGATCAGCTGTAGGACGGCCCTTTGAAGCCCCGTGGCAAGAGTTTAAACAGTTTTTTTTCCCTCTAGTCATCAGCTGGGACTCAGGAGGCAGCAATAGATTGGGGATGGGACCAAATAAAAGGTAAGAATAACGTGGGGGTGGGGGGGAAGGGCGGGGGGGGAGAACCGGTTCGGTGATGTCATATCGTCACCGCTACCAGCTCGGCCGAACCGGACCGAACCAGGAGGAACCCACCACTGGTGTGTGGGGTCTGTAATAATGCTTTGAGCTCTACACAAATAGACCTTATAAGCAGTATCCTGAATAATGGTATCCTGAATAATAGGAAGCAAGCTTCCTACAATCTTGGCTGTGCTTATCACTCTCTGTATGGACCTTTTATCTGAGGCACTGCTACCACCAAACCAAACAGTGATGTAGTTTGTTAAGATGCTCTCAATCTTGCCTCTGTAAAAAGTGGCCAGGACAGGAGAAAGATGCACTCTCCTCATCCAATGCAGGAAATGCAGATGCTGGTTTGCAAGCTTCACTAAGTATGACATGTAGAGAGACCAGTTCAGATTGTTAGTTATCTGCACCCCCAGATACTTAATACTGTTGACCACCTCTATAGCTGTATCCTTGATATTGAGTGGAATATGACTATATTGGTTCTTTCTAAAATCTACAATGATCTCCTTTGTTTTATTAACATTTAGAACCAGGTTACTTCTATTACACCAGTCCACCAGACCTTCACCTCTTCCCTGTAAACATCTTTACTGTCATCCTGGATAAGACCCACTGCTGTTCATCCAATATGATTCATAGCAGATTTGGCACAGCAGTTGTGAGTCATTAAATTGAACAGTACAGGATTCAAGACACAGCCCTGTGGGGAATATGTATTCGAGATGGAGTTGGAAACTTTTCTTCCAACTCGCACAAACTAAGGCCTATCAAATGTCCAGTGACATAAAGGAATATTAAAACCTAATAGGCCCAGTTTGTTCACCAAATGCTGAAGAATGAATGTGCTGAATGCCAAACTTAAAATCAACAAACAGCATTTGCACATTCTTTTCCAAGTGCCCCAATTTAAGATGAAGCACACAGGAAAGTGCATTATCTATAAAGTGGTTCTTCTGATAGGCAAACTAATGAGTCAAATGTAGGGGGTAAAAACTTCATCAAAATGGAAGTGAGTGCAACTGGATGGTAATCATTAAGGCATGTGATTTTTTTGGCACTGATACAATGTTTGCAGTCATGTCTGTGAGAACAGTGGCCATCTGAACAGCACACTCCTTAAGTATTGTCCAAGGATATTAGCAGCATGCAGAACTTTTTGAATGTTGATTTTCTGCAGCACCTAAACAGCAGTTGTATCAAACCTGAGCAGCTGTTCGTCAGGAAGAGGAACAGCCTTCCTTGCTGGAATGTTATTAGTGGCCTCAAACCATCTAAAAAACATTTAGCTTGTTTAGAAAATCTGTGTCACCCTTACATGTTAGGGAAGCTACTTTATAGTTAGTAATAATCAAATACCTTGCCATTTACTAGGATCCATAGGATCTTGAAAGAAATTCTGCACTTTCTGACTATAAGACCCGCTTTGCTGTTTTTACAGTATGTCTCAAATCAGCTCTTGCTATGGTAAGTGCTGCCACATTGCCTGATTTGAAAGTGGTGTTTCTCACCTTCAACATTGCACTGACCACCTGAGACATCCAAGGTTTCTTATTTGCTCTCATAACAATCGTCTTAAGAACACTGACATCCTCCAGACACTTTTGAATATAAACAGACACAGTAGAACAGGGGTGTAAAACTGACAGCCTGTGGGCTGGATGCATCATGTGCAGGCCACTCACCCGTCTCCCCAAAAGCAAAAACCGTGGTGATACGTGATGTGACGCGATCGAGTTTTGACACCCATGCAGTAGCATATTTGTTGACATCAGTATGTTGTCCAGTATGTTTGAGGAACATACCTAACAGTAAACTTTGGATCCAAGATGGATTGATGACATCAGCAAGTATTGTGGATCCAACTGGCAAAAGGAAATTCAAGACCATATTGCTTGGAAACATGCGGAAGAGGCCTTCATCCCACAGTGGATAGACAATGGCTAAAATGGTGATGATCTGGCAATTTAAACTATTTCCAACTAGCTTAGTTTTGATGGCACCAATGCTGCATTAAAGGTGATTGTATGCATTTTGATCCTGAAAGCTTGCAAGTTAGCTTTGTTACTTCTGCCTGATTAAAAAGTAGCCAGAAACCTAAGTGAAAAGGGATCACTGAACTCTGTTTATGTGAGGCTAATTTAAAAAGAAAAAAAGACCCACCTTTTCAAAAACCACTGGCAAAGTATGCACAACACTTCATGAATATGGGAAAAAGAGTTTTACCCAGGAAGATTCTATGTAAGAAGGATCAGGCAATTCAACTACCTAGGATACACAGTATTCTGTAGCAACCATGGAGAGGAAGCACGCCCATCATAGCACACAGTAGCCAAACAGGAATGAAAAACTCCCTTTTTCACACATATCCTCCCCCCCCAAAAAACAAAACAAAACAAAACAAAACAAAAAACAAAAAGCGAAAGACACCGAAAGCTCAGGACCAATAGCTAAAGAGCCTTCCTCAGATTTGCCCAGTCAGATCCGAGAAAGACTTCTTGGCCGTTAACCTCTCGCGCAGGCTTAGATTGATTTAGTATCTCACGTGACTGTATTAGAGGGCGCAATTTTGGCTGCGTGCTGTGAGTATCTCCTTCTCTCGTTAGGGTGAGCGTTCGATCGTTTTTCTACAATTCTCGAAATTCTAATTGGCTCAATGATTAAAACAGACGGTTGGCTGCGTTCTGAAATAGAGTGAACACTGGAGGAAGGCAAATAAAATCCAAAGAGCATCTCCCAGCCACGTTTTAAGTGATTATTTGATTATAAAAGGCTGAAACCGTAAGGGCTTTTTCTGAATCGCTTCTTTGTAGCAAAGCAAAAAACCGCGAAGAGACTGACAGTCTTGAGTCACCTAGTCTTGCTGAGAAGTGGAGTCTGTTAATAGTGTTTAACTTTTTACGTGTGGCTAGATTGCATCACGCCTTAAACGAAAACGTTGGCAATTAAACGAGGAGATTCAGCTGCGTAAGAGTTTGTGGTTTACTACGGCATGCACTGCAAAGCCAGCCAGTTAGGTTAACTTGGTTCAAGAAACTGAGTAAGTAAATGGCTTACCAAGAGTTACTTTTTTTGGTATACTAATTCCAAGAGGTTCATCCTGTGGAATATCTGCAGCCCAGCCTCGTGGAATAGCTATCGTTTTAATAATTTAATAATTATATGAAGATAGGCAATTGCAGTAATAGGTGGTGTACTCAAGTGACTTACAAATGAGGTAAAACAAGTGGAATTTTTGTAACTACCTAATTGAGTGTTCTGGAATAAACATTACCATTTTATTTCTTGCAACATTCAACCAAATTTGTACTGTTTTTAGATTAGTGAAATAGAAAGCTAGGTAGGATATGTTTTCTGTAAATCTTGTGTCCATAGAAAATGGTAATTATTTGGATGGCTACTTTTAAATTAAACTAGCTTGGGGTAATCTTTAAAGCAGAATGGCTAAAAGTAGATCTGATCCACTAATGAATTTGTTGATGAATTGAAGTATAGTGGTTGAAATCTTGAATTAAAGCAGGGAGATCTTAAGTTGTAAACCAGCCTCAGCAACAGCAGTTTACTAATATAGGTAATCTTAGATGTACAACCACAGTTGCGAACAAAATTTATGTTGCTGGGCAAGACAGTTGAGTTTTTCACCATTTGATTATCTTTCTTGCTACAGCGGTAAAGTGAATCACTGCAGAGTTAGTAACATGGTTGTTAAGCAAATTTCTTTCTGTCCAACTTACCTCACAGGGTTGTTTTAGGAAAAATACTATAAGAAACAATACCTTGAGCTCCTGAATGAAAAGCAGGATATAAATCTAATAAATCAATAATTTAATAACATTAATAATTGTAACAGTGGCAACAATTCATTAACTCATACTTTAACGTTGAATTTTAACTATTCTTGCCTCTTATTTAAAATTTATGTATATGTTTTGTTTTAATATTTTATTTGTAGACTACCCAGAACCCAGTTGAATATTTGTACACTATCCAATGAGGAATATGGGTAGTTTTCTAAATTTAATAAATAAAATATTGTGGAAATTAAATAAGTAGGAGTGATCTTGGGCAATAAGATTGAAGCAGGTGAGATGGGAATCAGCATTTCCCAGGCTGGAAAAATTATGTCAAAAGATTCCAGCTGATTTTCATACTGTTACACCAGGGTGGATTTGATTTAACTCAAACTGATTTAAATCATGATTTAAATCACTAGTCAGTAAGGCTTGATTTAAATCATAGTTTTCTACATAAAGACTAATTCTTGCTGGTATAACTTTAATATGCAAGTAGATGAAGATTTTTAGAATAACAACTTTTCATATTAGTTTTTTTATCCCCAGTTTAATAGGTTAATCATTCATATTTGGACAACTTTTCTGTTGTACTTAGGAAGGAGAAAATAATCATTACCTTAATAATAACAATTTAAATAGATTTATTCAACTGAAACAATAAAATTACAGCATATGTTATTTGCTTAAACAAACATCCATGTTTGTTAACTAATTTGGCTAAACAATATATATTTTAAGAAACTTTGTCAGCCCAGCCTACACATGAAAAACTTAAATACTGTCCTCTGTAACTCACTCCTCATCTTCATCTTCTTCGTTCATAATCTGGAAAAGAAAAACAAGCTTTCCTGCTTTATCGGGTCCCAAACGATTTCTCAATTTAGAATGAATGAGTCCAAAGGAAGAGAATATTCTTTCAGCGCCTGCAGAAGAAGCTACTGCTGTTAAAAGTGAAATCATTACTTGAACAGTCTCTAAATCCAAGTGCTTAAGTGACTTCCACCAGTTCACTGGTGTGACTTTCTTTAAAATATCTTCAGCAAACATATATTTCTTGAATGGTTCCCCCTTAGCTTTGAAGTTTATTATAGTTGGCATTATAGATGGATGATTGCTGGATACCCATGTCATAGCTAACTCCTCTTCCTCAGCACTTAAGTTTTGACCCTGATACTGGATATTGACAATATTTCCCAAAACTGAGCTGGAGACAGTACTTGTCCCATTCATTTTTTTAATGCTTGTAATTTAATTCTGTCCATGTGTAGTTCTGTTTTTAAGTGTTCACTCAGTTCCTTCCAAATTTCAACAGCATCAGCAATAAAACAGCTATTTTTCTATATTTTGTTTAAAGCTTCAGAGATGGGTTTCAGGATGCTCAGCATATGTTCCACATTTCTCTTAAGCCCAATGTTGAGGATTTTGGCTGTGACAGTGCCATCTATTTTATCTCGGTTTTCTTCACAAACTGTCATCAGAATAGGCCAGTTCTTGGTATACTGCTCAAAACATCTTGTGGGAGCGTTAGCTTAGTTCCAGAGCTGCTGCAGCAAAATGATTGTTACGGAAGTATTTAGCAATTTCAACAACATTAGTCTTTATTTCTGGAACACTTAAGTCTTTGGTTAAGAGGTGCAGTAAATGAGCACTGCAACCATATGTTATTAGCTTTGTATTCCCTTCCTGCTGTTCTAAATTTCTTCTCATCTTGGATACATTTGCAACATTGTCTGTGACCAAACTGCGTACTAGACATTTGAATTTTTGTTCATATGTTATTATAGCTTTTACTGCCACTTCTTGTAAGTATTCTGCTGTGTGTGCATTTCTTGACATATCAATTGTTTGTGCAAGGAAGACTTTCCCTTCTTCTGTTGTTATACAAGCACATACAATAGGATCATTGTGGACATTACTCCACCCATCAATACTTAGGTTAACAATTCTACCCTCCAGAGCTGTTGCACATTGCTCCATTTCTCTATCATACACTTTATCCAGCAGTTTCCCTGCAACATCTGCTCTGCTGGGTGGACTGTATCCTGGTCTCAGTGACTGAACCATATTAATGAAATGTGGGTTCTCAGTCAGACGGAAAGAAGAGTTGGTTGCATAAACAAACTGAGCAATTTTTTCATCAATTAACTCTTTTTCTAATCTGCTAGTTTTTATCACAAACATATGGTGGTTCTAGGAGGGAAGGGTTTTTTCTTTCTTTTAGGTGATAGTGATATGTGGCTGTGGGTGTCTGATGATGATGATGCTATCCTGGATGGATAACTCTGAAACTGTAGAACAGGAAGATGGTGATCTTGAAGGTGGATAGTTTCCAGAATCCATGAATTCCCCTAAACAAAAAAGTCAATGCTGTTATTTTATTGTTTATACAATTTCTGCTTATTGTACACAGCACTGCCCCAAAAGGAATATTTGCTTTTCTTCATAACTGTACCAAATGACAGTAACATGCAGTAATAATAAGAAATATAATTTTGCTCAAACATGACAGTTCAAGGCAGTCTTTAGAAATATAATTCAATAAAAATGTTTACCAACCTGAAGATCCTGCCTGTTCAAATGTGTTTCTTTGGTCATCTTCATCACAGCACTTCTCATGATGTTGCCTCATTCGGGCCACCAGGCCTTGCATTTCTTTGTTGCAGTGTTTGCAGTTTGCACGCATGCCTGCCTTACCGATAGGTAAAGGAACTTCATTAAAATATTGCCAAACTGGGTCTCTTTTACGGCCTGCTGCCATTATAGGTTTTTTCTTCCAAGGAAAGAATGTGATAAACCTCAGGTCATACACACAAAAAAATCCAAAGACTTGTCTGTCTGTGGCTGTGCAGTATTGTGCTCAGAAAGTTTCACTTTCATTTTGTACTGCTTGTCTGCTTGCCCCTTCCTCCTCACACTTAGTTTCACTTTCTTCTTGTGCAGATCTATTCCATTCCAAACAATCAGAAAAATATTGTTTCTATTCTATTCATTAAACTTCTTGAAACTTAGCACTGAAGGGGTTCATTCTGTATTCATAGGTTTGTAGAACAATAGGATTAAGGTCTTTTTCTCAACTCTGTTCATGTTATAACATTTTTGCTGTGAAGAAGAGGCATGTGATCTCTGCTGAGTCAAATTCAGTTTTGAGAACTGCAAAAGTAAACCAAGCATCTGTGATAATATCTTGTAGGCAGAGAAACTGCCCAATAATCTTACAAAAACCTCTGGAAGAGCATGACATTGTGAATGGATTAATGGAATTTATTTACCAAAAAAATTAAACATATACAGCCTTGTTCTACATAATTAAAAAACTAATCTTTATTTCATGATGGAATAACCTTTGGATGGTAATATATTTTCCTCAAAAAGCATTTTATTTAAAAAAATCTGATATAAATAAAAAAAATCCGATTTAAATAAAAAAAATCTGATTTTTTTGATTTTTTTAAAAAAAAATCATTGATTTTTATCCACCCTGCTTGCAACTGAGGCTGTCCCTCTTTTCAGACATAGGTAAAGGGTCTTCTTGGGATTAGAAATTGTTTCACTGTGCCTATCATTACTACTAATTAAACATATGCAATATAAATTTAGGAAGCTGCCTTTTAATCACAACATTAGCTTATTTAACCGGCTATGGCAATGTTTCTGAACTGTGGCCATCTTAATGGTAACATGGGTGGACCAACTCCCAGAATCTCCAGGGAAATGCCGCCTGAGGAATTCTGGGAGATGAAGTCCTCTCATCTTTATTGCCATAGTTGAGAAAGATTGCTCTATGGTTTAGGAATCGGTAGACTCTTTTTTTTTGTAAAAAGGTTTTTTTTTTAATTTTTTTACACAAACAAACATACAGTGTATTTTTTCTGAACAGAGTATTGGCCGGTTCACAAATTTATACTATTTTTAATCATCTCCAACATCATTTATATATTTCACTTTTTGCCATAATATTCATTCTCTTTAATTTTTATAAACCAATATTACCCTTCATCCTAATCTCTAATCTTAATAAAATTCAATTTTTCCCTTTTCAACTCTTAAATTAAACCCCTTAAATTTAAAATCTCACAACATAATGTAATTGCCAATATTTCCTTAAATTCCCTTTTTACAATCACAAATATTTTTCTTTATCAACTGTTCCAAATAATACAGTCCAACATTTTAACAAAGATCAGTTAAATATATAGCATTACAGTCACTCATTTTTTTCTATTATTTTTTAAAGTATATAATCTCTTCTTATTAAATAATAAACCAAATTACTTTGTACAGTACGTTTTCTTAAATCTTAAATCCAATTTTCAATTACTTTGTCATATATATATATATATTTGTACTTCTTCAAACAGTATCTTAATCTTTTCTAATTAAACAGCAAATTAATTAATTCATAATACAATATCATTTCCAATTTTTTTTTAAGTTAAATTCCAAAATTGCAATTAAAAATTTTCTGGTTATTATAATTTCCATAATTACAATTAAAAATATTCCAACTATTACAATCTCATATATTAAGCTTGTTTGTATTTCTGAATCTTATTTCAATTCATTTATAAATCCGTGTAATTATCCATTACTTTGTACTTACTTAAAAACAAAATTAGTTTTCAGCTTAATTTCCATTCCAAGTATCACAATCTCAACTATTGCATTTTCTAAAATTCATTATAACTGTAAATCTTACTTCAGTTCATTTTTTAATTCTAAATGTATACAACATAATTCCTCTTTTATTTCTTTATCCTTTCTCCCATTTTTTTCTTTTTTCTTCCCCTATCTTTTTTTCTGAATTTTAAAGTCCTTCTATTTTGCCCTGTATTTCCTGTTATTCTCCATCCCTTTTTCCTCTTTCTTATTTTCCCACTGTTAATCTCAGTGTAATCATTTACGTTTTTAATATTCTTTCTATTCCTCCCCTTTTTTCCCTTCTTGTCTCTTTCCACCCTCTATTTTTATCATCGTTAATCCCAATGTAATCTTTAAAGTTCCTCTGTTGCTAAGCTTATCTCTTTACTCCCAGTTTTCTTCTCCTTTTCATTATTACTATCCACATAATCATTTAATTTTTCATAATCACTCTTTATCTTTATTTTCAGTTTCACTTTTTTGCTTCTCATTCGTAGTTTCTTTATCTACTTGAGTGTGCTCTAACACAATTTCTGATTCATTAAGTTTAGGTTTTTCATGCAGCATTATAATCATTTCTTTTACTTCCGTTTTCAGTGATATATGCATCATTTTAATCATTTCAATAAATTCCTGCGCCATTTTATTATTTCTGGGTTAGTGTTATTCCAATTTTAAGTTCTGTTGTAATCTACCTTCTTTGATTATCAAGGTTGAGCAGCTTGCAGACAAACAGACCCTCCTTAGAAGTTCCCACAGCTGGTATCACTATCAAACTTCCAAGTTTTTTTTCCCCAAAATAAAAGTTCAATGTTGTAATGATCTTATTTCACCTGTAGGTGTCTCTCTACAATCTACAATTCCAATCAACAGCCTAAAAAAGTATCCATTTTGTTTGCAATCCACATTATCAATCTTTACTAATTTTTTCTCTTCTTTTTCTTCTTCTTCTTCTTTTTTTTTTGTATTTCCCCAAGTCAATTTAAAATCCAATCCAAATTATAAAGTCTGTTTTTCCCTTTTCTTTCTTTTTTCTCCTCCCTTCATCAGCTTGAGCCAGGGGAAAGATTAAGTGTTTACCGAGACATCTGGTCTACCCCAACATGTGGGAAGGGAGGCTGATGAGAGCTAAAAAGCTTGAAATAGATCTATACTAGTCTCTCTTTATTTCTTTATCAGCAAAATATAAATTTGGTATAAAATGGTTTGTCGTGAATGCGACTGCTTGAGGGCTCCTGGATTGGAGCTGAAAGGCGAAAGGGAGCACAATGCCCCCTCCCACATGTTGGGGTAGACCAGGTGTCTCAGTAAACACTACACACACACACACATTGCTCAAAAAAATAAAGGGAACACAAACAGAAGACATCCGAGATCTGAATGAATGAAATAGCCTTATTATATTTATATTTTATATTTATATTTTATTAAATTTCTATACCACCCTTCTCCCGAAGGACTCAGGGCGGTGAACAGCCACGAGATAAAATACATAAATATAAAAAATTAAAAATGAATTAAATAATTTGGCTGAATTTAAAATACCCCATAATTTAAAACAAATTAAAATTTACATTTAAAAATTTACATTTAAAAAGGGGAGAAGATTTAGGCCAGGCCAGCTTGATGGAATAGGAAAGTCTTAAATACTTTTGTTAAGTATTTAATACTTATTAAATACTTTGTTCGTTACATACAGTAGTTTTGTGTTCCCTTTAGTTGTTTGAGCAGTGTATAAACTTCTGTATGTAACGAACAAAGTATTTAATAAGGCTATTTCATTCATTCAGATCTCGGATGTCTTCTGCTTCGGTTCCCTTTATTTTTTTGAGCTCTCTCTCGCTCTCGCTCTCTCTACTCCCCCGTCTCTCTCTCTCTCTCTCTCTCTCTCTCTCTCTCTCTCTCTCTCTCTCTATATATATATATATATATATATATATATATATATATATATATATATATGAACCTTTGTACTTAAATAAGGTCTTTAGAGTAAAAGTTGGTAATTATCTCACCCAGTTTCAATGCTCTGTCCATGAACCGTTCCAGCACAAATCTTATGGTCCCAGTTGTCCCAGCTTGTGACTGCCAAAAATGGCCGTTGTCCCTGCTGTCGTTCAGGAGAGTTTGCTTCGGACCTAACGAGGAAATTGCAAGTGCCTCATGGTGTAGCAAAGTGCCTCTCCTTCCCTCACCACCCTTACAAGGCGGCTATGACACCGTAGGGTCTTCTGACAGCAGTTACTGGCTGGATTTTGCAAGTCTCGGAGCCCGCTATTTTCCAACTGTTCATGGCGCGACATCAACCGGAAGTCCCTACTTACAAACATTTCTTTAGTGATAGTTTAAAGTTACAACATCATTGAAAAAAGTGACTTGCAACCATCATAGCATCCCCATGATCACATGATTAAAATTCAGGCAATTGGCAACTGGCATGTATTTACAATAATTGCAGTGTCCCAAGATCATGTGATTGCCATTTGTGACTTTCCCAGCTAGTTTTCAATAAGGAAAGAAAACGTGGAATGCCAGATTTCTTTAACAACTGCATGATTCACATAATAACCACTGTAGCAACCTTACAAAAAAGGACATAAATCGGGTGAGACTCACTTAACCATTTTGCAGTCTGGTCCCAATTGTAATCATTACCTGTATTACTATGAACCTTATCTACAGGTTTTGAGAAGGGACAACACATTTTATCCTAAGAAAGTGGCAAGTAGATTATCCCCTAGTTTCCTGTTTTTTTTCTTCCACTGAAAAGGAACGTAATGATGACACTAATTAAATTTCTAATAATAAATAATAGTTTATTATTCTAACCAACAATTGCTTCCATATTTTAGGTTTTGTCAACATGGAGGAGGATTCAACATATAATAAAGGTACATATATTAAGAGGGCACAGGTTTTTTTAAACTACCCTCTTAACATAAAACTGATTCAACTTTTTTCTTTTCACAGTTGAAATTGTAATTGGCTGTCATATAGAAGATGCTGTAACTTTTTGGGCACAGGTAAAGTCAAAATTGTGGGGTGTTATGAACAGCACTGTTGATTAAAGTGAGATTAAAATAATTCATGCCTGAGGGAGTTATTATTTATCTAAAATAAAAATGCTGAAATTTGATATTTAATAAAATCCAGTTTTTTTTTAAAGATTAAATCATAAAATTCTACATGTAGAATGTTTTATGTTTGAATCACTTTAGTATTTGTCATTGATTATGTATAAAAATCTCGAATGTGAATGTTTATTCGGATTTCAATGTGTGTTGTTTAGACCATTAATAAAGCTAAGGAAATTTTGAAGATTAGTTCTGGTCTGGCTGAAATCTGTCCTCATGCTATCCCAGTTTTTGGCAATCCTGATTTTAATAAGGTAGGTTATATACATATTTTCTTTTCTTATATAAGCATAGGATAACATTTTGCAGGGATCACTTGAATTTGTATGCTTTAATATGCACTCCCAAGGGCTTCTATTTGAAGTAAATTGATGAGTTTTTAAATAATAATATTCTTGTCTTCCACTTCTGCTTTTAGTACATGCACAGTAAATATTGACTAGGTTTGCATTTCATGCTAAATGATAACATATTACTTAATGATCCAGCCCAATTTGTTAACTGTGGTGTCAGGTTCCGAATCAGGATAAGAAAATAAATCAGAGACAATAGGGTGGATGTTGTTCTAAAGTTTTATCTTCCTAAATTCGGCACACTCCCACAATCACCCAGTGAAATTACAGTGAAATATTGTCAGCTCTAACCTAATCGTGCTTTCCCTTCCCGTTTTAAACAGAGCACGCCCCACCCCACTACTCCTCTCCCAGATTCCACCCCAAATCCCTGTGCTGATTGGAGGGCTCCAGCTGCCTTCCTCCGGCCAGTAATTCAGTGCAATTAGTCCTGGTTCGTTGGGGCTGTTCCGATTGGGATAGGTCTGGTAGGCCTCCATTAATGCTGGATAATGTAGCTGGCACTTCATCCACGCAAGTGCAGTCCTATCCGCCCTCAGCTGGAGGCCCTGTGAACGGGTGAAGGAAGAGGATTCCACCCTCTGTTTACAGGAGGAGGCAAGTTGTTAAGGATATTGTTGTGTTACCAACCAGCAGAGTAAGTGCACAGAGAAACGGTACTGAGAGCAATGAATACAATACATACAAACTGGTTTAACAAAGTTTTTACTTTGTAGTGAAAAACAATTGCATAGTCTTTTAATCAGTCCAAGTCTTTAGCCATTCAAATCAGTCCGAAGTTACAGATATCTTCTTACCAGACAAACAGCAGTTGATAATAAACAGCAAATCAACACTGGTAACAAATCACGATGGTAGCATATCCATCCTCGATGAGAACTCCTTCATACACGATGAGAGCAGTTCCAACCAACAAGTCAAGCAGCAAGTCAAGCAATGATGAGAGCAGGTCCAACAATGACTATAGCTCGGCTTCCTTCTTATATACAGTTTACACTAGTAATTATCCACTTAAGATAAGTGAAGTCAGCAGCGCAATGACTCAACAGTACAATTATGATAATTGCAGTCAGCAGTCAGTCAGCAGTCAATAGTCATTACAATGACTCAGCATTACATTTAAAGTTATAGAACACATATATTGTTACAGGATACATTTAAAGTTATAGAACACATATATTGCCTGGACAACCCATTAGACTTATACCATATCTTAACATGATGGCAAGGCAAGATATCCGGGCAGGAACGTGGGCTGCATATTCTGTCTGCCTCCGTTCCCACCAGAATGACAGCCCCAATGACATGGGCTGACATGTGACTTGTTCTACAAAACGTGGTGTAATATATTATGAGATCCGGCTTTTCATTTGCCTTAAAATATTGTAGTCAATGCCATTTTCATTTATATTTGCCATATACTTTGAGCAATTTATGATAGAAAAGTTGAGTAAATATTTTAAATAAATACAAGTGCTGATGTTGGCATCATTGCTGAACATGCCATCTTAGTATTGGCAAGCTTCACTCATTTTAATGTTAGTGGACAAAGAAGAGCAGCTTGCAAACAGTTGACAAACTATAAATGCGTCACTATCAAAAAGAAAAAAATATTTATTTATCTATTTATTATCAAATTTATATACCGCCCTTCTCCCGAAGGATTCAGGGCGGTGCACAGCCAAAGTAAAAAACATAGATACAAACATTAAAATACAGTTAAAAATATATATATATATGCTTTTGGCCCCAGAATTAAAAGAGCAATAACAAACCTGTTAAAAACATTTAAAAATGTGTTAAGCCAGCCCGGCTTGCTGAAAAAGATAGTACTTCTAGTTGCTGTAGAAATATTACAACAATATGTACAGGTAATTCTTAGTTACCGACTGCATCATGTAGCAATTGTTTGAAGTTTAGGGTTCACTAAAATAATAAATAGTTGTGATCAGTCATTGCATTTCTGATCATCACATAACCATTGTTAGCTACTCTTGGCTGTGCCTGCTTCTCCGCCAGGGTCCCGCCACCATTTATTTATTTATTTATTTATTATTTTATTTCAAATTTATATACTGCACCTTCTCCCAAGGGACTCAGAGCGGTGTACAACCAGATAAAAACTTACAATACCAAAATTAAGAACAATTAAAAGAATATATATTAATTTGGCCCCAGTTTAAAATGAAAAACCAATTAAAAATTTAAAATTTAAAAATATGTTAAGCCAGCCCGGCTTGATGAATTGACCTCATTGCATTAACCTCTTAGCTTTTCTTTTCGGCTGACCTGCCCCTAGCTGCCCCTAGCTGTTGGCCAGGGCCCTCCGTCCCATGCCATTCAGCGCAGCCCATTTGCCGAAACAGCTTTTGGCCACCTGGGACAGTTAGCTGCTAGCCAATAGGCCAGTGATAGCTAACCTTTTTGCCATCAAGTGCCAAAAGCGGGGAGAGCATGGGGGGGGGTCGCGCGCACGTGTGCCCACACCCATAATTCTATGTGTCCTGCCCCCTGCGCATGCGCACATGATCCCCCATGTTCCCCCCACTTTTGGCACATGATGGCATGGTGGCCCACCGGACTTCTAGTGGAACGGGAAGTCAGGAAACAGGCCGTTTCCGGCCTCCAGAGGGCCTCCAGGGGGGTGATGAAAGTCGTTTTCGTCCTCCCCAGGCTCCTAGAAAGATACTGGAGCAAAAAACAGGCCTTCCAGTCCTACCGAAGACCCTCCGTAGGCCAGAAACAGTATGTTTCCTGACTTCTGGTGGGCCCAGAAGGCCTGAAAATCAGCTGGCGGAGGTCAGCTCGCGTGCCCACCAATATGGCTCTGCGTGCCACTTGTGGCACCTGTGCCATAGGTTCGCCATCACAGCAATAGGCTAACTGCCAATGCTGGCAGCCAGAAGCCACGGTGCGATTGATTGTAGGGGCTGGGGGACTTTGGGGGAGGTGCTGCAGCCAAAGGGCTTCAGGCACTTGTTAGGAGAAGGAAGGGGAGGGGTGGAAGCTCCCCTGTATCTGATTGTGCCTTCCTGACACTGAACGGGCAATGTTTGTTGCTGCCCAGATTTGGTTGGAAGGGAAGAACGGGGGTAGGGGAGGTGGTAAGTAAGCTGGCTTCACCAAAGGAGTTTTTGTTTCGGGTGGGTATCATAGTCTTAGAAGGAGAGAGGGAAGGAGGAAAGGAAGGGAGAGAAATATAGCGAGAGAGAGAGAGAGGGAGAAGGGAGACAAAAGAAAGAAAAGGAAGAAAAAGAAAAGAAAGAAAGAGGGAAGGGAAAGTGAATGAGATATGGATGGATGGATGGATAGAGGGACAGAGGCAGAGAAAAAGGAGAGGAAGGATGGACCATTTTGGTGTCTCTAACAGAGTGGAAAATTCCCAGAAAAGGGAAAGAGTTTACTAGGACAAGGCTGCCATGCAGAGGAAGGCAGAGAGAGTCCTTGACTTACAACCACGATTGAGCCCAAAATTTTGGTTGCTAAGCAAGAGCGTTGTTAAAATGAGTTTTGACACATTTTACTCAATCCATCCTTCAACAGTAGATGTCAATCACTGTAGACCAGACTGAGAATTTGAGAGCAAAAGCCTGCTGAATTACAGGTGATTGACACACTTGGAAGGGAAGGGTAAGGCTTGACTTATTGTATGTCCGCCATTGAGCCTCGAATCTCTCTTGCTAAGCAAGATAGCTGTTCAGTGAACTTTCGCCTACTTTACGACCTTTCTTGCCACCATTGTTGGAGGATTCCCTTTTCTGGGAATTTTCCTCTGTTAGAGGCACCAAAACAACCCAGATGATATATGGTCTCCTGCTGAAGCGGGGTTGGACTAGATGACCTCTGAGGTTCCTTCCAGCCCTGGATTGCTGTGTTATTTCAAAGCGTCCTCTGAAGTTGTGTCTTGTGCCAGGGTTTGCAATCTTTCCTTCCTCTCCTTTTTCTCTGCCTCCCTCCCTCTATCCATCCATCATTGTCTCATTCACTTCCCCTTCACTTCCTCCTTCCTTCCTTCCTTCCTTCCTTCCTTCCTTCCTTCCTTCCTTCCTTCCTTCCTTCCTTTCTCCCTTCCCTTCACTTCCCTTCCTCTTTTCTTCCTCCTTTCTTTCTTTCTCCTTCCCTCTCTCCTTTCTTTCTTTCATTCTTTCTTTTTCTTTTTTTCTCACCTCCTTCCCTTTCTCCCTTTTTCTTCCGCTTTCTCTCTTTCTTTCTCTTTCTCTTTCTTTTCTTTCTTTCTCTTCTTTCTTGTCTCCCTCCCTCCTCCCCCTTTCTTTCTTCTTCACTCTCTCCTTCTAAGACTAGGATACCCACCCAAAACAAAAACTCCTTTGGATGAAGCTGGTTTACTTACCACCCGCCCTGCTCTTCCCTTCCAACCAAACCCTGGTGGTAGTCACAGCAATAAACACTGCCCGTTCCATATCAGGGAGGCATGACCCAAAAGTCCCATTCTGTCCGGGCCTGCTTTCTTGTTGGCAAAGTGCTTGAGGATTACATCCCTGTAGGCTTCGGTAGCCCTTTGCAAAATGCCTTTGCCGGTAGGAACAGAGCTTTGGAGGGACACTCCCACTCCTCCTGCTACCAAAGCCTATAGGATCGCAGTCTCCCTGCAAGCTTCAGCAAGGAAACAGCAAACTGAGGGAAGGCCTGAAGAAACGAAGCCTTCCCTCTGTTTGCAAATATCTAGGCCTCAATTCGCAGAGAATAGAGGGCTAAAATGCGAGATTACACAAGATTACACAAGATTTTGTGCTACTGAAATCGCATGATCTCGCGGTGTGTTAGGCCTATGTTCTCTGCAAATGCAGGCAAAGAAACCACGACAGAGAAGAGATCTTCGTGATATGCCTGTGAAGACCTGGTGGGAGGGAATAGGAGGAGAGAATGTTGCAGAGCCTCTGTGGTCATTCGTAACAGTGAACAACTGCTGTGTTGCTGCAATATTCATAATTTCGGGACCTGTTCATAAACACTACAGGGCGCTTATCACGTAACTTCGAACTTTCGCTAAGGGAACGCTCATAACCTGGGGATTACATCTATTATAAAATCATAATTTGAAGGATGGTATAGAAGCAACATCTCTTTTTTTGCTTATAGCAGTGTGCTTGCTCTTAATTGTTTTATGGTTAAGCATGCTGGTAATGGATCCTGGATATTGGTCTAACAAAAGAATTACTATTTCCTGTTGCTAAGGATTATTGTGCATAAAACTCTTCACATAGAATTCTTTGTATGAAATTGAAAAATTTTTTTTTAACTTTTCCAAAAGGAGAATTTTTACAACGTTACCTGTAACTTCTATATTTTCCCCCTAATATTTGAAAATTATTATTTTTTTCTCCATAGTTTTAATGGAGAAACAAAAATTTCCAATTTCCTTTTTCCCCCCCTGGAAATTCAGATTACTATAATTTTTATGAATATTTTGTCAAGTGATATTAGGATGAAATTTCATAAACCCAAATAACCTGTGTGCATACTAAACTACTTTTGAGAATATCAGAATAAATTATTCTGGAAAATGATATAAAACTATGGGATATATCTTTGGTAAATTGCTGACAATCTTTATTTCTGTTTATCTTTGCTGTTTATCTTTATTGGGATGTCATGATGACTTTCTACACACACTGAATCTGTGTTTTGTATGCAATGTGACTAAATAATTTCTCTAAGAACAAGAATTTATTCTGTTTTGTAGTACTATACAAATACATCCTTTTTAGAATGAAAGGCTGCTTTAAGAAAATCTGAATTGGTAGCTATAAAAAATTAAAATAGGTTCATTGCATTTTTACAGGATTGTATTCAATGAATTATAATATTCTGGGCAAAATTATTCATACTATAATGAAGTTAGAATCTAAAAATTGCATGGAAAGTTACAAATTGATCTACATTTGTTTTAATCCTCAGATATATGGAGGTTGCTTTTCTGAAGATAAATGCTGGTACAGATGTAAAATACTCCAAGTTATCAATGATGAAAAAGTAAGGATGATAGTTTAATCAATAGCAGCTCAGCTTGATTTTTTGAATATAATTTTGGAAATACAAAAATTGGTTGAAAAGAAAATTGAAGTTTTGTAAAGTGCAGCAAGTTTAAGTTTGTAGCCTAGTTAATAATTCTATGTACACTGTTCAAATTTTTTTGTCTTGTTCTGCTGCTGTATTTTAAAAATTATATGCTTCATTGTATAACTGGAGAGAATATTGACTTCTGATTTTAATATCCAAGTCTAAACAAAGAGATTGTTTTTGTACAGCTAAGCTTGGATCAACTTTTCGTCCTATTTTGTTACATTTGCATACTTACAAGTAAGCCCCACCAAGATCTATGGGCTTTACTTTTTACTAGTGTACACAATTGTATTGATGCCTTGAAAGTCTTAAGTGCTATGGAGAAAGTTACTGAGACTTTCTATTCTGTTTCCTTCCCCAGAGCAAGGAGTAGATGAAGGAGATTTTCAAATAAAAGGCAGTTGTGGTTAATGGTCAAACAGTTCAAATAGTGTCTACAGCTCTGATTCAGGGAAAGGCTCAGCCATTAACTTTCAGTAAGAGAAAGTTTATGGAAGTGTCCCTAGAGAACATGATGTAATTACTTAGATTATATTTTCTATTGTCTTTGTACATTTTGTTCTCTTGGTTGTTTTTATCTGTAAACACATATTCATTAATCGATTTTATTTCCATTATCTCCTTTAGGTGTATGTCTACTTTTATTATAAATTAAAGTGATATTTCTTTATCCAGATTGTTTGCTCTTTGAAAACTGATTCCTAATATATCATGTTGTTTATAATGCTATTCCTGATTTTTTACATAATGTCCCTATAAGGAAAATCAGGAAGGAAGAAGGCTTTCCTGCTTTGTTCAAATGGCTAAGACACTGAGCTTGTTGATCAGAAAGGTCAGCAGTTGGGCGGTTCGAATCCCTAGTACAGGTCTCCTGCTTGAACAGGGGGTTGGACTAGATGGCCTCCAAGGTCCCTTCCAACTCTGTTACTGTTAAAATAAGAGGGATCCTCAAATAAGATAAGGGTTAGAACACTCCAGTGACATGGTATAAATAGAGTTTACTTGGTGCTTTTGGAGAATCCCAATCTGTGGAAATCCATTATAGGAGGGAAACCTCCCAGCAAGGAGCGAATGGGGTGGTGTGTCAACTGGGAAGAATAGGCTTCACTACCTTACAGCTTCAAAAGGCAGATTTTTAAAAATCTTTGTTATTTTGCTGTTACAGTGTCAAGTATTATACATTGACTATGGGAACTCTGAGGCCCTCAGAAGATCAGAAATAGTTGAGATCCCTGAAAACTTGCAGTTTCCTGGTGTGGCAAAAAAATATAAATTGTGGGGATTGCAGATATCAGCTAATATAGATTTAAATCAATTTGATCGGGTAAGCCAGATGTTTCCTGTGATTGTTTGTGTATGTAAATTTCAAATGTAAACTCGATGGTTGGTAGTTGTGGCAAGGGTGTGGAGAAAAATGTGTATATATAAATTTGCAAAGAAACGTAACAGCATCAGTTCTTCTCTTGATAGCATTCATGTTATTTTAATTATATTGTGAGCTATTTATTCTTCTTTTTTCTTTTACTGATTATGAAAAAACCTTAGTTTTAGTATAGCATAGACATGCCTTCTATAACATCTTATTCCAGTGATGGTGAACCAAGTGCCCAAATTGGAATGAGTGCGCATGCGTGCGTCAGAAACCCAAAGACTGGTGCTGGTGTGCTCGTGCACACCAGCACCTGGTTTTTGGATTTCTGGCGTGCGCATGTGTGCCGGCAGCTGTTGTTCATGCATGCCGGAATGCCGGAAACCTGAAGACCAGATGGCTGGCATCAGTCAGTGCATGTGCACTGGCCAGCTGGTCTTCGGGTTTCTGGCGCTCCGGCGTGTGCGCAGACCAGCTGGCTAGCATGCATGCGTGTGCCAGAAGCCAGAAGAGCAGTTGGCGACAGCACGGGTGCCCACAGTGAGGGCTCTGCGTGCCACTTCTGGCACACGTGTTATAGGTTCGCCATCACTGTCTTATTGACGTCATGAAGAGACACCTAAACAAGGAATTGAGCTTTTATTTTCCCCCTCCCAAACTTTCCCATTTAATTTCATTTATACAGATGCAAAATGGTGAAAAGCAGTCTGTGTCATTCATTTTTTTCCCAAGGGTTGTATAAAATGAGTTTCACTTTTAGATAGTTTCTGAATTGCTGGCCAGGACATCATAAATGGAGCATGTCCTTGATTGCAAAGTAGCAGTCAGTATCCTCGAAGATCCTCGCATTGTAAGAAACTGAAATTAAATGCTCAGTTGAAAGGGATAAAAAAATAAAAAGGAGCAATCTGTTTTGTTCTGATCAAAAGCCATGATTACTCCATTTTATATACCTTTCTTACTTATAAAAGAATTACCATGTATATTTAAGGTGTCAAAAATTAACAGGCAAAGAAATACTGTGAATATTTAGATTAACCAGCCAGCTAAAGACATTCAGTTTCTGTTTTAACAAGAACTGTCTAAAGCAATACTTGAAGTGAATATACTTTTTTAGTTTTTGGTTAAATCAGATTGAATGTGGCTCTGAATGATAGATATCAAGGTGGTCAAAGTACTGGAAGCAATTTGTGTATTTTTTTAATTTTTTTTTTACATAAATAATATAGCTTTTGATGAGTCAGAGAAAGAGAGAGAATATACTGCAGCAATGCACTTCATTCATTCTGAGATTCTTTAATTGTAAGATCATATTTCAACTTCTTCTATAATACCTTATAAATTTTATTTTGCAGGGGAAGATATTTCTGAATAGTTTGATATTTGAAAAAGAAATGAAGATAACACATAAAAGTGTGCATCGGGATGGAACCATTGTTGCCCATGCAGAATGTGGTTTACTGGATGTTGGGGAAGAGATGGTTAAGAAAGGCTTTGTTGAACTTCGCAAATCTCCCATAAAAAATAAATTCATGGACACAAAAATGGATTTCTTTTTGTATAAGAATGCCAAAACATCAACTCCAAGATCGGCTATAAATGCCTTAGCAAGTACTAGAGTGACAGGAAGTTTTGGTGATAGGTTTCTGAGTGAAAGAAATGAGAATAATTCTATAGATCGTATTTCTTCGAACCAGTAAGTTATAGTGGGAGAAGTTTTTCTGTGATATAGTTTGATAACTGTGAAAGACAATGGTACAAAATTATTTGTTAGATTAAAAGTATGCCACCTGCACCCATGGATACAATATACTGCATACAGTTTTTAATTTTTAATTTGCTACAATGGAAAAACTATTATTATTACTCACATATTTAATTATATTAACATGAATGGGTAATTTATCTGAATTTTAAATTTGATCCTCATTTCATTAAAGGTTGACTTCTTGGTCCCTCCTACATTTTGGAGCATACTCGCCAGCAGAATGCTGAAACACCAAGGGTGGTCCAGCCTTGGTTAATGTAGCCTGAATTTCTCTAGAAGGAAATGAGACTCACATGCAAAGCTAAACCATTGGTTAAGCAATACTTTTTTAAAAATTATTTTGGTGATATAAAATATAAATGAAAACAGACAATAGGAAAGGGGGTAAGGAAAAAAGGAAAGGGGAATAAAATCAAGAGAGAGAAAAAAAATCTGCATTCTCACTTTTTTAGTGCACTAAATTACATGATAAAATTGATCTCAGCTTTTTACTTATATAAAGATAGTGCTAGCCATTTCCTATTTAATCATCAAAAGCCAAAATTAAAGCTTCGTTTTTATCTCTTTCAAGCAGAAACTCCAGAAAAGACCAATTCCTTGTGTGTCCAATCATACTTGGCCAATAAAGAATTCTATTCTATTCTATTCTATTCTATTCTATTCTATTCTATTCTATTTTCCAGTGCGCTGCTCCCACAATCCATGGCTGAGTTTATTCTCTACGTCTTGACAGCAGCTGAGAGAAAAAAACTTTCTTCCTTCGTTCTATAACTATGCCCCCTTGTCTCCTTGCTCTCCAGTCTTTTTCTCTCAGTCGCTGACAGACTGGTGTATTTCCTTCATGCTTGGGCTTTTCCCAGCTAAATTTTTAGGATCGTTAGATTAAATTTCTTTATTTTCGATTATTTCCTTTTATGAGAAGAGAGTTTAATATTGCAGCCAGTTGCTGAGGTGTGTGTGACGCGTCTGGGGCTCCACGCCATCCCGTGCCTCCTCAGACATCGGGGCGGAATCGCGCTTGGCAAACTAGCTGCCGATGTTGGCGCTGGGCTGTCGTTCAACCGGCTTGCCTGCCCTCACCATTGATTTTTTGTTTTTGGCTCTCGTTAGTGGTGGCTCCGGAGACCCTGCACGGTTGTCGTGCAAACTCTGATGTTTCTCTGAGCTTCGGAGCGCTGAAGTGGTTGGCTCTGCGCCTGGATTGATCGGCTGGTGCTAGCAAGGCCTGCGTTTTCCCGCTGTTGTAGTGGCCTCCATTTTGTCTATCGGGGTGGCCGCCATCTTGAGGGCTCGTGGTGGCCTCCATTTTGTTGAGGTTGCAGCCGCCATTTTGAGAGTTCGGTGAGCTATCACTGACAGCGACACGGGCGGGGGTGGCAAAGTGGCGCGTTTGGTCCGGTTCCGGCCAACACCTTTGGGGCCTTTGGGCTTCGTTCTGCTGGTGACTGATGTGCACCCTTGTAGGTTCTCAGGCGGAGGCACGGCCTCATGATTGTCTATTTACGCTGTCTAAACCAGACAAGGACTTTATTCCTTGCTTCCAGTTATTTTCTGAGGTCATTCAGAATACATGGAGTCAGTCTGGTTCTTTGACGGCCCCCAGCAGTCAGGACAAAAAGTATTGCGCAGTCCCTGAACTGGAGGAGCTGATGTCCCTCCCGTCTGTGGACATCCCAGTCGCGAGTCTGTCATCGGCTTCAGTTCTTTCATCAGATTCTTTGGATGGACTCAAATTGGAGGACAGGATAGCCGAACTCGCGTTCCGGAAGGCGCACCAGGCGGCTGCCTGGTCAATTAAGACCACGACAACTACATCGTTCTTTAATAGGGCGTCTTTAATCTGGTTGAGACAGCTACAAGAGAGACTTCCTTCCGAGGAAACCAGATTACACCAAGACATCAATAAGATTGTAGCCGCCACCGAATATTCAGCAGACGCCTCCTTGAATTCGGCCAAATTTGCTTCACGTGCACTAGCTTCCACCGTAACATCACTGTACCTCTTTTGGCTGTGCAGTTGGAAAGCTGATGCCAAGGCCAAGTGGAAACTAGCTGCAGCGCCGTATAAGGGCCCCAACCTTTTTGGAGCCGCTTTGGATCCGGTCCTCATTGAGGACAAAGACAAGTGCAAAATACTCACGTCCTCATACCGCAGACTGGAGGGCCGTTACACTCCATATTCGTAACGGCAGCCCTTTCACGCTTCCTCAGGACCTGGGGGGGTCCTTTTCCAGCGATCCTTTCCCCAAGGGAGTGACCGTTTCTCGGACAGACAACAGTCCCGGGATCATGGCAGGTCCCAATTCCCTGCCAAGCGCCTGTACCGTGGGTCCGGGTACAAGAATTTTCATCGGGGCAAATGACTCCTGGTCGTCAGGTCCCATCGGCGGTCGTCTCCAATCTTTTCACCACCAGTGGGAACGGTCGACTTTAGATGCGTGGATTTGTCGCACCGTCACACACTGATTTCTCATCGAGTTCGTTGGCTGCCCTCCAAGTTTCATATGCTGCCCGATACCTGTCTCGCCCGAACGACAACTTCTAATGGTTGAGGAGATTCGTCATCTCTTGGACATCAGGCCATAGAACTGGTCCCCTTGGATCAGTACAGGGCTGGCTTCTACTCGGTGCTGTTTTTGGTTCCCAAAAGTTCGGGGGGGATGGAGGGGGATTCTAAATGTGAAACAGCTGAATCTGTCCGTCTGCTATCACAGATTCAAAATGCATTCCCTTCGATCGATCCTAGGAAGTGTGAGAGTGGGAGATCTCTTGCAGTCACTGGATCTCAGGGAAGCTTACCTGAATGTTCCGATTCATCCCTCCCATCGGAAGTATCTGAGGTTCGAGTATACGGGCAGCCATTTTCAATACTATGCCATGCTCTTTGGGCTCTCCTCGTTCACAACGTTCACAAAACTGGTATCGGTAGTGGCAGCCGCTCTCAGGCCCCTCCCTGTGAAGGTCTTGTGTTACCTCAACAATATTCTGCTACTCTCGTCTTCCCCGGCCCTGGTGACCCGCGACATGGAGTTGGTGATCTGTGCTTTCCAGCAGCACGGCTTCTCGATCAATCTGGACAAAAGCCAGTTACTCCTCTCCACCCGTCTGCTTCACCTTGGGGCGGTGTAGACTTGGCCAAGGGACAGGTGTTTTTGTCGCCGGACAGAATCCAGAGTATCAAAGAAATAGTAACCCAGGTACTTGCGCAGGTGTCCGTCCCCTTGCTGCTCCTGTCCCAGCTGTTGGGGAAGATGGTTTCCTGCTTTTCCAGCGTCCCCTGGGCATGCAGGCACTCTCACCCCCTGCAGTGGTTCCTCCTCCCCTTTCAGCGGACGGGCCGCAGCAACTCATCTCACAAGGTGACCCTTTCTCCGCAGATTCGTCTCTCGCTCTGTTGGTGGACATCTGCCCTATTGCGGGATGTTACTTCCTGGAGCTGGACCGTTTGGTACTGACCTCAGATGCAAGTCTTCATGGTTGGGGTGCGCACCTCCTCGATCAGGTGGCGCAAGGTCTGTGGTCTCAACCCGAACGGAGGAACAGCATACATTTCCTGGAGCTGAGGGCGATTCAACTGGCTCTTTGTCACTTCCAGCCAACATTAGAGGGGAATCACATTTTGGTCCTCATGGACAACACATCAGCCAAAGCACATGTGAACCGGGAAGGGGGCATAAGGTCAAGATCGTTGATGCTCGAGGCAGAGAGGTTGTTCTGTTGGGTGGAACGTTATGCTCTTTCCATCAAAATGGACCACATTTCTGGCGTCGCAAACGTTCATGCCGACTGGCTAAGCAGGGAGCAAATAGACCCTGTGGAGTGGCAGCTTCGCCCTCTTCTGTTTCAGAAGGTCATGCAGCGGTTTGGGACTCCGGTTATCAACCTGTTTGCCAGCCAGGCGAACGCCCAGCTGCCCCGTTTTGTGTCCCGTTAGCCGAACCCGCTAGCGGAGGATTGCGATGCCCTTCGGTGCTGGTGGCCTCCAGGCCTGTTATATGCGTTCCTGCTGATCCCCCTCATTCCACAGGTTGTGCGGAAGATGCTCACCGAGAAGGCAGAACTGCTATTGGTGGCTCCCAATTGGCCAAGCCGCCCGTGGTTCGCCAATCTAGTGGCGCTCTCGGTTACTCGTCCATGGGTGATTCCTCCACATCAGATCTCTCTGTGCCAGGAGGTCATTTGCCATCCAGAGCCTCAGTGGCTCCAGTTGACCGTCTGGCATTTGAGAGGGTCATCCTGAGGAGGGACCGCCTGTCAGACGATGTGATCGGGACAATCCAAGCTTCCAAACACCCGTCCACAGCCCGTACTTATGAAGCTTCTTGGAGGATGTTCTGCGTCTGGTGTTCCAGGAGTCACGTAGATCTGACATCGGCGGATATCCCAGACATCCTCAACTTGAACAGAGGTTTGGCTCCTTCTACTCTACGACGACAGACTGCCACCTTGTCTACTGTTCTTACGGGCCCACCTTACCAATCCTTGTCTCATCATCCTCGGATTAGGGGTTTCCTCCATGGCACCACGAATCTGCGCCTGCCTACGGTCCATCGATATCCATCCTGAGACCTTCCACTAGTCCAGCAAGCTCTTACAGCGCCTCCATTTGAATTGTTGGGATCCATTGCTCTCAAGTTCCTCTTGTTTAAGGTGGCTTTCCTCCTGGCAATTATTTCGGCCAGGAGGATTTCTGAGCTCACTGCCTTGTCAATTAGGAAGGATCTTTGTATATTTCATGCAAATACTGTGGTTCTCAGACTGGACCCTACGTTTACGCCCAAGGTGAACTCCTGGTTTCACCGGGCCCAGGAGCTCATCTTGCTGGACTTTTGCCCGTCTCCTAGACACCACTTTGAGGAGAGTTGGCACACGCTGGATGTGAGAAGGGCCCTTCGTCGATACATTCGCTGCACAGCTTCCTCCGACGGATGGAGGCTCTTCTGGTCTCGTTCCATCTGGCTACCATGGGCCAGAAGATTTCTGCTCCAACAATAGGGAGGTGGATTAAATTATTTCGCTTGTATATGAGCTCAAGGCCAGACCTCTGCCTGGCAAAATTTTTCCTTATTCCACCCGTAGTGCGGCCATCACAGCCGCTTGGGCTATGCCAGCTTCTGTCTCCGATATCTCTGGTGCTGCCACGTGGACCTCTATTTCGCCCTTCATTTGTCATTATAAAATTGACGCTTATGCTTCGGCCGAGGCTTCGTTTGGACGGAGAGTGCTGCAGTCAGTTCATTTGGACTCGGATTCTGGGAGCAGTCAACCTCCCACCCAGGGGACTTGAGCTTGGGTATCTCCCAGCCATGGATTGTGAAAGCAGCGCACTGGAAAACGGACGTTGGCTTACCTGAAAGTCCCTTTTCTGGGCGCTGCGACCACAATTCATTCCCTTCCCTTCCGGCTTCCTGCTCCAGACTTGTGGGGCCTGGGAGAGGGTCCGTTGTTGCTACTTTGTATGTGCAGTCTTTCGTATTTAGGTGGCTCACACCTTCGTGAAAAGACTGAAGAGCAAGGAGACAAGGGCGTGGTTATAGCACGAAAGAAGAAAGTTTTTTTCTCTCAGTTGCTGTCAAAACGTGGAGAATAAACCCAGCCATGGATTGTGGTCACAGCGCCCAGAAAAGGGACGTTCAGGTAAGCCAACGTCTGTTCTATTCTATTTTATTCTATTCTGGTTTCGAGTAGAAACAAAGCTAGTTACATTATTTTCCCCAAATTAAAATAGTTGCAAATGTAATAAATTCCATTTTTTTTCCAGATATATGCCCAACAGTCATAATTTTTAAAATTTCTATTATATATTTATTTCAAGGATCTTCTGAATTAAAATTCAATCTGGTCCCAGTGCTTCTTTGCCTTGTTACAAGTCCACCAGATATGATAAAAAGTATTTTCCTTACAATTACATTTCCAGCAAATATTTGAAACATCTTTATACATCTTTGTCATTTTTCCATAAATATCAGTAGTATATCATTTTGTAGATTTTTCTTTAAGGTTTTAGTTCAGCATAAATTTCAGCCCTTCATTCCACATATTTACCCACTGCTCAAGCACTATAACCAAAATTGTTTGCCCATTGAATCATACAATATATAATATATTCATATTTTAATTTAATTTCAGCACTTCGTAAATCTTCAGAATAACAAAATAACAGTCGGAAAGGACCTTGCAGGTATTCTAGTCAATCCCTTCTCAAACCCTATCCCACCTCAGACAAATGGTTATCCAATCTATTTTTAAAAATTGCCAGTTTTAGAGCACGCGCAACTTCTGGAGACATTCCACTGATTTATTGTTCTGTCAGGAAATTTCTCCTAAATTCTAGGTTGGTTCTTGCCTTAATTAGTTTCTGTCCATTGCTTCTTGTTCTACCTTCCGGTGCTTTGGAGAATAGAATGCACCTCCTCTTTGTGGCAGCCCCTTAGATATTGGAACACTGCTATCATATCACCTCTAGTCCTTTTCATTAATCTAGACTTAGACAATTCTTGCAATCGTTCTTCGTATGTTTTAGCCTCTTCTCTGCACTCTTTTTAGCGTCTCAATGTTGTTTTTATATAGTGACAACCAAAACTAGATGCAATGTTCCAAGTCAAGCTGCTTGCAGACAAAGAAATCCTCCCCCAAAAGTTCTTACAGCTCTTATCTGTAAAGTTCACACTTTTCCAAAACAAAGACCAAGTTGCATTTTTTCCTTTTTACTCCTGAAGGTGTCTCTGCAATCCACAATTACCAAATGTCAAACAAGTGTCCATTTTGTTTCAATCTACATCAACAATCTTACTTGGCTTCTCTATTTCTTTTTAGCTTGTAAAAATATCAGAATAATTTTATAGTCCAGTTCAAATTTAAACAGCTCTTCTCACTTCTTTTTTCCTTTTTTCTGTTTTAAAACTTATTGTCCATTCTCTTTAATTTTCTTAAAGTTAGAAAAAGAAAGGATCTATTTCTTTCTTTCTGATCCTTTAACCAATCGGGGCAATTTCTCTGATTATTTAAAGTTTCCAAATAATTTTGTTCAAAATTCAATTTCAATTTTATTCCTATTCTGCATTTTACAGTATTTTCTTTGAGGTTGAACTGTTTTTTCCCAAAATAGTTTCCCAAGCTTCTTGGGTTGTTTTCATGGAATTCTTCTCAAGCTCTAAGTTTATTGAAATACTCTTGAAGTCCAAGACTCTAGTTTGGCTTTGTTCTATTGCTTGTGTTTGCATAATGTTGAATTCCAATATTGCATGGTTACTCCCCTCAAGCTTCCTGTAACTTTGCCTTCTATCATTTCATATCTTACTGAGAATTAAGTCCAGTATGGCTGACCTTCTAATTCTCTTTTCTACCTTTTGGAAGACAAAATTGCCTTCTGGATTTGTCAGGAATCACTTTGATCTTCCACTAGGTGCACAGTTTATCTCCCAGTTGATGTCAGAATAGTTGAAGTTCCCCATTGCTACTGTGTGCTTCCTATATATCTTTGTTAATTGATTAGCAAAATGTTATATTTTCTCTGTTTGGGTGTGAAAAGTCCAGGTTATCTTTTCAGAGATCCCATTTTTCATTTTTACAACAGTAAACCAGAAATGTTGTCTAGTATTAAAAAATGTGAAAGTTAGCCAATGTAAAGCTGTAAACCATTGCTTATAAAGCATAATGGCCAAAATCATACATTGTGTTAAAACCACATAAAAACAGCATAATAGCTCGGGATGGAAAAAGATGACTACTTTAAAATGTTGCAGATGCTGTATTCGTTCCCCTACTAGCTCCAAAGTGTCTCAGCCCAAATAACTTATTATTTTAGAATTGGAAGCACATGTTTGGATGCCCTAGTATTTGTGTTGCATAGTCACAATAAATACATGTTCGAAGAGATGTCTTAAAATAAGCTCCATGTCTTTGTATGTATGTGCGATTTCATGAAAAATGTACAAAATGTACAACACTATGATGCTTTGGTGGGGCCCTGTAGACTCTTTGATTCTGACCCATGTAAAGCAGCTAACATTGACTATGGATTTGAACAAATAGTTACAGAACAAGCAAAAAGAAAGACAGCTATGTGTTTGTTTTGATTACAACTGGTCATAGTATCTAAGTGATCTTGAAAAAGCTAAACAGAATCAGGTATTTGGATGGTCAAATAACAGGTAATCCTAAAGTTGTAGGTCTTTTTACTTGAAAGGTTAAAAAAGTCTCAAAAAACAACACATTGTCAATAAAAAAATAAGGATGTGGCACACATTTTAGGAATTGAATATGAAGCTTAATTACCATTCAAGTGTTAATGTGTGATGTGACTTTTTGAACCCATTTGGAATAATGCATATAGTCTTTCAGAGTTTTTGTAGCTTAGCAGTGGAGTAGAACATACTGGAAAACATATCCTTACTTTCTTAGGAAGCAGAGCCATAAAATATGCTGTTGTTTTACTCAGGTTTGTTACATCAATGATAAATTAATTAGCAGCTAGTAAAGATGTCCTTGATAGGTTTGGACACATAGTTCTTTAAAACACACCTCTAAAATTCTTTCAATGAATCTTCCTTGTGTGTTCCAATAATAATAGAATGGTAATTTGTGATTTTAGAAGGATGCCAGATGTTACCCTGGAAAAGGTAAGAGAGGATCAGAGGTTAGTTGAAGAGATTAAGAAACTAAAAGAAGAAAATGGGACTTTCAAAAAAGAAAACTCTGTTCTTTCCCATCGGTGTGAAATACTGGAATCGGCACTACAGAAACTGGCATCTGATATGGAGGTAGGATAAATAGAATGGCGCTACATCCATAATTATGTAATTGTCAATCTTACAATAATGATGTAGAAAATTCTTCCTTCCTCCTTAGTGGAAAAAGTGAAGGTGGGTGCTTGATGATCTAGGTCAGTGTTTCTTAGACTTTGTCAATTTAAGAAGTAGAGACTTCAAGAATTCCCATCCAACACTATTATAAGAAACACTGATCTAGATGTTCTTTCTTTAATGTGTTTAACTTTTGTCAGTAGATTCTGTCGGCCTGGTTAAATGTAATGGGTATAAAGGAAGGTACCTGAGACAATAGTGTTCCAGTTAATATAAGCAATTCTTTACAGTCTTAATTTGTTAGCCTGGTATCCTTTAGCTCAAGAATAGTTAGTCCACAATCACTTGTAACCAAGCCCTTCTGGCTATGATTGCTAAAAATTAGAGACATTGTTCATCATTTGAGGCAGAACCCCCCCAAAATATAAGCTATAATACAGGCTTATCATCAGAGGTGGGATTCTGCCAGTTCAGTCCGGTTCTGGTGAACCGGTAGTTGTGACTGCAAGAGGCTCTGCCCTCCCGCCCTGACGTAATGCTTGAGTATTGAGCATGCGCGGAAGGCTATGCACGTGTGCATAGATGGTGCTTGCCAGCGAAGCGAGCTCACATTTGCGAACCGGTAGGGAAGGTAAGTGAATCCCACCTCTGCTTATCATGGTCTTAAAACCAAACTCTGAAATTCATCTTCTATTGGGAAAATGTTGCCTTGCCCAGATGTGTAACACGGCTTCATTCAATTTGCTTTTATCATGCTTTGCCTTCCTTTAGTAGTAATAAGTGTGTCCCTTGTCTGCTGAAAGGCTAACTACCCTTTGGTTATATTGGCTTTTCATCTCCACCATTTCCACTTAAAATATTTATTCTAGTACTATTTTCCTTTGTGATTTTAAACTGCCTGAAGCAAAAATCTAGGTACTAAGGACTAAGATCTACTTAATCCTGTTCAGTTCTTCAGTGAAAGATTGATAGCCTATAAGAAGCAGTATTGGTAGGCTAATGCTTTCATTGGTATATCCAATGCAGAAAGAGAAGAAAGCTTCCAAGGAAAGCCTTGATTGTATGGAAAATAGGCTGCTCACTTATGTAGGAACTACAATGAGAAAATTGGCTATCAGCTTCGAAAAATTGAAAGAAATGAGGTATGCATGTTTCCAGACTATATTTGTAAAGGATAATTTTTAATTGATGTAAGTAATAATCCTGGATATTTTTTCAAACATTGATTTACTCTTATGATAACCTATGATTTATTTAAGCATAGTTTATATGAAATAGACATAGCAAAATAAGGTGGGGGTTATTGAGAGAAATAATTTGAGATATTTCAGTCAACAAAAAATAATTAAAAAGTGAAAATTAACAACATTTCACAAGTTTTCTGCCATTTCAGTTTCATGATTTTGCCTGTTCCCAGCTGAAATCTCAAGAGTTCTCATGGAAAACATGGACATCTTACGAGATTTAGATGTCTTGCATATTTTGGGATTTTTGTCCATTTGTTTCTAAAGCAGATTTGTTTAATTTTGGAAAGCCAAGGGTAGCATCCAGGAATCTTGTACTGGTTTCCAGAAGCACTATATAAGTGCATGCAGACAACCATGAACCCATTTTTACTGTCACATTAGCTGAATTCATATATAAGTAAAAGATTGTAATGTGTTTCAAGTTACATTGATCAGGGTGATACTAAAAATAGCTACAGATAATCTTTGACGTTACAGTTGACTTCCCAAAAGGTACTTATGATGGCCTCTCACCCCTCTCCTGATCATATGATCACTGTCAACTCCCGAACAGTTAGGCGCTTGGCAACTGGTCCATATTTATGGCCATTTGCAGCTATGTGACTGATTTATATTTTTTGTTGGAAAAAAGTTTTACTTCTAGTTTCTTGCAAAAAAATACTCATTGCGGACAATGAGTTTGCTTAACCACCTCAGCTTTTGTTACAAGAGCTGCATTCCCTTAATAACTGCAAAAAGGTTGTAAAATTGCTTTGGTTAAATGGGTGCCTTAAATTACAACCATCATGACATATGACAGAAATTTCAGGCTTCATTATGTCATAAGTCAAGGACAACCTGCATTGGCCCAGTTAATTGAGTAGAATGGCATCTTACTTTCAGTAATGGTTAGAGACCTCAGTAGGTATGTGCAATATTTGACAATTCAAGAACAGATTATCTCAAAGACCAGTGGACCGTTTAAACTTCCTTGTTTAAAATAAATTCTCTGAAGTTATTTAAACTGTCTTGGAAACCCAGCAGTTCCATAAAAGTCTTTTCTGATCTCTCTGCAGAAAAACCTGTTTTTTCACACAATGTCAAATAGCAGGATTTACCTAACACACATAAAAATGTAATTATGTACAATATTTAAATCAATGTGTTTGATGATAGAAAGGTAGATCATAGTACCAACTTCTGTAGAAAGTCAGTGTTCTGGCTACCATCTTGATTTCATTGATCCCTCCCTCCCCTGATTCCACTAGTTATTTGGCATAGTGAAACGTTTGAACAGCTGTGAAGAAAAAGGATAATGTTTCAGGAGGCAGAGAAAGTGGAATAGGCTAGAAAGAGCGAGAAAGTGAGACAAAAAAGTTGGAATAGAAGAGGTAAGTAGGGAGGAAATACAAGAAGGTATAAAAAGCAGAATAGAGGTTAGCAGCTTCGCAGTTGGTGAGGAAACAGGAAGGAGGGTAGGCTAGGGTGAAGGAAAGAAATGAAGGGAAATATAGCAGCAGGCAACCTGATGGGGAGGTGCAGGAAGGAAGAAAGGCCGGGGAATGAGAAAGGAACAAGGGGGTTCAAAGACTGAGCATAGTCTGGGGATAAACTTCATACTTCCCTGATAAATACTATTGCTTTATCTTTTAAAGAGTACAATTACCTAAGCATATTGTTTCGTTATGTCTCTGATAATAGTATTCCTACATGAAAGATTTAATGTTCTTGTGTATTCTTTTATTGTACGTCAGATAGAATCAATTATACTTGTAATATTGGGACATATTTTATTGAGTAAAAATAGCTGCAAGAGATACATAGCAATGGATCTTAATTATATAATGGACCTTAATTATATAGTATTATAAATGTTCATTTTTAAATATTATTCAGGCAAAATCATGCAGCAGCTCATTTGGGAGAAGATCTTTTAGAAACCGCAAATAGAGTTACCAAAGAGCAGCTTGTAGTCCCTCAGTCCATGGAAACACTGGAAAAGTTATGGGCAGATTATAATAACTACCAGCAAGAAATACGCCACTGCAAAGATGTGGTAGGTGACATATCATACCATTTTATGGCAAATCATAAGCTCTGATGACGTTTCTTAAATTTTGTTGATGTAGTTGCTTATGCTTGTTAGCAAAAGGATCACCAAGGATTTAAAATGTGATCATATTTTGCTAATATGTGATGTATCCATATTTATTTATTCGTTTTTTATCCTACTTTATAAGTAACTCAAGACGGTGAACATCCATAATATTCCTATTTTTCCACAACAACCCTGTGAGTTGAGTTGGGCTGAGAGAGTGTAATTGGCTGAAAATTATCCAGCTGGCTTTCATGCCTAAGGCAGGACTAGAATTCATAAATCTCCTGTGCACTTAATTTCAGTATGTTATGATGTTACTGAGTTGGAATTTCTTTGGCCACGCCCTCCTTCTCCGACCGAGCCCCAGTTTTTTCAACTCAGTCTGAATGAAAGACTTGTTTGAGTTGGTTCCTTAAAATAAATTAAATAAAAATTAGGAAATTGGCTATTTTTGACTTACTTTCAAATTAATGTAATTAGAGCCTCTAAATTGAATTGGGAGTGGTGAAAACGGAGCACAGAGAGTGATTAGCGCTGCAGACCCTGCAAACAACGTTTCAATCGCTGGGGTGGCCGCCATTACCGGGTCGCACAGATCGCGCTGGGATTCATCCCTGGCCATCTGGAAGGCATCGTGGGCACTAGGGAAGTCCGAGGCTTCAGTTTCTCTGCATTTTGAGAGCTGCTGGAGAGCAGCAGGCCGGAGGGAAGCGCGTTGATCATGGGGTCAGTAGCCGCCATTTTGTGGGCGGCGGCCATTTGGTAGCAGCACACACCGCAGCAAATTTCTGGAAAAATTGACCAGCTGGGCAGTATTGGGAGCAAGGGTCCTTCTCCAGAGGCCTGACCATCACAGAAAATCATGGCCACGCAAGTAAAAACTGTTTCTCCTGTTTATAAAGCGTTATTTGAGTGATTGATTGCCACGTTGCTGGGAGCAAGCCCTGCTAACACCTGACGTGTCTGGTCATTATTGCTGCTACTTGTAATCATAGGCTAACAAACCATTTTGCTGGTTTGGGCGTGATTTGAACTCTGATCTGCGCAGTGAGTAAGTCTTTCAGCTTTTATTCTCTTGGGGGTTCTAAAGCCTGTTTTCAAGATTAGATATGACTAATAGCAGTGATTCTGAAGATTCGCAATATCAGGCTGATTGTTCTGTCCTTAAAAAGCCCAGATTAAGATCTAGCAAGGCTTCTGTTCTCACTCAAGCCAAATCTTCCAAATCCTCAACTGTGGCTGCTGAGAAAGATGCACTGAGGAGACAAAAAGCCTTAGAAAAGCATTTTGCAAAGGCTCAGCGACAAGCTGCAGCTTCTAAATCCCCTGAGGGGGTCTAAGAATATGGGGGAGACTTCTAATCCTGTATCTTAAGAAGTGCAACTGCAAGAAGTTCAGGAGGATCAGCCTAACTGGTCTCCCACTGTACCTATGGGATCACATGGCTTTCAGGCAGTTCCCTTTCAGGAAGGTTTTATACCTGACTCTCCTCAGCCCCCCTCTGATTCTTCTCAGGTGCCTGGCAGGCAGCGTTGTGCACCATCAGCCACGTTTACACCCACAGCAGCGGGCTTGCACCCCTTAGAGGTGACTCAGCAATCCTTATCCTCAGACTTATGTTTTGCCATTGTTCAGACCATTACCCAAGGTATTGATGAGGTCCTTAAACAAAGGGGAATTTTGGCTCCTTTACATCCAGAGCCTTCCAGATCAGATCCTATGCATCAACATTCACATAGGCACAGAGAATATAGGGTGGGGTCATGCCATGCATCTCCATCACTTCACAGCGAGGCTCACTGGAAGGAGAGGAAGAATTAGGTGACTTTGAAATGTCTGGGGATGAAGGGCTTGCTCAGGACAAGTCTTCTTACTCTGGTTTATTTCATCCCCATCTCTTCAAGACATTACTACTCAAACCAAAAATGACTGCTAATATGGGTCAGATGAAGAGATCCACCATTGAGGCTGGAGAATCTCAGGATCTTTGTGCCAGTCTCTTTACAGAGCGGGTTACTATGCAGGAAGTTATTCCCTCCCCAAAATTCTTTGTAGATGTAATTCAGAGGCAATGGGCTCAACCTCTTTCGATTCCTGCACCTAGTGGCATGGACAAAAAGATGTATACTGTGGAGAAGGAACTGGAGGAACTTCTTCAGATTCCCACAGTTGATCCTCCCTTGACTAATTTGGCTTCATCTGCAATTCTCCCTTCTGATACTGCTGAAGGATTGAAGGCTGAGGATAGGAAGGCAGATTTGGCTGCACACAAAACTGATCAGTCAGCGGCTTGGGCAGTTAGGACCGCCACAGCACCTCTTTCATGTCTAGAATGTCTAACTTTTATGGCTAAAACAGATGCAGGCCAGGATCTCTCCAGAGGATGTACGTCTACAACAGAACATCAGCAAACTAATAGCTGCAACTGAGTACACAGCTAATGCTATTATTGCTGTGGCAAAGTTTGCCTCTAGAGCCCTAGTGTCTAATGTTGCATCCAGATGTTTATTATGGCTGCGCCAGTGGCAAGCAGACACGAAGTCCAAGTGGCGCTTGGCTGCAGCACCCTTTAAGGGAAGCCAGCTGTTTGGAGAAGCTCTAGATCCCATCCTAGAAGGTTCTTCCTCAGCAGCCTAGGAGAACTGATAGACGGTCTACCCCTTATTTCTGTAGGCAGTCCTTTCGGACCATGGAGGTGGGATTCCCCGCCTCCCAGTATCACAGGCAATACTTCCCTGGGGGGGGACAGACCGCAAGATAGATCAGATTTTGAGACAGATCTCGACAATCGCAGTCAAGGCGGCCTTACAGGGGGACGCTCCTACCGCCGTTCCAAATGACTCATGGGCTCAAATCCCGATTGGCGGCAGACTACAGAGGTTTGCCAACCAGTGACGGGATACCACCACGGACACGTTGGTCTTACAAACAATTGCCCTAGGTCTGACCTTAGAATTTTGCTCCAGACCCTCTTTTCGATTTCTTCAGTGCCCTGTTCCCAGAGAACCCATCAAAAAGGCCATGATGGAGGCCGAGATTCAACACCTGCTGGATATCTCAGCCATTGAACCGGTACCAATTGGACAAAGGGGTTTGGAGTTTTATTCCATACTCTTTCTAGTTCCCAAGACTTCGGGTGGCCAAAAAGCTATACTGAATTTCAAGGACCTCAATGTTCACATAAATTACAAGAGATTCAAAATGCAATCTCTTCATTCAATTCTGAGTTGCCTCTGTCAGTGAGATTATCTAATATCAATAGATCTCAAGGAGGCATACCTTCATGTCCCCATAACTTATGGGCCATAAGGGAGTCTCACAGGAGGTTTCTCAGATTTGCATTTGCAGGACACCACTGGCAATATCGGGCACTTCCGTTTGGCCTCTCCTCAGCCCCACGCACCTTCACCAAATTGCTGGATGTGAGCACACCCTATTCGCCTACAGTGTTATCTGGACAATGTGCTGATTCAGTCATCGTCGCTCAGGCAGGTGCAACTTGATCTGCAGGCACTTCAGGATCACAGCTTTTCAGTAAATTGGGAGAAAAACCATTTGACACCATCCACCAGGCTTGCTCATCTGGGGGCGGTGATAGATACGCAGTTATCTCAAGTGTTTCTGTCTCCAGACCGACAGGAAAGCATAAAAGACTTAGTTCAACAGGTGCAATTGTCAGTTTCAGTGTCCTTACTGACTCTTTCCCAGCTGTTAGAGAAAACGATTTCCTGCTTAGCTATAGTTCTCTGGGCTCGTCTGCACTCCAGGCCCCTGCAGTGGCTCCTTCTTCCCAGTCAGAGGTCAGGGCGCAGCAACTCACTGTGCAGAATCAAGAGTTCCTCTATAGGTACGGCAATCCCTGGATTGGTGGAAGTCGAAGGCTATGGAAGGAGGCTGCCTATTTCGAGATCCTCCCAGACTGATCCTGACATCGGATGCAAGTCTCTTCGGCTGGGGAGCACACTTGGGGACCCAGGTGACTCAAGGAAGATGGTCTCAGCGAGAGCTACACAATGATATCAATTGACTGGAGCTGAGAGCGGCCCATCTGGTGTTCCGTCATTTTCAAACCAAGTTGGCGAATCAGCACGTTCTTCTGTTAACAGACAATGTCACGGCCAGGGCACATATCAACCGCCAAGGGGGGACCCGCTCCAAACTCCTAATGTGTGAGGCGAAGAAATTGTGTCTCTGGGCGGAACGACATCTTCTGTCCTTGCGGGCGGAATACATCACCGGGGCATCCAATTCCACAGCAGACTGGTTGAGTTGAACGACAATAGACCAGTCAGAATGGCATCTTCATCCGGACTTGTTTCATCTCATCACAGTTTGATCCGGTCTTGGACTTGTTTGCTACACCTAAGAACACTCACCTGGCTCTGTTCTTCACCCAATTTTGGACTCCAACAGTAGAGGGGTTCGACACCCTACGTTGTCCGTGGCCTCCCGACCTTCTATATGCCTTTCCTCCCATTCCTCTTCTCCAGAGATGATCCAGAAGATTCTGGAGGAGGAGACGGAGGTGCTGTTAGTGGCCCTGCATTGGCCGAGGCGTCCCTGGTTCACGGACCTGATGTCACTGTCAAAAGCACCTCCATGGATATTGCCATTGCACAAGGTCTCCCTCAGCCAAGGGGCCCTTCAACATCCAGACCCCCAGTGGCTCAAGTTGGCCGCTTGGCGCTTGAGCGGGAGACCCTCAGGAAGGGACACTACTCACCGGAAGTGATTTCTACCATCCTTGCGTCTAGGAAACAGTCTACGACCAGGATTTACAATGCCACCTGGGCTTCCTTCAGTCGATGGTGCACCACAGTAGGTTTAGTTCCTACCTCCGCCACAGTCCCACAGGTGCTACAGTTCCTACAGCGGGGCCTGACGAAGAAATTGTCGACCAATAAGCTCAGGCACCAAGTTGCAGCATTAGCTACCATCTTGCCAGGCGAAGGACCTTTCCCTCTCTCTCACCATCCTAAGGTTTGTAGCTTTTTGAGGGGTGCGGCCAACTTATTACCACCAACTGTACATAGGTACCTGACCTGGGACCTATCTTTGGTTTTACAGGCACTCACCTTGCCTCCTTTTGAACCACTACTGACTACCATGCTTAGACTGTTTACGTTTAAGGTTGTGTTCTTAGTTGCGATCACATCTGCACGCCGAATATCGGAGTTGGCTGCACTTTCAGTGCGCCAGGATTTATGCATTTTTCACTCGGGCAGAGTTATTCTTCAATTGAACCCTATATTTGTGCCAAAAATAAATTCCTGGTTCCACAGGGCACAGGAGGTTATTCTGCCAGACTTTTGCCCCAATCCACAACATCCAAGGGAAAAGCACTGGCATACGTTGGATGTACACCGTGCCTTAAAGAGGTACATTAAGCGCACCGCGTCATTTCGAAGGACGGAGGCTTTATTCATGTCTTTCTAGCCCACCTCGATGGGGAAGAAGGTATCTCCATCCACCATTGGACGTTGGCTCAAGGCATGCATTGCCTTAGTGTATGAACAACAAGCTCGTCCTGAACCACAACGTATTATGGCACAGTCTACTTACTCGCAGTGCGGCCACCACGGCGGCCTGGGCTACACAAGCATCCATTTTGGAGATTTGCAGAGCGGCCACTTGGGCTACCCCTTCTGAGTTCGTGAGGAACTACAAGTTGGATCAATACGCTTCGGCTGAAGCAGCATTTGGGAGGTGTGTTTTACAGAGAGTCCTGCTGGCCAAGGGGATCCTGGACCAACCTGCTTCCATCCCAACATCACTTTAGCATGGGTATATCCCATGCTTGGACTCTCCAAGCAGTGCACAGAAGATTGAACGTTGGACTTACTTTGAACGTTCCATCTATGTGCACTGCTAGAGAGTCCAATCCCACCCTGGCTTGTACCGGTCTGGGGTCCAGGAGTGGTCGGTTCTTCAGATGTATCGCATCTTTCTTGGTTCCGGTTTCGTTGAAAAAACTGAGGCTCGGCCGGAGAAGAAGGGCGTGGCCAAAGAAATTCCAACTCAGTGACGTCATAACAGACTGAAATTAACCCATGCTTGGACTCTCTAGCAGTGCACATAGATGGGACGTTCAAGGTAGGTCCAACGTTCAGTCTCTTGGTTTCTGGTCCTTAACCATTAAACCAAACTGGCTCCATGTTAGAGCTGTCACTGATTATGGATTTTGTGAAGAGGAGAAAGCAATTTGCAGGGCATTATTAGCAAATTTTTATAGCTTTTCTCTTCCCTCTACTGATCAGCAACTGGATAGTTGAATGGAGTACAATTTGAGAATTTGTTAGACTGCAATACCTTTGTGTGTGTGAGAGAGAGAATGAGAGAGAGAGAATGAGTGAATGAATGAAAGAGAGAGAGAATGAACGTTTTAAGATTTTTACAGGTGCTAGTCAAATGAAAAATTTCCTGTTAATCTTACCCACTAGAACAGGAGTCAGCAACCTTAAACATTCAAAAGAGCCATTTGGACCCATTTCCCACAGAAATGAAAATACGGAGCCACAAAAAGTAGGTGGGTGTGGCATCACTCACTCCCACCCAGTCATATAACCTCCCCCCACTCCAGCCATGCTTACACAGCTGGTCATTAGGGCAGAGAACCGGTTGTTAAATTATTTGCCCCCCTTGGCCCCTCTTTCCCCTTCCTTACCCCCTCTGATTTCACCTTCCTTCCTTCCCCCTCCTCTGATTTCACCTTCCTTCCCCCTCCTCTGATTTCTTCTTCCTTTAATCCTGTATATTATGGTTCGTTATTATTAATATTTATTAAAGAATGCTGTGTAGCTTAGAAGTTCTCAGCAAAAATAACAGCAGCTGTTGCTTGTAGCTGAAGCTATCCTGGGCTGTTATTTACACACACACACACACACACACACACACACACACACACACCTATTTTTTTTCCACTTTCCCTGGGTTCTTGGGAAAGGAATGGCATCTTTTACCAATCCCCGTCTTTAATAATCAGAACTTTGCACCGGCACAAGATTTAAGTACACATTTTACGGATGTCTCTCATCCCCCCACCCAGAAAAAAAAAGAGCATTCAGAACCAGGAAACCCAGAGGGGAGTCTCCTCTGGACTTGGGGAACAGAGAGAGAGGGTCGGGGCAGGGGGGGGGGGCTACCAGTCTGAGAACTTGATGCATTCTGGAGCTGCTGCGTTTTATGCCCATTGCCTCCACCCAAGGCTCTTTGCTTCGCCACAGAAAATGCTCCAAAGCAGGTGGGGAGGCAAAAGAGCTGGTTGATACCATGGAGGGGGTTCTCTATCCTCTTCCCCCTCACAGCCTTTTAGCTACTATTGTCCCATCTTGCCTCTCCCTCCCCTTAAAACAAGACTAGGGAAGAAAGCCGGGAGGGTGGGGAATTTAAAGGGGGAGGGAAGAAGAGACCCAGGCAGATGCCTCTCTGAATAGCCTCCCACCCCGATTTTGACTGATTTGCTTTCTGATCCTGTCCGATGAACAGACCCCACCCCCCTTTTCTAGACTCTGGACTGCCGGGCCTTTATTTTCCCCAATTATTGGGGGAAATTGGATTTTTATTAGGTCTTCCCCCTGCCCCAAGCCAAAAGAAAAGCCACCTGGGCTTATCTTCCTAAAAGTCCCTCTACCCTTCCCTTTGCTCCCTACCCCCCCACTCAGTACCACTTTGGGACAGAGGAGCATGCGCTAGAAACGTGTTGGAGTGACATCAGATTCCCCCTAGCACCTTTGACACTTGGCCCGTAACTCTCTGCATTCATCCAGGACCGGCTTGCTGAAGAGGGGGAGAGCAGCCCTGATGCCTCCATCACCCCATGCCACGGTCCCAGCCATTGCTACTCAGTTTCCTCAAAAGCATGGCACGTTTCAAAGGCGGCAGCTCACGTCTGGAGGTGCTGAACAGTGTCCCGCTTCGAGAGTCAGGCTGGCCTCCCCGCTGTCCGACTTGCCAATGTGGGTGCTTCTGCCAGGCCAGCTATCCCCCTCCCGCTGGGCTTTTGTGCTTGCCACTCAGCTGGGGGAGGAGAGCGCTTCCCCACACCACCCCCTTCTTTCTCTTGGCCCCACTGATGAGATAGAAGGAAGGCCAGGCTTGGGGGGATGGCCCCCGCCCTGCAAGATCTGTCCCTGCCATTCTCCCCCAGCCCTCTTTGCTGGCGACAACAGCAAATGTACATGACGAAGGCGGAATCCTGTTGCCGTGCAAAGGCAAATACAGGGGCTTGCCTGTAGGCTGTAGTACTGTAGGCTTGCTTCTTAGATGTAACTACTGGTAATAGGGATTTAAATTCCTAAATGTAGTCACTAGAAATTTAAACTCAGTTTCTAGTAATTACATCCAGGAAGATTATTATATTTGGTAGATCCAATGACAGGAAATTTTTCATTCGAGTGAAAATTGAATTCAAGACTTCTGTATCTTTTTTATCATTCACATTATTGGTCTTGTTAATTTTATATGATTGTTATGCTTATTGCATGTCCATTACTTACAGGATATTCTATTAATTATTGAACTGTTTTCAAGAGAGTAAATTAATCTTCCCTGCAACTAAATGTGTGAGATTGGGTGTTCTATTTCTCTCTGTGTTTCCCCCCTCCCGAAGTTCAGCCTCTAGATTGAAAAACTGTGTAAATTCATGTAGAAACTACCATACGTTTTTGGTCTTAAAAGGTCCTATAAAGTAGCTTGGGAAAAGTCCATAAGTGAGGGTGAAATATTTGACATAATAAATATAGCTTTCTTTAAAAAAAATAAAAAAGGTATATAAACAAATTAATGTGAATATTTTCTTCATATAACTTCATTGGCTATATGTCAGCAGATTAAAAAAAAAGAACATACTGCTTGAGAACTGTTTTTTCTGTTGCTCACTTGTCTAATTGCAAGCATTGAGAATTTGACTGCTTTTGCTTTCATCTGTACTGGTTTGTAAGCATGTACATGATACAACATTTGCTATTGCATCAGTATCTGAAAACTGATGTCTTGGATCAATGTCAGTGCTGTATTAGGTTGTACAAAAACCTGAAGGTAGATCAGGATGCATCGTAGAGGGCTGATTTCACTTCTTGTGCTTAAGTTCATTTTCACATGGTATGATTAACTGCCTAAATTTAGAGTTGCCCTATATTTGGAGTGGTTCTATACAGGAGGTCCTTGATTTAGAACCATTTGTGATTTAGTGACTTTGAACAAAGTTACAACAGCACTAAAGTGATAGTCCTCACGCTTAAAATTGTCATAGCGTTCCCTAAGTTATATAATCAAAATTTGGATTTTTGGTAAATGGCATGTATTTATGATGGTTGCATTGTCTTTGGATCATGAGATTGCAATTTGTGACCTTCGCAGATGGATTCTAATAAGCAAAGTCAGTGGGAGAAGCCATATTTGGTTAGCGATTGCATGATTCACAATTACAGTGGTTTATTTAACAATTGTGGCAGAAAAGGTTATAAGCTTGGGCACAACTTATTTAACCTCATTTGCTTAGCAGCAGAAATTTTGGTTCCAGTTGTGGTTGTAAATTGAGGAGTACCTGTATCTCTACTGAAGAAGACCTCAATTGTGCATTCTTTTCTGCACAGGATGAAATACAAAGCTTGATTCTCCAGAGGAATGAATTGCAACATAAATTGTACAAAGCTGTAGAAGAATTCATTGTGGAAGTGGATAATCTGCCTCTGTCTGAGCGCTTAGAAACGTTGAAGGTTGAGTCCAAAGTGGCATTGTACTTATTTTGTTTTATGTTTATGAGATGCTGTCCAGATCAGATTGCAATTTTGAATTATCATAAACAGTAACTTAAAACAGTCATGGGATCATTCTGACATTTCTTTTTGCAAACATTAATATTTAAATTAACTTCTGAAGTAGTCTTAGAGCCGCCTGTTGCTGTTGTTTCTAATCTGAAATATTGACAAGATGTCCATTGTGTTTTACTTTTAAACAGTCTATGCAATATGAGCAGGTCATGCTATTCAAAATAGTATTTAGGAATGACATCAGAATAGGCATATGTATGTATATAGAAAACATTCTGTTCATGTTTGAGAGCTGCTATGTAATGCAAAAACAAGTAATAATAGGCAAAGGAAATTAAAGCTAAGAAAAAAGAGGAAGAAAAGGCTCTCTAAATGTACTGTTAGATATATGTTTTCCCATTCATAAAACAATAATATATCACAGTAATTAGCCATTTGAGTTTACTTATTGTTCCTCTTCTACAAAAAGCTGCTTATGCTGAGATCCACAAAGATATTTTCAAGTATAGACTAGCTTTATATTTATTCCATATTTGGCTATAATATGTTCTTTTTAAACTATAGCCAATTTATTGTACACACCCTCTTTGAGGGAGATTGGCAGTGCAGAAATGTGAAAAATATATAGATAAATAAACAATTTGATTAACTCAAATTCCAAAGAGCCTTCAAAAGCATTGGACCCTACATATTTGGGGTTTTATATCTCACTATAAGAGTTGGTTTTATTTTGGAAAAAGAATACCCAAGATATAAAAGTAAAAGATACAAACATGCAGGTGTGAGTTGTTTCTATGTGAATTGTCTTATTATACCACCTTTTGTTTCTATTACTATTTGTAGTATATAATGTTCTCTAAACATGTCTGTACAATATTCTACTACTACTATTCCCTGCTATATAATACTAGTACTAATATTACTATTGCTACTGTACTATTATTAGTATGATGGTGATATTATCCATTCACTTATGTTCGACAGTTGTATTTTTACACATCTTGGTCTGTCTTTATTCTCCCGTGCCCCAGATTTCTTTTACTGTTATTTTCTTTTTTATTAATAGGCAGCAGGTAAAGTACTAGCACTTGCCCAATATTGTGCTGGCTTGCCCAATATTGTGCTGGCTTGCCCAATATTGTGCTGGCTTTCTTCCTTCTGCCTTTGTGAAGAAAATTGCTTTTTTTATTTGGTTTTTTTCTGGCAGCAGTGGCTGCTGTTTCGGAAGTATGCATATTTCCTCTGTTCTTGCTTCTCCGCCTCCACTTGTTTCAGAGTGAAGCATTTTATGAGCAATTCTGCATAAAGAACTCAGGGAGAGGGCTCAAATAGGAAGAGAGAAATAAACACATATGCATGTATTTTTCTCTACTCTTCTACAATGACATATCTAAAAAAATGATTTTTACAATCTTCGAGAAAACCTTGGCTTTATTGTACTATAAATGTTCAAACCATCCATGTCCTTTTAGCTCCAAATCTTTTCTACCAACATCCACTTTTTCATCCAACTAAATAGCAAGCTGCAAAATACAATTTCAAATAGGATAATCCCAGGCCTTCTCTTTCTTTTACGTCTTATAAAACCTTATATGCAATTATTATTTACCATATTAATACTCATATATCTACTTTCAATCTTAAAAACCGTTTTATTCATCAATTGTTTGATCTTATAACCTCTTATTAGTGTTAATGTCTTTGTTAATCTTGAAACCTAATGAAACAAATTCTTTTATTTTTTCCTATTAATAATTCCCTTTAAAGCAGGTATGTCACCAGCTGATGCGGTCCTCTATTTCATTGAGGACCGCATCAGGGTTGTGTTTGACCTCGGAGGGCTGGGGTGTGTGGCCATGGTGGGCATAGCCCTCTCAACATTCATGTTGCGGTACATATGATGGCCAAGTGCTAAGGCAGGACTTTCCTGAGACCTTCCCTCACTCTCATTATAATCTTCCTCCTTCCCTCCCTTCCCTTCTTTTTCCTTCCCTCTTCCTTTTTTCCCCTTCTTTCCACTCTTTCCCGTCTTTCCTTCTTTCTCTTTCTCTTTCCTCTTTTCCTTTCTCTTTTACTGTACGTTCTTGCATCTCAAATGCAAAAGAGGAAACATTTCTCCTTTTGTTTTGTTTTTAGTTTGTCATGCTAGTCCTCTGTCAGCGAAAACAGAGCTGGGGGTGTGCGCGCGTGGCTCCCCCAAGCTCCGTTTTTCCTGGCAGAGGCCTGCAGGAGGTCATCTCACGTGCCCGCCCAAGCTCAGTTTTCGCTGGCAGAGGCACTGAGGAATGGTCCTTTGCTGTTTCCTGGCTGGCTCCATGGGCCAAATCCGGCCCAGGGGCCTTGAGTTTGACACTCCTGCTTTAAAAGATTTTCCAAAATCAGCCTTGTTATCTATCAAAGTTCTTAATTTATAAATCTCTTTTTTTAAAATTTTTATTCTCATAATTCCCTCATCCTATATTGCCATCTCTATTCAGAATTTCAAGAACAAAAAAAAGAAAAGGAAACAACTCTGTCATATTCCTTTTCACATAGTTTATTAAATCTCCATTAACAATAATTTGTGCTTTCTGTGAAATATAAATCGATAGTAGCCATTTGATAAAATTATTCCCAGAATTTATATCTTCCCAAATTTTAAGTAGAAAAATTCAATTCAAATTGTCAAAGGCTTTCTCTGCATTTAAACAAATCAAGGCAGTTTGTTTTCCTTTCCTGTCCCAATCTATTCTTAAAACAGTGCCTTTATTTAATTTGTTTTTTTACAGTCTTCCACTGTTTCTTCTTTGCATTACAATATTTATTTTAATATTTAGTTTTAGTTGAGGATTGATATATAGAACAACTCCATTTCTTTTTTTTTATTCCTGCTGAGAGAAATTTTTCATCCAAATGTTTATAAATCAAATATTTTATATTTTTCTTTATATGACTCTGTTGTAGGCAAATATATTTTGTTTTAACTTTTTTAAGTACTGAAAAAAATCTATTAAGCATCTGCACCATTTATATTTTATGATAGACATTTGTAATCATAATTAAAAATTTAGAAAAATCAATATTGTAGAACCTAATTCAGAATTATCTCTTTCAGATTCCTTCTGTGTCTATTGCAGTTGGTCTTTTTTTGAGGATTTCTTTCAACTCCAACTGATCATAATTTTGCAATCTTTTCTTTCCTACCAGTTTACTATTCTTTTACACATTTGTTCTGCATTTTGAGTTTTGCTCATTTTCTCAGCATGACAAACCTCAATATATTTCTTTCTATTCTATTCCACAAATTATCTACAAATATATTTTGTAACAATTTAAATTCCCTAACAGGTTTAAGGCTTTTTAAACGCTTTTGTTTCAAACTCAGTACTACATATGTTAATTTAACTTGTCTCCACAAGATGGCAGTGTTCAAGTTTTTTCAAATGTGCCATTAGCAAAGGAGTAGACATACTGCCAAATCTTTTTACTAGGCATTTACAAATCTCTGAAATATTTCATTAAAAAAAAAAAGGATTCTTTTGATCGGAGTGAAATTGCTGTTTGGCATCAATTTTTGAAATAGATCTCTAATATTATATCAAGACTTCAAGTATTTAATGCTTGCAGTCGCCATTCAAAATCACAGTTGTCTCTGTTTTTATTCTTTCTTGAAATGGCCTTTCAAAAGATATATTTAAAATAATTTCATATTCAGTTATTTTTCATGCCAATGCTTTAGAACAGGGGTGTCAAACTCGATCCCATCGCAGGCTGCATCAGGAGTTTGTTTGCCCCCAGGTGGGGCATGGCCTGGTCATTGCGGCCGACTGGGTAGACATGGCTGGTCCCGGGGCGGTGAGGGCCAGTCCCTCACCGTCTCTGGGATAGCACTGCAGGCCAATTCCACTACCTATTGCGGCCCACATGTTTGACATGTGCTTTCGAAAGTCTGATTTTCTTGCTTTAAATATTTTTGAATAGTAATATATGTTTTTTATTGCTTTTCTAATTTTTTTAAAAATGATAATATTTGAAAGGTTGAACATCTTTTCAGAATTGTGAAAGAGGAATAACATTATGATATACTGCTTACTGGAATGGCTTAATTCTACTGCAGTCCAATAGAGCTAGCTTTCCATACTCCCATGAAAAATGAATGTGAGAATTAAATGCTTCAATCTAAATAGCAGTGAAGTTCCAGCATGCAGTAGTTCTTTTAATATATGCATATTGATGATTTTTCAGGGATCTGTAACTAAGTAAAAATGAACATGTTTGTGCAGAACTACTATATTCAGAAGGAATAACATTTATAGATCTCATACAGACACATTTCTATTTGATGTTTCACTCTGGGGAAAAACCTCTTCAGAAGTCTTCAAGGAATGCAGATGTTGAAATTCATTCTCTTTAATGACTCTTAATAGTTCTAGTTCTATAATAAGGATATTTAAAAATAATGAATTGCTTTAATTTTGTGAAATTGTCTCTTGAGTCCTCCAATTAATAAGGATTTCTGCAAACTTCTAAGTTCAGTTGCTACTTTCCCTTCATGACATAGAATATTCTTTTTGAGATTAGTGCAAATCTACTTATTTATTAAACTTGTCTGCCACCTGACTCAATAGGTCTGGATGACAATTACAACAAACAAAAATGCAATAATATAATAAAGTCCATAACACATAAATGAAGATAAAAGGAAGCAAGCATACTGAAGTGAGGGATCTCATTCTCCCTTACCAAAGACCTAGGTGAAAAGCCAGGTTTTCATACTTTTTTAAACAACAGCAAAGTGGGGGCCATCTGGATCTTGGGGGGAACTTTATTCCAGAAGGTAGGTGCAGCTTGCAGAAGGTACAGTTCCAGGGATTGAGAAATGACATTGTTTAGTTGAAGGAATCCAGAACATGTCAACCCTACAAAATCAAATTAGATGGGTAGATATTGTAGAAGGCATCTTAGCTGTACCTTTCTTTTCATGAACTTCAGAGACCAGGAGAGTCTCTTATTTCCCACTACTTCATTCTTCCTGCAGATAATTATAATATCTATTTCTGGTTTCAATTATTTTTAAATAGTATACCGTAGCCATTCACATCCATGACAGTTTGGTGTATGTTGTGCTATAGTATTAGAACTGGCAAGCTTTAAAACATGAAATTAGCCTTAGGACTTACAGTCTTTTTGCATTTTCCATCTACAAGCATGAAAGGAACTGGATGAGCTGTTTCAATCCAAGTAGTTTTCAGTTTACAACCATTTGTTCAGCAACCATTCAAGGTTGCGATGCCATGGAATAAAGACATTTTATGACCGATGCTCAAAGTTATGGATGTTGGAGCACCTTTATGGTTACATGATCAAAATTGGGGGCTTGGTGGCCCACCTGCACTTAGGATTGTAGGAGCACTGCAACTCACCCCACCTGCCTACCTCTTCCCCCCATCTTTGCCATTTTGGTTCCCCGCTGACTTTTGCCGCTATCTTGTTCCCGCTGTTGGCAAGGTTGGCCTGGCCTGGCAACTGGGCCATATATGCCTGACTTTGCATGCTGAGGAAGAAAAGCCTTAAAAGAACTCAAGCACCCCTTTGTGCTGGGGAAAAGAAGAAAAAACTGAAAGGAGCTCTTTCTGCAATGAGTTGGACAGAACTAGGGCTGCTCTTGGGTTTTTTTCCTTTTTCACAAAGCAAAGCCAAACCCATACAACCCAGGAACATGGTGAAAAGGGGCAATTTGGTGGATTATTTTATTAAGCTGCTTTGTGCTCCCCCCCCCCTTTTTTTTTTCTTCCATGTGAAGGTCTGCCAAGGCTAGGCATACCTTGTGAACAGCAGGAACAAAAAGAGAGAGTTGAAGGTCAGCTGTGGTGGAGGGCAGAGTGGCAAGAGTCTCAGAATGCAGGTTTGTGAGGGTGACTGGGACTGAGATAGGGCAGCTGCAGCTTCCCATGGTGTGGCAAGCTGTGTTGAAGCCATGTGGTTCTATGACTACTTGCTGCCCCACACAAGATGACGGTGGGTGGGGGGAATAGCTGGTTGGGGAGAATTGGAAGCAGTCTTACCTTACTGAGACTTAAGACTGAGAGGGATGAAGCCCAGAATGGCTTTGATTGGGGTGGTTCTTGGTAATAACCAGGAAAATTTGCTTAACAGCAAGGGGATTGCTAGGATTGTAGTCACTAAGTGATATGGTTATGTGATCTTTTGTTTTATAAACGAATTGCTTAGCAACCAAAATATCTATTCCAGTTGTGATTGTAAGTTGAGGACTACCTATATTTTTATGGAAACTTGGAATTCTCTTTCTTCTGCTGTATAGATTAGCAATCATTACTCTTCTTCCTGATATGTAAGTCAGAAATAAAAAATATCTAACCCATCAATCAAACATTTCTTATAATCGCTGCTTCAGCGATTCAGGTTTTGCTCCATATAGTTACTAGAGGAATCAGCATAAAGCCAAAGGAGCTTGCTTTGTTTTATAATGTGTTATTATGATCCTTTGTTGATTTTACTGGTACCTTATTTTCTTTGTTATCTATTTTGATATTCAGAAGTTGCAAGGATCTTTGGAGGTTGCATATGGGCAGATTAATGAAGCAGAGAATTCAGAAGTGTTTGAAGAGTTCTTTGAATGGAAGAATGCTAGGTTGGAGAAATTCAGTCGGGTTAGGAATGCTACAGATGCTTCCTTACAAAATCTTGAATTAAGTTTCAGCAAGATAATTCAGGTAAAAAAGATATGTCTTATATATTAAAAAAAAGTTTTGTATTCAAATTTTCAGCTAATCTACATTTATATTGGAGTCTGTGTTTAGAGGTTTTGGTCTAATTCTTTTTAGATTTTTTGGATCAGACAAGCTTACAACTTTTCAACATTGCAGCTAATAGTCATCTGGAGAGAGAAATCTCATTAAATGGCAGTAAAATGTAGAAAAATAACCTATTCCTTTTTTTTTTTTGCTATGTGTACTGCATCTGAATCCAAACGAGATAATTGTTGCTTTTGCCAAAAATAATACTACATTAGAAGATCCAAAATAAAATACTTCATTATATAAAATAGCCATTAATATTTGAACGGAGAATTGTTGGTCCAGAATAAAAAAATTGCCACAGTGGTCTTCAGGAGAAAATTAGTATCATGACTTAATTTAAAATGACAGCTGGGCTGTATTCATGTCTTGAGGGGAAATAATATTCAGCTCCGATTGACGATATGAAATGGAATCGCATTAAACTGATGAAATGAATGAACAGCATTTCATGGGATTTATTTATTTTTTTGCTTTCTTGCTTAAAAAGAGAGAGATTGCTTAAGGCAGAATGGAATCAAGTTGCAGTTTTCTCATTTGCTATTAAATTTTTGAGTAATCTTTCTGAAATTATTTTACAGATTAATACTACTATAGATAACCACTTTTTGTTTGTGTCTCTTTTCCTGTCAAGTTTTTTGACATAGAGTCAACAATATTAATGAAATCCGAGGGTGTAGATTTCAATGTAGATGAAGTTCTTAAGAAGGTCGAGCATGATATTTCACAAGAATTTGACATGTTTCTAACAGTAAGCTATATTACTATATTTTTCCTTTCACATAAAACTCTCAAAAGTGCTTTTTTTTCAAAAGGCAACTGGACTGTTTTTTCCTTGAGGAAGAAAAACAAAATGTTTAATTTCTCAACCAAGAAACATCATCAATTGTGATGGGGGAGAGAGGAGTGGGATGGAGGGATAGGTATTGACAATTGAGAATGGGTGGAGGAGGGAATGGAAGGATAGGTTCTGACTGGTGGCTAGGATATAAAGACACTAATAAAAGAGAATATTTGTATCTCAGGGTTGACATGAGAGGTCCTTGGTGCTCTCTGTTTCATTACCCAAACTAGGAAACATCATCAGTGCTAGCACTGATGATGTTACCTAGTTTGGGTAATGAAATGCCTGCAAGAAAGCTCAGAGAGCACCAAGGTTGGAAGGATGGTGTGTGTGTGTGTGGGGGGGGGCAACAAATATAATCCTTCTCCCCACCCACTCCACCCAGTCATAACCTATCCTTCCGTCCCAACTATTGTTTGATAATTGTCAAGATTGTGGCTGCTCCTCATCTTGTCTCACAGCTGCCCTGGGGCTTCGGAGAGGGGCGGCATATAAATTGAATAAATAAAATAAAATAAATAAATAAGGTTATTCTCATAGTCTATTGCCATAGCAGTCTGTCACATCATTTACTGCTTCCCAATCATGGAATGAATATTGTATATCATGAGGCACCATACAGGGTTTTGCATTGATTCAGTTTTAAAGAGTATATAGCAGTTGTTGGTAACTTTTTAAAAGAAACTGTATCTCCTCGTGGATTCATATGGCTACCGTCTACAGCTACAGCAAAATCTCAAAAAAAAACACCAAAACAAACCATCAAATTTTAGAAGGTGCTGACAACTATACATTCTAAATCACCCTTTCATCCTCAAATCCAGATCTCCGGGTAGGTGGAATAGGAGATGTGCTGAATATTGATAGTATCTTTTAATGTAATAAGATTTTTGGAATACTCTCATTACCTTTATGTGGATTAAAAACTTGGTTAAACCCCAGGTCTTTTTATACAAAGCAAGTTGCTGTTAGTTTCTTGAAAAAGATTCCAACTTGCTTCTCTGTTTTTCTTCAAATTTGCAGAAAGGGGCCAGGAATTTCTCATCTGTATTTAAAAATATGTGTATTTCATTTTTTATTGAAACTTCCCTTCTAAGACATTTTCTACTAAGCATTAAATCATGAATTAATTCAATAATAAGACTATATTACAGTGTTTGTAATAAAATATTAAAATCATAAAGCTAACCATAGCAGTAAAAATACAGCATAGCATACGGGTAGTCCTTGGTTTTAATGACTATTTCTTTAGTGACTGAAGTTCCAACAATGCTGAATGAATAGTATTTACAATTATTCCTTGAAAATTAGAGACATTGCAGCCTCCTTGCAATCATGTGATCAAAATTTCTCTTTTAGTCCGATTCTGTTGCAAAGATGTGAATGCTTGGCACTCATTTATTGAGCTCATCTTGCCATACTCAGCTTTGTAACCAGCTTGATCAAGAAGTATGGATGTAAATTGTGTAGAAGATTATGTTTCTCCCAGTAGGCTGCGGAGTGGGTCAGGAGTGGAATGATCCAGATGGTCTGACCAGATACTGAGTCGAGTTGTTTTGGCCACGCCGCCTCGCGCCTCCCTCGTCTCCAGTTTATTGACTCAGTGGATCTGATCAGATGTGTCTGAGTCATCTCATTACACTCGACTAGGATTTTCTCTGCTTCATTTACGATCTGCGCTGTGCGAGCTGGCCACTTCAGTCTGAGGCTGAAAACGCTGGCGGCGCGGCCATTGCTGCTTCACAGCTGACCAGCGCCAAGCGCTCAAGCGGCCCTGTCATTTCGGCCGATTTTGTCACCCCGCCACCGACATTTTCTATATCGGTTTGTCACCGCGTGGGGCGGCCATTTTGAGTGACCTCTTTCAGCAGCCGCCATTTACAGCACTGTTTTGACCTTGGCGCTGCTCCTTCCTGCTCTCAGAAAGGAAGACTTAGGTGCTGGCATATCCCAGACTACTGGACACGCCGCCCTCTTGTTCCCACTGTGTTAGGCTGCAATGGCAGAACAGTCAGCGAAGGTTGGACGTAAGGCCTCGTCCAAGTCTGTTTCGGGCAGGAAGTCCCATCAGGCATTCCAAGGGGAGCTGAAGGATCTCCAGCGGCGTCATAAAGCCCTGGAGCGTCAAATTTTACTGGCGGAAAAGGAGCGCACTGACCAAGGGGCTCATGTTATCAGTGCCACATCTGACCCTCAGGACAAGGAGACAGAGGACGACCTTGACCTCTCCAGGGCGTTGTCACTGGAGGAACCAGATTGTCATCCTGAAGTCCGGTCACCGCCCAAAACCAACCAGGCTAATGCCAACCCATTTGCCTGCCCTGTGGCTACCGAGAGCCCCCTCAGCATCCACCACCACAACGCTCCAGCTCCATGGACCTGGAACACCTACCCGAGACGGTCCAAAAACGTTCCACTTGCGGGACTGGCAGCCGCCGGCAGCCGCCAGCCCCGCCGTCAAAATGACTCTCGCCACAATGCTCCCATCAGGGGCAGACTGAGCCTCTTCCTGGACAGGTGGGCTCTCATTACCACGGACCTGTGGGTCCTTCACACCATACGATCCGGCCTCCCTCTGGAGTTCCTCTCCAGCCCGCTTTGTACCATGCCCTGTTTCCAACTCTCTTCACAAACGTAACCTCATGGAACTGGCCATTCGCCATCTCTTGGACATCAAGGCGGTAGAGGAGGTTCCTCCCGCCCTCTGGAAACACGGATTCTACTCAATCCTCTTCGTGGTACCAAAGCACTCTGGGGGCTGGAGGGCGATTCTAGACCTAAAGTCTCTCAATTCCCACCTTTTTTACAGGAAATTCAAAATGAGCACGCTCAAATCCATCTTGGAGGGAATTCGGCCTGGGGACTTTCTAGCGTCCATAGACCTCTCCGAGGCCTATCTACATATACCCATAGCGCCAGCCCATCGGCATTACCTCAGATTCAGCTTCACGGGGCGTCATCTTCAATACTGTGCCCTCCCATTCGGGCTGGCATCAGCCCCGCACAGCTTCACCAAGATTCTCGCGGCATTAATTGCTCACCTGCGGTTTGTTCCAGTATGGCTTGAAGCCTATCTGGATGATATTCTGGTCCTGGCCCCCTCTCTCGCTCGGGTCCAGGCTGATCTACAGCTAACCCTTCAAGTCCTACAGGACCATGGGTTCTTGATAAATCTGCCCAAGAGTCAGCTGGATCCCGAGACGTGCTTGACGCATCTAGGGGCAATCATCGACACCCGACTAGGTCCAGTGTTCCTCTCTCCAGAGAGACGGAACGATATCTGGCTATTCACACTTCGAATCCTACGGGAACTGATGGTTACTATCCTCACTCTGTCAAAGCTTCTGGGGAAGCTCGCCTTTTGTATAAACATAGTCCTCTGGGATCGGCTTCATGCGCGCAGACTCCAATGGTTTCTGCTGCCACACCAGCGAACAAGAACCTCCACTTCTTTACAAAAAGTCAGACTTTCGCCATCAGCCCGCTGGGCCCTGCATTGGTGGATGTCACCGGCACTGGACAAGGGGTGCGTCTTTGGGGACACCCAAAAGGTGGTGATCTCGACGGATGCCAGCTTCTACGGCTGGGGAGCGCACCTGGATGCTCTCGTAGCTCAGGGCCGCTGGTCCCCCGAGGAAGTGAGTTCCAGCATCAATCTCCTGGAACTCTCAGCAATACGTTTGGCCCTCCGCTCCTTCCATCAGGCAGTACGGGGCCGTCACGTACTAATTCTCACCGACAATGTTGCGGCGAAAGCCCATGTAAACCGCCAAGGAGGGATGCGGTCCAAAACACTGATGCGGGAGGCCCTCCATCTCAGGCGCTGGGCGGAAGCCCACCTCACCTCTCTGCGGGCGGACCACATCGCCGGATCAGACAACTTACAGGCGGACTTTCTCAGCGGACCACGGTGGACTCGTCAGAATGGCGACTCCACCCAGACATCTTCCAGGACATTTGCCATCGATTCGGCCAGCCGCAGGTGGACCTATTTGCCTCTCTGGCGAATACGCAACTCCCCAGATTTTTCACCCGCTACCCGACTCCCGGTGCGGAGAATGTGGACGCCCTTTGTTGCCCCTGGCCGAGGGATCTGTTGTACGCCTTTCCACCTCTGGCCCTGCTGCCCAAGTGATTCGCAAAATCATAGCGGAGGAGGTGGAGGTGATCCTCATCGCTCCCCATTGGCCACGACGGCCTTGGTTCTCCGATCTGGTCACACTCTCGACATCACGTCCCTGGTGGATTCCCCTGGAGAGGGTGTGTCTTACCCAGGGAGCCATCTGCCATCCGGAACCCCAATGCCTATACCTAACCGCCTGGCCCTTGAGGGGCTCCTCCTGAGACAGGTGCACTACTCGGAAGACGTCATCTGGATTACACAGGCGGGCAGAAAGCCTTCCACCATCAGGCTTTACAACATCACCTGGCAGGTATTTATCTCTTGGTGTTCCGCGCGCGAGATTAATCCTGTTTCAGCTTCTGTCTCACAGGTCCTTGACTTCCTGCAAGCAGGGCTCCGCAAAGTCTGGCACTTAACAGGCTCAAGTGTCACGTCGCCGCCCTTTCCACGGTATTGTCACCTAGGGATGGGGTGCCTCTCTCTCATCACCCGTCAGTACGTAGGTTTTTACAAGGCGTCTGCAATCTTTGTCCTCCCGTGGTGCACCGCTGGGATGGTGCACCACGGCACCATCCCAGCAACCTGGGATTTGCTGCATGTGCTGTGAGCTCTCACCGAACCTCCTTTCAAGCCTTTACACCCTTTGAGCCTCAGATTCCTTACCTTCAAGGTGGCCTTCCTGGTGGCCATTACTTCGGCCAGGCGCATTTCTGAGCTCACAGCCCTCTCCATCAGGCCCGACCTCTGTATCATTCACCCTGACAGGGTTGTCCTTAGACTGGATCCCTCGTTTGTTCCCAAAGTGAATTCTTGTTTTCACCGGTAACAGGAAGTAATTCTGCCAAATTTCTGCCCCAGACCTGTCCACCCTTTGGAACGCAAGTGGCACACCCTGGACGTCCGCAGACCTATTAAAATTTATATCTCGTGGACTGCGCCTTCCAGACGATCTGAGGCTCTCTTCGTATCTTTTTAGCCTACTTCCTTGGGTTCTAAAGTATCTTCGGCCACTATCAGCCGTTGGATCTTGACATGTATTGCCTGGGCTTACGAGGCGCATGCCCTGCCTGCGCCCAGACATATCACGGCGCACTCCACGCGCAGTGCAGCTATCACCGCTGCTTCGGCCATGCAAGCCTCCCTCGAGGACATTTGCAGAGCAGCTACCTGGTCTACTCCCTTGCTGTTTATTAAACACTATCAACTGGATGTCTTCGCTTCTGCGGAGGCCTCCTTCGGCAGGAGAGTCCTACAACAGATACACTTGGTCTCGTGGCCCTTGAGCTTGTAGGCTTCCCACCCGTAAGGTGGACTAGCTTGGGTATGTCCCACTCCTGACCCAGTCCGCAGCCTACCTGGAGAAGAGGTGTTGGTCTTACCATGAACGCCGTTTCTCCGGGGGCTGCGGAGTGGGTCAGCCCCTCCCCGCCTGCGTGCACCATGGCAGGCATTAACCATCTGCCTGAGCTTGTCTTACACATCTCTCTTCGTCAAATAAACTGGAGACGAGGGAGGCGCGAGGAGGTGTGACCAATACAACTTGACTCAGTATCTGGTCAGACCATCTGGATCATCCCACTCCTGACCCACTCCGCAGCCCCCGGAGAAACGGCGTTCACGGTACGACCAACGCCTCTTCTATTGTTATTTATATTTGTGCGAGTTCTCTTTATTAATGGTGTACTTTCTACTTCATCAAACAAAAATTGATAACTCATATTTTTCCATTTAGAATGCACTTCATATTTTAAGAATCAACAAATTTTGCAATTTTGTTTTTATAGATGTTTATTGTTACTCTAATTTCTTTCAGGAGCTAGATGAAAAAGACAAAAAAATAATGTTAAATATGTATAGTGTGGTTATGTGGAAGATCCTTCAAGAACAAGATCTCATAAATACAGTGAATCAAAAATATCTTGAAAGTTGTAAGGTCAGTTGTCTACCTGCTTCTTTGTCATATCCTAGAATATAGAAATTTATTAACAGCTTTTTAAAATATACTTATGCAACTTTTTCAATAACTTCAGTAGGAAAAAAATAATATTTAATGAGTCATATAAATATAATAGTACAACCCATCCTTAATGTTTGACTTAAAAATGTGATCTGAAAATGTTAACACATTGTAATGCAATTTGTGTATAAGGAGTAATATTCCTCAAAGTATAGGAACTTTTTCCATTTGAAGAAATCTTTTCTCATTAATAGTGTATTTTCTTTTTCAGTTCAAACACCAGATTGTGGAGTGGCTAGATATAACTCCTAATACTGATGATTTGTTACTGATAAAGAAGAGAATGAAAAACATGAAGGCTCAGCTGAGGTGGAAATTAGTAGAAAAAAACAACTTGGAAGAAGTATGGAAATGCTATTTTGATACGTTTTAAGATTATTATTATTTCTTACTTTCCATAAGAATGGTGGATGATGACATAGAAAATGTTGCTTTCTAGCTTTGGAGAAATGTTGTTATGCACATAGTTTATTCATATATACCCAAATGAAAGCCTAAAGGGATTTATATTAGAACAAAGTTGGAAAGAAACAAAAATGGCAGATTTTTTAACAATTTAATTTGCACATAGTGTTTCACATTGCTAATGCTCCTCGTTCTTGATTATTGCAATTTGAGAAAGTACACAATTTCTACACATATTATTGATTATGAAGTTAAAAACAATAGATACTCCATTTGTCTTGCAGCAGGTTATCGTAACTCCAGAATGGATACATTAAACAATATGAGATTGGAAAGCTGTAAAATGTTGATTGTATAGTTAATGTAGAATTGGGATGAAAGAGTTATGAGGAGCACACAGGTATTAAGAAACATAAAGGGAGATGCTAAATAAGAAAAAAAGCACTCAGAACTATATAAGTACCCAGGGAGAAATTTAGTTAGAGGGAAGTATCACCCTCTAGGATTAATCCAAATGTCTGTTTCATTCAGCATCCAATTTCTTATAATGATTAAGGAGACACATCTGAGAAATTAATCAGTGTCAAATGACAGTAACTAGAGTAGTTCTCACCTCACCCCCACACATTAATACCTCTAGTCTTGAAAATTTGCTGCTGCTGGAGGTTATAAAAGCTAGGATACAACTAATTGAGAAAGTTCCAGATTGTAAATTCAGCAGAATAAGTAAATTCCACAGATACAGATACTACAAGTTTAGAATTATCCATGGTTTCAATATTCTGACCTCTAGAGGGATCACTTAAAAGAAAAAAGCCTCATTTCAGTTGTGGAAGCATAAACATTTTGTGTGTCATAGACAGAATCATAGGACTAGAAGGGACCTTGGAAGTCTTCTCCAACACCCTATCCAATGCAGGAGTCCTTATACTATCTGGGACAAATGGATGTTGTCTTGAAAACCTCCAGCGATAGAGCACCTACAATCTGGGGAGGCAAGCTGTTCCATTGATTAATTGTTCTTGCTGTCAAGAACTTTCTGGGTTGGATCTCTCTAATAGGCTTCCACCCATTGTCCTCTCAGGTGTTTGGAGAATAAGTCAACCCTTCTCTTGATTGCCCCTCAAGTACTGGAAGACAACAATCATGTCATCTGTAAACTTTCTCTTTGTTAGGCTAGAAGTATCTACTTCTCTTAACCATTAAACATACAGTTCAATTTCCAAGCCCCTTATCATCTTCATTGTTCTTCTCTACACACTTTCTAGGATATCAGCATCTTTTTTTTATGCAGTATTACAAGCGTGGCCTCACTAGTGCAGTATAGCATGATGGCATTGTGTCTTGTGATCATGATGATGCAGCTTTGTTGATTTTTGTAGCTGACTAAAGCTCTTTCATTGGATAGTGGCTGGTAGTCACATGAATGAAAGGTGCTATAGAGGCCATCTAGTTCAATCCTTTCTGAGGATAAGAAATCATCATTCCATCTAGATAAATGGCTGCCGAGCCTTTGTTGAAAAACCTAGTGATGGAGCATCTATAATCACAGGATAAAGTTTTGCCACTGCTTAATAGCTGTTATTTGTAAACAACTCAGAAAGTGATGAAAGCACTGTGGAGCAGTATTTAACGCTTTAAGTGCTATTGCTAACGTTATAGTTAGGAAATTTTTCCTGATTAGAGTTTGGATCCTCTCTAGTGGATTCTTCGGAGCTGAGAAGAATAAATCTGCAAACTTGTAGACCTCCAAGTCTACAATTCCCAAACGTGTACCTTGGGTGCTGCAGAATCTTTTAAATTTCGACCTACTTATTTAATAAAGGAGACTTCTAAATATACATTGTGGCCTAACGGCACTGTGATTATTAGTGTCCTTAGAGACTCAAAAATTAAGTTTAAAATTAAAACAGTAAACCAAGAAAGTTTGGGGAATCTCTGTTCTAAGTCCTTTTCTAAGTCCTTGTTGCTCTTCTCTGTACTCTTTCCAGTTCCATGCTGTTGTCCTTAAATTGTGATGAGCCAAACTGGACAAAATACCTCTAGGTGGAGACTGACTAGTGCGGTATAAATTAGAACTGCTTTAGATGAATAAAAATGTTTTTTAATCCTTTTCAATAGGTGGTTTATGAGAGATATATATTGTTATTTGGCCATGAAACTGAATCTATGTTGTTTCTGGCAATCACCTTTTGTCTCAAGAGTTACTTCAATATGTAAACAAGAAAGAAAACCTGAAAGAAATTGGTATTAACTTGGTCAGCCAAAAAAAGGAGAAGGCACATTTGATATGGTGACTAGAAATTAATGTAATTTCAGATACAAGAAGAGGGAATGGGAAGGTGAAGAAAAAGAAAATAAGTAGTATAATGGTGAAAATAAGACTTTAATTTTTTGAAGTATTAATTTTTAAATTTCTTCAGACTGATAATTACAGCAAGTCTGAAATGGTGGAAATAAAAGAAAAAATCAGTGTGCTACAGGATAATATATTTCAAGAAATATATAAGGAACAAGAAGAATATGTAAGTATTCAGTTATATTACCATCTTTGAAACAAGTTGTGTTTAAAATGAATTTCTGGTCCTGAAATTCATTTTAATGAATGAATTTAATGAATGAATTTAATGAATGAATGAGTGGTGTAATGCCTAAAGACAGATGTCAGAGTTCCTCATTTCAAGCAAAATTGTGGCCATCTATGTCTTATAAACTAAAGACTAGTAGAGCCAAATTATACATATTTTTCATATTTATAAATGGATATGGATAAAGCTGAAAAATTGTATTTTTGTTCATGTTCCTCCTAAATATATTTCCAGGAAGGAAAAATTGGATATCTCAGTCAATATTTTTGATTTACATTTAATTTATTTACATAAAGAATTTATGAGACTGCTCACTTCATCCTAGGCCAGCTAAGAATACAGAAAAAACAAAATAGAATTAGGAGAAAATAAGTAATTTTCTCAATTTTAATTAATATTTGATGCAAATAATACTTTAATATTTTGAAGTAATAATTTTTAAATTTATGCAATTAGTCTGATGTTACAGTGATTTTGAAATGGCAAAAACAAATACAATGCTACCAAGGCTGCAAACAAGGTTCAGATAAAATGTACCCCAAAACATACATATTGGGCTCAACTAACATTCTGGCCCTAACACCTTTGAAAAGAATAAAATCTTCAGGCTTTCCAAGAGGCTACCAGGTCAGGACCATCTGAATCTCAGAGAGAGGCTATTTCATAATACAGATTAGAAAATTGCTTTCTGGTTTTGCCAAGAATCTTTGGCATTTTTAAAGTGTCTTATTATATGGAACTAAAAAATGGCAGTAGGTGTATTTTAGAGAAGTTGGCTGAGGATCAGTGCTCATGCCTTTTTTTCACTGAAAAACTGCCTTGTTTGGGGAAGAAAGTTATTGGTGAGTACTACCACACAAGAATTTCCCCTCCCCCCTCTTTCTTTTTAGAATCAGAGTTTGTTGCTAGATTTGATATCAGTTATGATCAAGAAGAATCAATGTTCCTCTTGTTGTAAACACAATTAAAATGGGGTTTCTACTTTGGCTTTGTTTTTAAGATTACTGACAAGGATGGTTGATTGTGCAATTATTCATGCTTTGAATTCTCTTCACATGCTTAGTTGAAATAGTAATAAACAACTAGAAATGCTGCTGTACCGAAGAATAAAGACACAAGCGGAGCTATGATGATGCCATTTCTTTGGGACAAAGAGTTTCTACTGACACCAAATAGTTAAATCTGCTGCACTGAAGGTGGAGAGACTTAATTATTCATTAATATTTATCTGCTCGCTGAAGATTCACCATTGTGATACTACTGAATAAATATGCTTCCAACATACTGCTGGATATTGTTTTTATATTGTGATTGTTACTGAAGACTTTTTTTCCCTAATTTAGGAAAAGCTTATTCATCTAGTTCAAAAAGTTTTCCCTGAGCTGCCATTCCTCCATCCTGAAGCAGAAATATTAAAGTATATGGTAAGGTTTATGTCTTCTTTAAAAGCTAAGATTGATTGATATATCTTTGACAAAAACAATTTGCAGTATTATATATGTTATAGCAACCCCAAAACAAAAGTAATGGACTGAAAAGTTTAATCAAGCAATCTGAAGAGAAGGGAAACAAAGAGGAATAGAGCTGGCTTTACTTTTTACAAGAATTCTGTGTTGCTGTGTGTTCTAGAGGCAGGAATATTTTTAACCCTAAATGTGATTCTGTCTTATAATCAGCCTGTAATGCTAGGTCTTCTGAGTAAATAGGATGACACCAAGCTTTTTACCACTGTAAGTGTAATGCACACAAATATCATATATAGGTCTATGATCCAAAACTGAGAATAAGCTGTTTTAATTCGTATTCCCCAGGGCTCAGGAGGTCTGATTGTCAGTTTAGAACGTGATCTCTTAAATGCTGAGCCAATGAAGGAATTGGGCATAAAACATCCTGTGATGTGCTCCACGGTTCAAGGTCAAAAGGTTCTCCTGAAGGTATGCTTTCTGAATGATTAGCTTGTTTTTTTTCCTCCATATTTACTGCTAATAAATTTTTAGGCAGACTTAGGAAATATTAAAATAGCTGGGTTTATTTTGGAGCTGGAAACTACTTTTATATAGTGGATATAAAAAGTCTACACACCGAGATGTAAAAAAAATCAAACCAAGGTAAAAATTCACTTCAGAATTTTTTCCGTCTTTAATATAACATATAAGTTGTACAATTAAATTGAAAAACATTTTAGGGAGAAGTAATAATAAAAAAAACATACAATAATGTTGCATAAATGTGCATGCCCTTAAAATAATACTTTGCTGAAGTACCTTTTGATTTTATGATAACATTCAATCTTTTGGGACGGGTAGGATAGCATGGCACATCTTGCCCTGGGAATCTTTGCCCACTTTTCCTTGTAAAAGTGCTCCAAATCTATCAGATTGCAAGGGCATCTCCTCTGCATAGCCTCTCCAACTCACGGATTTTTAATTGGATTTCAGTATGAACTGGCTGGGCCATTCCAAAATTTTGATTCTCTGGTGAACTCTTGTTGATTTGGGTCATTGTTGTGTTGAAAGGTGAAATTCCTCTCCATCTTCAGCATTTTAGCAGCGGCCTGAAAATATTGTGCCAAAATTGACTGATATTTGGGACTGTTCTTTGCTTGGACTAAAGTCCTGGTTCCAGCTGAAGAATAGCTGCCCCAAAGCATAGTGCTGCCACCACTATGCTTCACTCTGAGTATCGTGTATTTCTGGTAATGTGCAGTGTTATTTTTGCATTAAAAATATTTTTTGGAACTATGGTAAAAAATTTCAACTTTGGTCTCATTAGACTGTAGCACATTTTTCCACATGTTTTTATCAGACTCGTGTAGGTTTTTACAAAATATATCCGGGCTTGTATGTTTTTCTTTGTAAGAAAAGGCTTCTGTCTTTCCATCGTACCCAACAACTCAGACCATATAAAGAATATGGGAAATTGTTGTCACATGTAATACACAATCAGTGCTTGCCAGCTTCTTTAATATTGCCATAGGCCTCATGGCAGCTTTTTGGACCAGTATGCTTCTTGTTTTTCCATCAATTTTGGAGGGACATCCATTTCTTGGTAATGGATTGTGCCACTTTTTCCACTTATTGATGACTTTCCTGCGTTCCATGATAAGCTGGTCTGAAAAGCTTTGCAATTTGACACAAAGCCTTGAAAAATACCTGGGGAGAAGGCAGCCAACATCGCAGTGAAACGATGCGAATGAGCAGTATTCCCTGATGTCCCACGAATTTTTCCAGCCAGAGGGCTCTGCGGGGTCAAAAGTCACCTTGTAGGGGTGACAAAACAGAGGGGATACTTTGGTGGTCGCGAGGAGAGCACAGTCTCCTCGTTTGACCCTTTCACCAATGGAAGAGAAGATGGCCATTATGGCTGAACTGGAGCCGTGACAGCTGAAACAGAAGAGAAGAAAGAAAAGATCCTGTAGCAGTGTGCTTGATCTGGTTAAGAACTTTCTAACTTTCTAACTCTAGCTGTGGAATTTCCCCTAAAAAACACCCCCTTTGAAAAGTCGGACTCAAATGAGGTGAATAGCTGCGACTAAGACCTGGAGCTATTGTCAGATTTGGAAAAGAAAGAAAAGAAATTGCAGACAAGAGCAACCTTAATGATAAAGGAGAGACTGGATTGGCTAATTTTTAGCAATTTAAACTGTTTCAAAATATTGAATTATACTTCTATTGCCACCTTGATTTGAAGGACTTTGGAAATTATTAGAAAATATTTTGGGAGATATTTTATTGGCAGCAAAAGCGGAAAAAAAGAATAACAATGACACCTACTGGCCGGGGAAGACATCATAGAGCTGAAAAATATGGAAGAAGGAGTGAAAGTTGTTTAGTCCAAAAATTAGCTGGAATATGCCAAACAGCAACCAGCAGATTGATTATATTTGGTGTTTGGAGACAGACAGTGAAAACATTCAGTTCTTAGAACCTTGAGGATTACAAATATGCTGGACAGTGTGAGAGTGGGAAACAGTCTGGATTTGTTTTGGAACTAAGTGAAGGTTGCTAATGGACTATTTAATGGAGTGGTTTTGTGAACTGCTCTAATGATTGGCTTTCTTGGTGTGATGAATAATTGGGACGCTGGAATCTTGATAGATTACTGAGTAACTTTTTAATTCATTAAAGCAAAATGGTATAACGGGGAAATAAGTGTATTATTAAAAGAAATATTATTGATGCTTCAAGATATGCAGGAAATGATGACAAGCAATCATAGGGAGATAAAGGAATTGATACATGATGTAGTTGTGAGACCATAAAATTATGAGCAAATGACACTGTAATGAATATGAAATCCAGGAAGTAGAGGAGAAAATATAAAGAACAGAGAAGGAAAAGCTACAAATGATCCAAAAAGAAAAAGAAGGAGATAGTAAAAGCTGATGAAATAGAAAAGGAAAATTACATCAAAAAACAGAAGAGGATACATGGAAAGAAACCCCTGAAGTGAGGAAAGAATCATTGAAAGGTTTACTGAAGACCCAACAGAGTGAAGAAGTGATAAAGGCAGATGAAATATTCAGATTAAACATGAATGATATAAGAAGATATAAGACCCCAAGGGAGGAGTATGTGCCAAGAAGTCAGAGATGATTTACGTAAACGGGCAAGAGATGAGGGATAGATGTAGAATACTGTTTAATATAGGAGTTGTTCTATTAAAAATTAATATAGAGGTAGAAACTAGAAATGGGGAAAATATTACTTTTTAACTTGGGAACTATTTATTAATGGTTAGAAAATAGAAGCAGAAGTTAGAAAATTAGAATCAAGGACAATATGTAAACAAAGATGAAGTAATTGTAATTAAATAATGAATATTGAATAATTAGGATAAGTAAACATGAAGAATAGATTTGGAGGATAATGGTTATAAATGTGATGTTTACATGATGTTTATAATATTGAATATTATTAATTGATTATAGACAAAACTGAACAGAGCATTTAATTAAACAATGGAAAATGTTTAAACAAGGATAAGCAAAGACCATGGCGAATAGATTTTGAGAATAACAATCATAATTATTGTGTGTATAAGATTTATTATATATATTTAAAAGAGATTGTACCCAGACAGTACACTGCTATTGTGAATATGGAAATTTTATACATAACAAAGAAAATTGCAATAATAATAATAATAATAATAATAATAATAATAATAATAATAATAATAATAATAATAATAATAATAAAATTTTCTTGTACCTTTCTCCTTCCAACAGCGAGATTTCTTTGATGTTTTTTAAGCTCTTTGCAGACAATGAATGGCTTTTGCTGTAAGAGGCAACTGAGTAAGTGTCAGAAAAATCCCACTAGAACAGCTGAACTTACAGCTTGATCAGAGTCACTTGACTACTTTTTAACATAAGTTTGAATGTGATTGGTTAAAATAGCCACATCCCTAGGGTATGCGCACTTATTCTAGCCAAGTTATTCTAGTTTTGGATTGTTTTTTTCCCCTAAAATATTTCAGTTTGTTTTTCATTTGAATTGTACAGCTTATATGTTACAGGTGGTCCTCGATTTACAACAATTCACTTAGTGACCTTTTGAAGTTACAACGGCACTGAAAAAAGTGACTTATGACCATTTTTTATACTTATCAATTTTATATCCATGGTCCTGTGATCAGAATTCAGATCCTTGGCAATTGACTAATATTTATAACAGTCGCAGTGTCCCCAGGATCACATGATCCCCTTTTGCAACCTTCTGAGAAGCAAAGTCAATGGGGGAGCCAGATTCACTTAACAACTGTGTTACTTATTTAACTACTGCAGTGATTCACTTAACAACTGTGGCAAGAAAGTTTGTTAAAGGGGGCAAAATTCATTTAACAAATGTCTCACTCTGCAATAGAAATTTTGGGCTCAATTGTGGTCATAAATCAAGGACTACCTGTATATTTAAGGTGAAAAAATTCTGAAGTGGGACAAAACGAATTTAACAAATGTCTCACTTTGCAAAAGAAATTTTGGGCTCAGTTGTGGTTGTAAGTCAAGAACTACCTGTATATTTAAAGTGAAAAAATTCTGAAGTGATTTATCTTGGTCTGAGTTTTACATCTCAAAAACCTGATGTTTAAATGGGTGCGTAGATTTTTTTTAAAATAACACTGTAGTTTCAAGTTCATTTGGTAGCTAATGAAATTATCTGGTTTTGCCCTTTGAATATGGAGAAATCAACAATTTGAATCCATTTTTGAGAGACCAGGCTGGCTTGAGATTTCTGACCACCATGCCTTTGGATAACTACCTAGAAATTACACATGTGTTTATTTATGTAGATTGTAGACTATAGTTGTTGCCAAATGTAACGCCTTTCCTATTCTTATCTGTTCTAATTGTCATTGTTCTGAAAGTGAGAAACACAGTATTATTAGAATGCAATTATTTTCATTTGTGGCTCAGTATGTGCTTTTATTATTCACAAGAATAAATATTCCATTGATTAATTCAGAAAATAGAAGCATTTGGCAGAAATAGTTCCCTTTTTCATATTCTGGGAAATAGTTTAATAATCTCATGAAACAGCTTTTTACTCACCTGAATTTACCTTTTCAGGGATATATTGTGGATATCAATATTGAAACTCAAATAATAGAAAGGGCAGTAAAATATCATAAAGTTTGGAAAGAATTAAGGGAGAAATCTTGTTTAATGCAAACAATGTTCCTGCTTTTATGCAAGGTAAGTTGTACATCGAAGTGTATTTTTTCTTTGTTATTTCTGTGTAAAAATGTCAAAGATCTCATAATAGAAAGTACTTTCCCTGCTTTAAGATAAGACCCCTTAAATTTATATAGATGATATAAAAACACAAATAGGAAAGTATTTCAGTGTCATGATATTTGATGTTTTCTGTTCCTGCACATAATACTTTTGTTTTTATTTAAGTCTGATCCTATGGTATATCTAATGATTCCATACTATGCTGGAGCAAACCTGGGGACACTGCAGTTGATGGCACCTTTAAGTGTACCAGTAAGTAATGAAATCGCCCTCTTGAATTTCTGAACCAACCTTTCACCCTTGCATTCTTTAGTTTTGTTAGGTCTGCTAGCTGGGGAATTTTGGGAATTTCCATCTTAAAGCATCTAGACATCATTAAATTTAGAAAAAGCTGTTCTAATCAATGAATTCAGTTGATTTACAGATCATATCATCTATATCTTCCATAGCTACATAAAGAAAGTAGCTCATGGTTGACATTAAAACTGGGTATTCATAGTTGGAAAGCTTCAGAAGCATGGAAATAGTTTTTATGGGTTTTCCATGGATACCTCGTATGTATTTTTTATTTGCTTGTATCATTTTTGTTTAAAAAATACTTCCTTTAGCAAATTAAATTTAATGTAGAACATCTTCAATCTCTTTGTGTGAATGGACACATTGTTAACTTTAGAAATATATTTAAGAGGCTCCTATACTATGTTGATTAATTGATTATTAATACTATACTGATTAATTGGCTGTTGAATATGGATTATTCAGAGCGAGTTCTCCATTATTTCTCTTGGTCTGTGAATGTATATATGCGAGAGTTGTGGGTATATTCAGTGTCACACTTTGTTTTCAGTGTTCTTTACAAGATGCCTTTTTTTTTCTTTCATGACTGATATTCCATATAGCATCAACCCTGTGAATTATCAAGCTTCCTTTTTCTGCTATGTATTCAAATGGACGTGTATGTGTGTGTGTGTCCTCCTCCAGCCATAGATGACTGACCATCAAGGAGTAAATGCCAGTCCTCATCATATCTACCTGCTATTTTTCCCCTAAGGCTGATATGTGCCTATGTAGGATGTTCTTGCCCAACTGAAACAGGCTGGCCAAGAAAAAGGAAGAAGTCTTGAGTCACTCCCTTTTGACCAGTAGCTGAACAATGTGATTTTTTGAAATGTACTGTACACCTTTTAGTTATCTGTAGAAAGTAGAAGCAATATTGATTCCCCATTCTCATATTGTAGGGCCCATATTTAATTTATCTTATTTGCTATAAGATTTATCCTAGTTAGAACTTTTGGTCATCCTCATTGTTTCTTACTATTGCTTTCCAGAGAATAAAAAAATGTCAGAAATACTATACTTAGAACTCCCATCTTATGCCTTGTCTAATCATTAGCGGGGTGGGTGATCTCCTTCCCCGGAAGAATGATGGAGGAATAAAAAGGATTCTGTTCTATGGTCTCCAACATAATTTAAACAGTTATTAGTTTTTAAAATAACAGTTGACCTTTGAAATCTGAATTGATTAATTGTCCTAGGCTACTGAAGGAAGCCTAGGAAAATTAATCCTGTATAGAAAACTAAAAATCTGGTTTGATAAAAGTTTTGAAAGTAGTTTTGTCTCTTTTTTTCATTGGATGTGTAAGAAGCGTTTTTGAAATGCTGGGAATATTTTGGCACTGATCTCATAGAACCTTTCTTGCAATCACTTTAACTAGGAAACATTAAAAGTAATGAAAGGAGTGGCATGTGGTCTGTGTGTGCTACACAAAGCTGATATAATTCATGGATCGTTGCATAAAAACAATGTCTTTGCATTGAACCGAGAACAAGGAATAGTTGGAGATTTTGATTTCACCAAATCTGAGGTAAAAATGTTTTCCTTATAAATAAATAGGTATTGAACAGTGTAAATTAATAGCACAAATACTAACATTTGAAGATATGTAAAATCCAAGGAATTTGAGGAATTACTCAGTATTTTGATACTGGCATGTTGTTTTTGTTAGCAAATTATAACATAAGAATAAATCCATCAGTGACAATATGACAGGGCCTTCCAGAAAAGTAACAAGGTCGGGGCCAATCTTAATCTTTAGGGTAATTATATTCCATAAAGAGGGAGCCATCACCGAGAATGCCCTATTTCTTGGTCTCAGAAGATGTATTTCTGTAATGGATGGGATCAGTAACACCTTGTTTTCTTGCCCTGGAGAGCTGGGTGGATGTAAATGTGGAGGAGGTGGTCTTTCAAATAAACTGGCCCCCATATAAGGCTTTAAAGGTGATAACCAGCATTTTAAAGGTAATTCATGCAAATTTAGCCTTGTGCAAAACTTTGCAAGTCACTGCAGTTTGAACCAACTTCCTGATATTCTTCAAGAGTAGTCCCATGTAAACCTCATTACAAAAATCCAAATAAGAATTGACCAAAATATGGGTGACTACGAGAAGGACACATTGGTTCAGTAATAGACATTACTAGCATATAACTCACAGTTGTGCAAAAACCCTTGTCATCTTATTTATCACCTGATCCTCAAGCTGGAGTTGCAAGTCCATGACAATTCCCAGGTGCAACTTCACTCATAACCTGCAGCAATGCAACTTCACCCATAGCCAAATACGGTAATTTCACCAAGAATTAAGGAGACCTTAGCCAAAGCCTCTTGATCTTTCTAGGGTTCAATTTTAGTCTGTTCCTTCCCATCCAGATATCAACAACCTTCAGGCACTGAAAGAGCAGCCATGGCATAGCTAAATTCACCATGGGCAGAAATGCATAATTGAATATCATCAGCATATTGATGATATCACACTCTGTGATGACAGAATATCTTCCGTTCATATAGATATTAAAGGAGCAGACACTGCATGGACCCTGCGGTAATCAGTGGCCAGAATTCTTCTCCAGCCAACACTGACTAAAGTGTAGAAAGGAAATAAACCATATCACAGTGTCCCATTCTCCCCCAACCCCCAAAGCTATTCCAGAAGGTTACCAGGGTCAATAGTATCGAAAACTGCTGAAGGGTTGAATAGAGCAAGGACAGATGTGTTACTCCAATCCTGCTTCCGCTAGAGCAGCGGTTCTCAACCTGGGGGTCGCGACTCCTTTGGGGGTCGAACAGCCATTTCACAGGGGTCGCCAAATCCCTCTCTCGCCCCCCCCACCCCCATGCCTTCACTCACCCTCACCCTCTGCCTCTGTTGGATCGCCTGGTCACCGTTCGCTTACCCCGCCCACTCCCAATCTATTGCTGCCTCTGATGGCTAGAGGAAATAAAACGGTTTAAATTCTTGCCGCGGGGCTTCAAAGGGCCGTCCTAAAGCCAGTGGTGCAGCCGAACCGTTTGTTAAATTGCTGGCTTGCCCCGCCCCTCCGCACCACTATTTATTGCCAATAAATAGTGGTGGGCGAGGGGCGGGGGAGCCAGCAATTTAACAAATGGTTCGGTGTTTTTTTGTAATTTTATTGGCCCCTGGAGTTTCAGCATAGGCTAATTAGCCCTTGCTTAGATCGGCTCCCGACTCTCAGCTGATTTGCTCTCAGCTGTTTTGCTCAGGGCTCTGCTGCTTGCTTGCAAAGCAAGCAGCAAAAAAATCTGCACTCTTTGCTTGCAAAGAGTGCAGATTTTTTTCCCCTTAGCTATGCTGAAAAATGAAACTGGAAGTAAAGCAGGCTGTTTGCACCGTTGGAAAACTAGGCAGGCAGATTTCTTTTCTTTTTCCTCACCAAAAAAGGTAGGTGCAAACAATGGGAAATTTAGGGCAAAAGAGGAGAGTTCAAGATTTTAAAATACAAAAGAAAAAAAGCTCTATTTAACTAGGGAATTGTAATAATTGAGATACTATTAACTGTATATTGTGTTGAAAGCAGAAATGGTTGTTGTGGTTCGGAGGGATATATGGGAGAAATTATTTGGTTTATTATTGGTAAATATAATTAATTGATTTGTAAGAAATTGGATTGCATGGAAATAATTGGAATATTCATGTTCATATTGATTAATATACAAAAAAGGTAGTTATATAACTAATTGATTTATATTAAAATGTTGAATTTATATTAAACAACTGTAATATTACATAATTAACCAATGTGAGGATGGATATAAAAATAGATGACAATGGGAAGGGGTATAATATAGAATAGAAAGGAAAAATTGAATTTGATTAAGATTAGAGATGAAGATGAAGGGTAATATTGTTTTTTTACAAAAATAGATGAGGAATAAATATGGCAAAAAGGAAATATAGAAATTGTAAATTTAATTGAAATGACTAAACACTGTTTAAATTTGTGAACCGGCCAAATACTCAGTTCAAAGAAAATACATTGTATGTTTGTATGTGTGTTTCTAATTATTGTTATTTATTCATATTTGTTCTCTTTTATTCTTTAAAGTTTAACAATTCATTCTTTATCTTAATATCTTTTTTATTTGTTTGGGGTTGGCTTTCTTCCCTTTCATCTTTTTTATTGTACAGCAATCTTTCTCCTCAAACCTAGCACCTCTCTCTTTTCTTTCCTTCTTACTTTCTCTTCCTCCCCCTCTTCTTCTCCTCCCTACTTCCTCTTCCTTTCTCCTTCTCCTCCTCTCTTCCTCCCTCTCTTACCCTCACTCCTACTCTAATTTCCCTTCCCTTCCTTCATCCCTCTCTATTGCTGTATCCTTTTATGCATATGGACTACTCAGAGGGCTGAAAAAGTTATTTCTGACTAGTCCTCGCACTTTTGACCAGTCCTCGAACTTACGACTGTCCTCACATTTTACGTTTTTGCCCTATCTTGTTACCATGGTGAAGAGAAGCAGTTGTGAAATGAGTGACATGGTTGTTAAGAATGCTGCACGGGCATAAATGTGAGGATGGTCATAAGTGTGAGGACCAGTCAAAAGTGCGAGGACCTGTCAGAAATGACTTTTTTCAGCCCTCTGAGTAGTCCCTATACACATAGCCATGGCCACCTGGTCACATGACCAGCTAGCCATGCCCACCCAGCCGCATGACCTCCAAGCCATGCCCACAAAATAAGCCATGCCCACAGAACTGATAGTAAAAAAATTTAGAACCCACCCCTGGTTGGGGGTCACCACAACATGAGGAACTGTATTAAAGGGTCGCAGCATTAGGAAGGTTGAGAACCACTGCGCTAGAGAGAGTAACCAATACTGTTTCCATCCCATATCTAGGCCAGGGAACTCAGATAATATATTTCAGCAGGGATCCTCTGGACCTGCAGCACAACCATCTTCTCAATAACTTTTCCCAAAAAGGAGAGCTGGAGTCCATTAGGGTGGAATCTAGTAATGGCTTCTTAAGAAGGGAGTGAACCACAACTGCTTTAAAGAACTCGGGTAGGACCACTTTTCAAGGAGACATTCACCATCTCTAGTATTCACCCACGTGTCACTTCCTGGAAGTCTTCTACTAGCTGCAGGGGACAGATCTAACAAGTGGCCAAGCTCACATTTCCTAGATCCTGCCCACTTCCTAAGGCAGGGGTCTCCAACCCCTGATCTGTGGACCAGCACCGGGCTGAAACATGCCAGAACAGCATGCCAGTTTGCAGAAGCCATGCAAACAAGCGAAGCCCCATCTGTGGGATGCAGACAGCACATGAAACTATGCCCATTACAGTATGTGGAAAAACCAGTCTCCACAGAACCTGTCCCTGGTGCCCAAAAGGTTGAGTGGCTCTGTCCTAAGGAATTACAGGATCAAACCATTCCACAATACTTAGGCAAGAATTCCCAGGGAATCTCCACTAGACCAGTGTCCATGCCTACATGGACAATTGTGTACAAATCTGAGTGATTTTATCTGCCAGAAAATCAGCAAATTTCCCAGTGTGCCTTGCAGGTAGATATTCAAGTTCTCCTTATCTATGAGGGCCAATGTTACCTTAAAAAGGAATGCTGGGGATTATCTACAGATGCAATTTGTACAAAGTATTTTTGCTTCACCGAAGGAATTGGCAAAGATAGACTTTAATAGCAGCTATTACTGAAGCACATCAGTTGAATTTGTTCTTCGTCTTCTGCTAGTGTGTTCTAGGTGTCTTGATCTCTTTCGTGTCTCTCAGTTCTTCTGTGAAATAAAAAGAATGCTAAGATGCACAGGTCAAAAGAGGCCGCTTGGGTGTAGCTGTCTAAAACCTCTTATTCCAAGAGGTGACAACTATGCAGCAGATTCTCAGTTATAGCACCCAGCTCCTTTTGAAACCAATCAAGTTCATCCGTTTCAGGGACAGGCCAATCTAATGGATCTTGCCTCCTTGTGAATGAGCAGCCTAGGGATACTCATAGCAACCAGACTGTTATCTGACCATGATGGGGGACCAAAGATAGATCCCTCAATTCCAAGTCATAAAGGCATCGCTCCAAGAAGATACCAAATTGGGTGTATGATCTCTATTTCTAGGCAGGCCTGAATTCCCACACTGTCTCTAAGCCTACTACCAAGGAAGACAGATTGAAGTCTCCCAGCAGTATAAACTAGGAAATGCCACCACCAACTCTGTAGTAAGTCTTAAGACCTCAAGCAAGGAAACTGCTATGTAGCAGGAAGGCTGGCACAATAGCAGCAATCTCAGCTGTTCCCTAGAGCCCATTGTAAGAAAAAGTCTCCTACTCAAGAGACTTGTGGAGATTCTGCAGCCAAAGTGTTTTAGATAACAACAACCATATCAGCTTCCCTTATTGCAGGCTGACCTGGCATGTAAAAGCAACATCTTAAGACGTGCTTCGCTGTTAATCTGCTGACCATATAAAGAGGCTGAGTTTAAGGAGCAACCAGTACAAGAAGTCTCCTGCAATTATATCTCCCGATATCTGACATCACTGAAATATAATACCTGAATGGCATTAATAGTAATAGAGTTCATCCCCCAGACAACAGATGGGGGGATGGATGGATGGGATTAAGAGTCAACGCCTATTGATTGATTGATTGATTGATTGATTAATTGATTGATTCAATTTATATGCTGTATTAACCTCTGGACTATTTTACTTTCAGAGCAAGCGTGCTTTGTCAGGTTCTATGACTTTGAATGGCTTGAGCTTAATTTCCCCTGAGCTAAGAAAGGGTCAGCCACCTTCTCCAGCTTCAGATATGTATGCTTTTGGTTGTCTGCTTTACTGGGTATGTAAATCTTCGGTCACAGGTATTGCTGTATCACAATATAAAACATCTCACTCCTGTTTTGATAGCTTTGTGTTTGCCTAAGGACTTATATGGTGCTTCTTAGGGAAGATGTTAAAAAATGATAGTCAATATAATAAAATGAATATTTGAAGATTAAAGAATTATAGTTTCCATAAGTATTAAATTAAGTTGTGTTTACTGCACTTTTTTGTTGATACTGATTGGTAATCTTGCCAGTTGTGCCAGGAATATTCGTTCATTTTGGGCCAGCCTGATCTCCAAATGGGATTAGTACATGCTTAAGAAGCCTAGCACAGGAAATGGGAAAAAAGAAGAAGGAGAAAGTGGATAGGAGAACAGAACTGGATGAAGAGTATGCAGACAATTTACTGCTGAGGGAGTGCAGATGGGAGGGGAGAGTAGTAGTAGTTTGGGAGTGCAATGTTTAGTTTATTGATATTTGGGAATAATTTTGTTATCTTTTAAATGTGCAGCTACTTATCGGAAAGCAAGAAATAAAAACAAATAGAGATGGAATTCCTCAAATTGATGGCCTTGCTACGGTATGTTTTTTTCTAACCGAAATATTTCAGATTTAATGCATAATTGACTGTTTTTTAAGATATGTTAAATAAAAATAATTAAAAGACATGGAAGCGTATAGGTCAGGCGAATCTTTTCGGCACTGAGTGCTGAAAAGGGAGTACTTTGCAAGTGTGCGTGCTCATCAGGGCCGTGATCAGGAAGAGGATGTGCCAGATAAGGTACTTCTGGTTTCCGGTGCACACATGCACATTGATCAGCAAGTCATCCAGTTAGTGCCATGCGTGTGCATGCACTGATCAGCTGGCGGACTGCATGCTTATGTACATGTGTGTCCAGCCAGATGCTTCCAGCCCCAGAGGAGGAATCTGCAGTTCTGCAATGGGGGGAGGAAGTGTTTATCTCGGACTTTTGAGATGGGAGGGGCCAGAACGAGGGGCAGCACCAATGAGAATTCTCCCTGCTTGAGCATCATCGGTCTCTGGACAGAGTCCTTTGGGACTTCACCTGAAGGAAGAGAGACAGTTCAGTGGAGAGAGAGAAGCAGAGAAAGTGGGAGGGGGGATCTTGGCCTGAATAACCAACTTGGACTTCTCTGCGTGGAACTCTCTCTTCCAATGAGTAAAGTCAAGGAAATCTCCTCCCAGAGACTGATGAGGCTGCAGAAGGGAGAATTCCCTTTGGTCCTTCTTCTTTCTGGACACGCGTCCAGAGCTGCATTGCCAGCTCACAGACCAGCTCTTCTGGTTTCCAGCAAAGGCCAGCTGATCGTCACTCATCGCATGAGTGCCAGAAACCCGGAAGAGGAACGGGCGACGCCACACTTGCCAGGCAACATGGCAAAATCTTTCAAAACATTTTAATATTGCTGATGAAAAGATCAGTATAAAATATGAAAAACAGGGGGCTAACATTGTTCAAGAATTGCTAACTAATTAGAATATTTTACAAAACTGCAAGGATTGGTTCTGGAAATGAAATATAACCAAAATGAATAGGAAACTGGAGCAACCCAATGAAAAAAGATTACACTGTTGCCAATCAAACAAGGACATAATATTCAATTATACATGCTAAATTATAGAACTACCCAATTCATCAGGAAACAAATACTGGGTAGCCTGGTTTTAAAAAAAAAATCGAAAATGTAAAATAAGACATAGTTCCAGTTAGATTATAAAATAGAGACATTACCATCTTGCTAAGATATTATCTGAGTCACATGCAAAGTCAGATTTCCTAACCTCCTCCCACTTGCTAGTCAAAGGATTGAAGTTTTTTTTGATAACAAGAAGAAGCTGCTAGATAGAGGTAAAGTGTAACACCTCCCCATAGATTAAGGTAAGAGAAATCCAGGTGAAGTAGAAGCAAGGAAATACCTTTTTCAAAGGTTATTTAAATAATGTAATTATCCCTCCTGCAGATAATTTCCATGCCTGAGGTGAGTGAATGTCTGCAATCTGCCTGATAATGGAGTTCACAGTATTGGGAACACAAGTTGTTTTCACAATAAGCCCCATGTTTTGTTAGTATGGGACATACCATTGGGGCGCAGTCTCAAATTCGGTGCTTGGTATATGATATGCAAAAAAAAACCCCAATTCTAAATTACATGCACCAGTGTTTTCAATAATAATTTCCCCATATGAAGAACAGTTGCAGGATTTGGATTTGGCTAGTCTAGAGAAAAGAAGAATTAGGGGCTACAAGATAGCAGTATTCCAGTAGTAAAGAGGTTGCCACAAAGAGGAGGGAGTCATCTTATTTTCCAAAGCATCAGAGGACAGGACAAGAAGCAATGGATGGAAACTAATCAGGGAGAAAAACAATTTGAGATTAAGGAGAAATTTCCTAACAGTGAGGACAATTAGCCCGTGGAACTATTTGCTTTGAGATGTTGTGGGTGCTTCATCATTGGAGGATTTTAAGAAGAGACTGGACAGTTACTTGTCTGAAATAGTATAGGATCTTCTGCTTGAGCAGGGTGTTGGACTAGAAGATCTCCAAGGTCCCTTCCATCTCTATTTTGATTGAGGTATTGATTTGCATTTAAATTTTGTTTCTAGCTGTTAATTTATAACAGACTTCTTATGCCCAGGAGACTCGGAGTTCTAATCCTCTCTGGGTGACTTTGGGCTGGTCACTCTCTCTCAGCCCAACTCACCTCACAAGGGTGATTGTTGTAGGCAAAATAGGAGGAGGAAGTGTCAGGGCATTTATTAATCCCATGTTTGGCTCTGGGACTAATTACCCTGGTTTAGAGGAGATGAGATGAATCGAGGCTTATTCCTTGTTGCAATAATCTGAAAAGAAACGCGAGGAAAGGTTTCTAATAAAACTCATTTATTTGTTATAAAGAAAATCAAACACCTCACTAACTAAGAAAAGTTAATTGTTACATTTTGGCAAGCGAGGTCTCCTGCCGGTCCAAGCCGGACCTTGCTGGCAGGAGAACAAAGAAAAGAGTGAAGGAATGTGGGTGGATGGACATGCGTAGTAGCTTTTGATAACAATTCTTGGCAAGATACGGAGAGTCAGATAGTCCAGAAATAATGAGCTCAGCTGGTAAATAAAATAACGCAGTGACATTCCCCTTCTTTGCCAGTTGAGCGAATATCAGTACATCATCAAATAAGGCACATCTTCTCACGCAGATACTCGTGTTGAGCTGCTGGAAGTGGTTTGTTGAGCATATCAGCAATTTGATCATGTGTAGATACATATTGCATTTTGACAAAACCTTTTTTCACTAAATGCTTTATGTTTTGATAACGAATGTCAATGTGTCTGGACCTAGAACCTGTGAAATGAGATTCAGAAATATAAACCACCGATTCATTGTCTTCCATCACTGTGATCGGTCGGATCGGGTGTGTCCAGATATCTGTGACTAAAGCATCAAACCAAGTTAGAGAATTACATGCATCTGAAACACAAGCATATTCAGCCTCAGTAGATGAACAAGAAACAAAATTCTGTTTACGTACTTGCCAATAAACAGGACATCCATTTAAGAACATCATATAACCTGAAGTACTTTTACGTGATTTCTTATCACTTGCCCAATCAGAATCTGCATAACAACATAATTCTGCATAATCAGTATGTGTTGGTTCTAACAATAACTTCATGTGTTTAGTGTATTTTAGGTATCTCAATAATTTCTTAATACATGTCCAATGAAACTGTTTTGCCTTACCTAGGTGTCGTGATAAGAGATTAACACTAAGTGCAATGTCGGGTCTGGTCCAACTACTAATGTATAACAGTGACCCAATGACTGAACGATAAAGTGTTTGATCCTCGAACTCAGGACTTTCTTCTTGTGTCAAGTTGTGAAAATCTGTTTGCATGGGTGTCTTTGTTGTGTTAGCATCCTTCATGTTGCAATGATGCAAAACTTGTTCAATTTTATCTTCTTGTGAAAGACTAAACCCCTTCTGTGTCTTTTCAATCTGAACACCTAAATAAGTGCTAATGTGACCTAATGATTTCAATGTGAAGTATCTCTGCAAAGCTTTGGCAAAAATTTCACTCATTTGCTTATTTGGACCAATATAAACAATATCATCAACATAAACAAGAACTATCTCATATGCATTGTTAGATCTTTTTGTGAACACGCACTCATCAGTTTCGGACTTAATAAAGCCCATTGAATTTAGTTTGTCAGTAAGACATAAGTACCACATTAAACCAGATTGTTTCAGACCATAAAGACTTTTGTTTAGAAACCAGGTATCCCCTTCTTGTTGTCGGAATCCTGGAGGACTTTTCACGTAGATCTCTTCATCTAGGTCTGCATGTAGATAAGCTGTGTCAACATCAAACTGGAAAACTTCTAAACCAAGGATAGTTGCAGTTGCTAAAGCAATTTTTACACTCTCAGTTCTGACTGTCGGTGAGTAAGTATTTGTGTAGTCCTCAGGATAACGTTGAGCGAAACCCTGAGCTACAAGTCTGGCCTTGTACAGTGACTCACCATTTGGTTTCTTTTTGATTCTGTAGACCCATCGAGTGCCAATGACCTTTTTGTTTGCTGGAAGTTTTGCAGGTGTAAATACTTTGAGTTTCTTTAGACTGTCCATTTCAGCCTGCATTGCCTCATACCATTTGTCTTGCTCTGAATCAGGGAGCTGCTTGATTTGTGTGAAATTATCAGGTGGAAGTGTAACATTGCAAATCAAAGGCAAGGGTGCTTTTGTCAGTTGCCAAGAATATCGTTGTGGAGGGATCCCTTTTGTGGCCCTCTTGGAACGTCTCGGAACAACTGTCCAGTCTTCTTCTGCTTCGTCCTCGTCCTCACTTTCGTCGCTAGCATCAGCATCCGCGGCTTGAGAAGACGGAACATCGGGTTGAGAAGAATCAGTGGAATCTTGATCATCAATCTGTGTGGCATCAGCAGTATCATCTCTGGGAAAATAAACTCCAGGATCATTGGAATGAATCCTGGACCAGTCAATGTCTTCCTCAAAATTAGCAGATTGGGAAATCACAATTGCATGTTTAGAGTCAATAAATTTGCTCCACTTTGAATTATCATCAATACCGATAAATCTCAGTCTCTTTGCTGCTGGACTTCCTTTTCTTCTTTGAACTAAGGGAATGTTCACCATAGCATATGAACCAAAAATATGGATGTTTTTGAGATCGGGCTTGTAGCCATACAACATGAAGAAAGGAGTCTGATTTGTTACACTGCTCCAAGTACGATTGACAATGTAATTTGCATACTTGATAGCTTCACCCCAGTATATCATATCAAGGTTGGCGTCTTCTAGGAGACAACGCATCATGGTTTGCAGTACCTCTCCGTTGTGAGCCGGTGTGTCAGGGGGCGAAGTCTGATGAAGAATTCCATTCTTACGCATCCAGTCCTGGAAACGCTGAGACATGAACTCGGCACCACGATCACTCTGGATTCTGGCGATGCGAACTTGGTGTTGGGTAGAAACAAGGGTTGCAAAGTCTTTAAAGATCTGAAAAGTCTCTGATTTTTCTTTCATAGGATATCCATATC